GATTCATCACATTTAACATCGAAGCCTTGGATCAGGATACCGTCCACGGGGAGTAGATCGCCAGGCTCGAGGTGGACCACGTCGCCGGACAAAATGTCGAAAACGGATAGCTCAATGGTCTTGCCGGACCGGATAACCTTGACTAACCGATCCGACTTTTTCTTGTTCAGCTTGGCGAATTGCCTCTCTTTCTGCCAATCGTTCAGAGACCCCACAAAAACCACAATGACAATAGCCACGATGATAGCAACGCCCTCGATCCACTCGACTCCCTGTCCTTCGGGGCTGACAGTCTCGTAGATACCAATAGCCAATGAAACAACCGCCGCGATGGAAAGGAGAATCAGAACCTTGTCGTTGTAGGTAATCCATAGCAGCTGGAGGAAGGACTTGCCCTTCTTCTCGGGGATCCGGTTGTCCTTGAATACGCGCTTCCTGTCCGAGAAAGACTCGTCGCCGTGGCTGGTGCCAGCGGTGTTTCGCCGGGCGACCGGGGTTTGAGGCGTCTCAACGCCCTCATTTGCAAGCTTAGACGACTTGCTCGTCGCCTCTTCGAAGGTGATGGTCTTGTCGATGTGCTTTTCGTCGATGCTGAGTCCAGTGTCCCTGTTCGAGCGTAGACCCTTCTCGATACCTTTCAACCCGCCCATAGCGTAGTACGCAGCCAAACTCTTCGGGTTAAACATTTTGGTGAGCTGACCAGGGTTGAAGGCGAATGGGTTGTTCTCCACCTGGAAGTCAGCTTCTCGGCCGGCATCAGGCTTCAGAGCGTCGGGGTCGTTCATAATCTTGTCATGGTCGTCGTGGCCACCCTTTTCACTCTTGTCGCCCTGCCATGACGTCGTACCTAGCACCGTCGTGTCGCCTTGCGACGATGTATAGGAACGCGATCCATCCTCACTATCCACTGAATTTTGCCTCGAACGCTGGTTATTTGGAACCTCCAGGTAGTTGAGCGAGCGGTTGTTTGTCCGTGCTGCCACCGGACTGGACACATTGTGCGGGCTCTGGGGGCGGCTATCCCTGCTGTCGAACGAGTTGGCAGTCTGCAGTTCGGGCTTGGAGCTGGTGGAGGCCTGCGATGGTTGAGGCATGTCTGCGGTCAGGGTGGTGGGACTCGCCGTGAGGTCCGTGGGTGAGCCCAACGACCTTCGCGGAACGGCGCTGTCGCCCGTGTTCGAATCGGCACTGGTGTCGATGGTGATGGTAGGACTAGGGGCGCGTTAGCAAGACAAGGCTGCATGCATGCATCTGGAAATAGAAGCTTACGCCCTCGGCCGTCTGGTCGGGTTGGTTTCCTCGCCAGAAGCCATTGTGGTCCGGTGGGAGAAGGGAAGGCAGAAGCCCAGAGCAGGCTGGAGGGCAGGAGGGCAGATTCACTGGAATGTTCGTATGGGCGAATCCGTCTCGACTGCGCCTTGGGAATCAGGGCAGTGTTTGTCTCCCAAGCGAGGCTGAGCGGGCAGCCTTTTGGATGGTGAAGCTTATCCGAAGCGGACTCCGCAGCATGCCGTGGCGATGGGGATCGTATTAGATGTTCAAGCCCCCGCGAGACAAGTCGGTTTTATTCGAGCAAATGGTCTCAGAAAGCTGCCGCGAAAGCTCGCATCCGAGAGGACCTGACCCAACTTGGTCAAACGTCAAACGTGCGCAGCGGTCTCGAGCTGCGTAGTCGGCGGGCACGCGGAAGAACAATGACGGCGGACAGTTCGATACGACACACCAGTCACGGGGTGTGCTAACTGGGCGAGGGTGTTGGTGATGTGCTGCCGAAAGGAGGGACTCGACTGGCAGAGGATATGTCGGGATGCAAGCAAGCAAGCAAGCAAGATAATAGATGCAAGTAAGTGGCTCGAGGGAGCAAGCGCACGTTTCTGCGGGAGGGACAAGCTATATGAAAAAAGAAACCAATCAGAATCTCATAAAGGAGCGTGAGTCGCAGGCAAAAGGACGGACGAGCTGCGAGACGAAACGAACATGACAGACAAGACCAGAGCGCTGCAGAGTTCCAGACAGGGTGGTCGGCGTCGTCGAATGGGAAGAAAACAAGATGTTTGGGGGGAGGTGCGGCGTGCAGCAGCGATGTACTTCGCTCCCGGCATCCCCTAGTCGTGCCCAGCGTTGGCCGTCGGAGAGTACCTTGGCCACGCGAAATGCTGGGCTCCACGCAGGTACCACCTGGCTGTCTTGGTAAATTGGCCAGCTAACAAAGATGCTGGGTGCCTATGGTGCAGCACCTACCTCCTGAACCGAAGACGCCTTTCTGTTGCGCGCCTATCCCTCTCTGCGCACTCTTTTTTTTCGCCGTCTCATCAATCGACGAGTTGGGCTGTTACTTTCGGGTGGACGCTTGCAAGGTCTAGACGGGCCACGGGCGAATGAGAGCCGGTCAGCCAAGGACCCAAGGGCAGGCCAAGCGAGGCTGTGCAAAGGAGGTGATGTAGCGCCAAGGCGCGCGACAGGGGGGCCGACGATGTCTTTTTCCCGCTGCTGCACGCGCACGAGGTACCGACGGTACGTGGTGTGTGGGAAAACGGACAGACACATCAGTGCGCGCGGCGAACATCTGATCGATGGGAGCTCGTCATACAATCTTTGTTTGACGGAGGCTGGGCTGGGCTGCGTTGATGATAGAGCAGCACCAGCTCTGACCGAGTATAATGTTTCGAGGGGGCGGCTAACCGCCCACCCCTTTGGGCCTTTGGGACTGACTAATAAAGAGTACGTACCCCCAGCCGGTTTGCTGCAAGGGAATGCTGTGTAATACTGCCCAGTCCCTGGTGCGCCCGCCCAGGGTTCGAGGGTTCCCAGCAACATGCATCAGTAGGCACATACCAGCGCAGTACAGTGGCCCACCTGTGGGCCTTATCCGCTATCAACAGTAAGTAAACCCCTTGCTGATCCCGCGCACTGCTGCTTCGATCGCGTATGGTAGTCATGTACCATAGTATAGTACAGTATATACCGTACATGGGCGCTTGCGAATCTTTGAGATAAAAACTGGGATCTAACGTGCACAACTCTTGAGCGGGAATGGGGCTTGTCGTAAGTGGCTTTCCGTACGACACGCACAATGGCCACTTCACTTCGACAATGCGTGTCGTGTCTCCGGGACCATATTCCAGCTGAACCTTACTAGTCCCAAGCCTGAATGCCGCCCGCCAAGGAGCTTTATCTCGAGTCATAATGAAGCCAAGATGGTCCGCCTTCAACCCGAGTCGCCATCATCAAACACCTTCTCTTGATCACCGCCTCCCCGCCTCCCCGCCGTCTCTGGTTCGCTCCACGTAGCTATCTAGGCCCTCCGCGCTGTCATGCCGTCCATAGGCCACATCCCAAAACACCAAGGCGAGACGCATAAATGGCCTTGTTATCCCCCATCACCCGTACCTACCACTGCTGTCAGCCAGCGAGTCAGCCTCGCCATCGCCTTGTCCCTCTTCCGATACACACTTCCGTGTCGCATCTTGGGCCGTACTGATTCACCTTGCAGTTGCCGGTGCGAAGATTCTCTGTAGCCTGTTCTGCCCAAGAGATATACCTTCGACAACTAATCAATGCCTTACCGGTATGCTTACCCACCGAGACTCAAGGTTCCATGCCGTAGTGGGCCTTAATGGGGCCGATTAGGGTGCATCGTGCAGTTCAGTATGCCTTGCCAAACCAGCACGTCCCGTACCAGAAGCTCCGATCATCGTATTGTCGTGATCTTGGGTTTTGATGAGCTTCATGCTCTCAGCTGGATCCAAGTCGCATCTAGGAGGCTCAGGAGAGTCTCTGGGGAATATGCCGTGTTTTGTACCCCACATTTCATCTGTCCAGCTTCGTGTAGTCGTGGAGCCGAATCGGCAGTCCAAGACTCCTTGGGGCAATCTTTCGATATTGGCCAATAGGCGGATCTAGCCGGTACTGAAGTTGGGATCAGTCTTGCGGTCAGGAGCGGTAAGTGGCCGATGCCATCAACACCGGCATCCCGCGACCTTGATGAAATGCAATGCTATCCAGGGCCCCGAGGAATCATGTGCTTATTCCTCGCCGGTCCTCACCCGCCAGCGATTCGTATGCGTCGGAGATGAGAGTCCCGACACCCGGCGGTCTCGATGAAACATTCTCTGGATCCGTGGAATAAGCCGTGCTCAATTGAGCATGTCGTCCGATGTCCAGGGCATTTTTCCATTCGACAGGGGATTGACGGTCCCACGATTTTTCGGTCTGCCACTCTACCAATCCGCACTAGCTATCTACGATATGATCCCTGCTCACCATCGTCCGCCGATCTTCTACTCGCACTTCTAGAACTTTTCTCCCCTATTGCTTGATTTTCTTGATTTTCTTGGTATAGGACGCACTAAAAGTCTTCGTCCTCCTTTGAGTTCAGCGGAGTACGCTGGCGGTCTTCGGAAAGCTTGGTCAGACGCAGTCAAAATGCATCTATGCTTGTTTTGTGCCCGCCAAGTCGGGTACCCAGTTGGATCAGCCCGCTCTAGACTTGACAATTGGGTGTCTTTTACGACGGGCGACAGCTGCGTGATGCGTGAGATGACGCCATGCAGTTACTATGCGTTCGCTACTGGAAGTTCTTGACGGGTTTTAGGGAGGACATGGCCTCGGAACAGGTTTCAGTACCTCTCAGGGCTCTCTGCCATCTGACCATCATCAGATAATGGCCCGATTCGCAGTGTTGTATCCATAAGCCCAAGATATGCAATACTGCGAAAAGCGGCAAGCCTCTTGGTCTCCTTTCGGGATAACCAGCCCCCAAACTGACCCTTTCACGTAACTCATGACACAGTCCGAATCTACCTGAGCAATCTACCTGAGCGAGGAGTATAGTATTAGGATATAGTCTCCTGATATGGTTATACAATACCTAGATAGCACAGTACCTGTATATTACCGTACAGCTGCGCATTACGAACACGAGCGCTGAAACTTTTCAGCCAGAATGTTGCCCCCAAGGAATTCCACAAAGGCAAAAGAAAGCGCTAATTATCTCCGAATCACAGCGGCTTACCAGGTTGGTCGGTCCGTGAGCGTGGCTGTGTCGATGGTGCATACCGAAAGTCTTGGGCTCATCTCACTTACATTTTACACGTGTGCGACTGCAATGAGTCGAGCGGCTGGCCAATCAGACAAGCTTTGCATCCATTTTAATTCGGCGTCTAGATAGATCACAATAACTTGGCATTTCTTGGAATGTTTTGACAGGACGTCCTCTTCTCGATCTATTCATTAGCTCTAGCAAGGAGGCCTCGCGTTAACTGTCTCCCTCACAATTACGTCGAGAGTCATGATGCTGAGTTGCACTTTGGAAAGTTAAAATTGTTGACTTTATTACGACGTTGCATGTTGCGCAATATGCTGACTGTATATTGCCTCGTTCTCCCCTTTGCACTGCCCCGTTGGGAGGGTGTCACTGCATAGGACTAGCGATTCCCGAGTGGCTGCGAGCCAATTGCTTTCTGTACAGTCGCATGCTTTTTCTATCGAGTCTGGGGATCATCACCTTTCGTTCTGCAGGAGAAAGGGACCCCAAAGGTGCTGCTGTGTCACCGCCAAACCCCAAAAAGTGTCTGTTGTCCTGCATGCAAGAACCATGCAGTTGAGACATCGCGACCCCAGTTTTTGCACGAGCCGGTCTCGAGGCTAGAGCCTGCCAAATCAGATAGTGTAGCCAATAGCCAAAACTATGGCGGATGCACCCGCAGTTGATCAAATAGTGGCAGTTGGGGGCATTGACCATATCGTTTATTGATCGCCGAGTTCATGTTCAACCAAAGCCAAGTTGCTTCAAAATTGGGATATCAAACGTCATGGTCCTAAGAAGCGGTCGATAACTATTGATCAAAGTAATCAATATTAGATGCAAATCTTCCATCGCAATACACTCGCCCTGTCTGCGTCTAGATAAAAATCCTTCTTGGGGGCGAATTTAGTATCCGTGTTTTGAGACTTTGTAGACAGGTAGAATTCTACACCACACTGCGGTATACTTCGATGTATCACGCTCACAGGTTTGAATGAGTTGCTATGGCCGAACTAGTATATCGGAAGTCACTCAAAGTATCTCACGAGAATGTTTGAAAAGTAGTCGCTCGTTTAGATTGCCGTTCCTCCGCACACTACATGACAAGACAGTGCTTCGCCTTGGCAATGGGCTTATCACGACCCCCATCGGCGTCCCAAGTCAACATTCCTGACGTGCACCAGCCCCGAGGCCTCCTCCTCCTTCCTGTCCGTATCTGCCGCCCCTGATCCGCGCTCTCCTTCCGCCCGACCGAAGAACCTCCGCGCAGCGACCCCCATGACACCCTCCCAGAGCTGCGCCACGAGCCCCTGAAGTTCGTCGCCCGTCTGTTTGAAATCCGGGAACGCGTTGACCTCGAGCAGCCAGGGTGTGCCGGCGGCATCGACCAGGAAGTCCAGCCCGTACACCTCGAAGCCGTTGGGCAGCGGCTGGAAGTGCATCATCATGCCGCGGGCGGCCGCCTCGAAGACCTCGCCCGTCACGGCGCAGATTTGGTCGAAGATATGCTCCTTCGAGGGCAGTTCTGCCACGGAGGAGGGTGACGATGATGACGGAAGCTCCAAATCCCAGAATTTCCGCACCGTACCGTCGCTCACTGAACGTTGTAGGCAGGTGTTTGTGAGATGCCCTTCCAAGTCGTCGCCGCCCTGCTCCCATGGTGCCACGTAGGGCTTGCCGGCGAAGAGCGCAAGCATCTCTCTGTAGACGTAGACGTCCAGGCTACCGACGCAGAGCACGTATGTCCGAATGTGGAACTTGCGGTTGTTGGAGCTCGGGAGCAGGAGGGGCGGGTGTATGTAGGGTTGTGCGACGAAGTGCCTTAGGTGCGAGGTTGTGATGTAGTCGCCGCCTTCTTCATTGTTCCCGTGAGTCTGCGAACCTTCGACGTTCTCGTCTGCATCTTCATCTTCGTCGTCACTGTCTGGGCGCTCTGCCTCCCATTCGTCAAAGATTTCCTGTAGCTCCTCCATCGTACTAAAAAGGCGGATACCCTGCCCACGATCACTCATGCCAGGCTTCAAGATCCACCACTCCTTATTGTTCTCCTGCTCTGGCCTTTGATCGTCACACTCCTCGTTCCGCTCTAAACTTGCTCTCAGGTCGAAGGCTTCTACCAACGCGTCGTCGAGGAACTCGGCGTAGTCGAGCTCGAATGCCTCGCCTCGTTTCACATGGGTCTTCAAAACTGAATCGGGTCGCTTCGCAACCCAATTCTCAACTGTAGAGCCAAGGTAGTGCTTCCTGATCAAAGCTTTCCGTAACATGTAACTGTTGACCAGGCAGGTGGACTCATGCTCCGATACGAACTCCCAGTCAATCGCCTCGTACGGCGAAATCTGCAGAACTCGAGTATCCAGGAATGGGAGAAGCTTTGCGAGTGAAATTTCAGATTGCTCCGTCTCTGATCCTTTTGGTGGAGATAGCATGGTATATGATTCCGGGGGAAATGCCTTCTTGAAGGCAGACAAGATCAGAGGTTGTACGTAGGGGTCTTCGTAGTCTATGAGTGCGTGGAAGTGGTCCTTCGACCTATGAGGGAGAGCTATCTCACTGGAGGGTTGCGAACTTTCTGGCTCGATCGTGTCCCTGGAATATGTGGTCAGATAGGGCACAGTGATACATAATGTAAGTCGTGTGATTATCATATGGGCAAGAGGCCCAGGTACCTCGACGGGCCAAGGCTATCAAGTTATAGGACTCTACAGTCTATATGCCTGGCTCTGTCTACTCGCCCGAGCCGTCGTCTTCCACGCCCAAGGTAGTCTAACATGGACATGACATAGTCTCAAAAAATCGCTGGTTCAAATCAAATGCTAGTCCACTCACAATGTCAACTCTGTTCCATGCAGGTGCGTTGCTGCGTGCCAGAAGTTGGCCTTCATCGGTGTGACGCTGTCAAGGAATCAGTGAAATCCAAAAAGTCTTGGGAAGTTGAATCACAACCTACCTTGTCATCTCCTGCATGACCACCCATCCATCACTGCCTTGCCTGCCCTCGGTTATGCTGTGGTTTACATTCTCAATCATCTGCTGAGGCGCCCACTTGAAGTGCCTGTGTGGATAGCGTGAGTCCTCCTCAACATTCTCAGCAGCTCGGTCTTCTGATCGGACCTCAGCTTCCCTAATTTTCATTTCCTCCTCTTCCTCATCGCCGATGCTCCCTTCCACCTCCTGGAAGCAGGCGTGGCCCTCCGCCCAGTAATTTTGCAGCATCTCCGCAAACATGACCTTCTTCTTACCCACGCCGTCCATCAGAGGCACGTTGACCGTGTACAGGTCAACACTCTTGTCCGTCGGCCATTGGGCATAGAGCTTCTCGATCACCTTGACGCTGTGCTCGCTCGCCTGTTCAATGAATGACGGGTAATGCGGGTCGTGCTTCCCCTTGAAAAAAGCATAGCTGAGCGCAATGGCCTTCCGCCTACACACGGCGGCCTCGAGCGCCGCACCGAGTGTCCCCGAAGACAGGCCAAATACAGCTGTGGTATTCCGCCCGTAGTTGGGCCCGCTGACCACCAGATCAACGGGGCCCTTGTCGTTGAAGAAGTGGTACAAGCCGAGCTGCGCACAGCTCGCCGGGGTGCCGTCGGCAAGGATCCACTCCTCCACGTCCTTTGACTTGGCCGGCCGGCTGTGGGTAGAGCCCTGATGTTGGGGGGCTTCGAGGCGCGGGTCGAAGACGGGCGGCGGACGGTAGTACTTGGGCTTCACGGTCTGACCGATCATGTGGGCCTTGCCGATCCAGGAGCGCTGCGAGGCGGGCAGGATGACGCTCACGGTGTGGCCGGCCTTCTGCAGGGCGCGCACCAGGCTGTGGACGTACGGCGAAGAGCTGGTGGCCGGCGGCCCGTCGTCATTGGTTACGAGGATATGCATCCTGGAGACGGTGGCTCGGAGGGCTGCAGAGGTATTTCGGCTCCGGACGGGGGAATCCCTAAGAGTGCCGGGACTGGGAATAGGAGATGATGTCCCAAGTCACAGCAACACAGACTGTAAGCTGATGCAGCTGATCAAAGCAGTATATTCGTATGGGCAAAGGGAAATCGACCCTGTCCGCCGTACACGGAGACCGAAGGTCTGGGTTTTCGATAGGGTAGTGGGGCACGCGGGGCAGTAGTCAATTCATGTTGTGATTTGGGCGCCAGTTGACAAGACTAAATAAAACGTCATTCCGCGCTGCACTGGCACGATTGAGGGCGGCTTTCCTAACTGGGTACCTCAATTACCTGCGTGCCTTTGGTCCTCCGCCTGTGTACTAATGAAAGCCCAAAAGATATACGTATTCAAGCACCATGGTATTCGAAGCTGACTAGCGCTTTTCACGGCGTATCTACATCCTTGCACCCATCACCCGCGCAGTGAAGGGCTGGCCATGTTATACTTTTCGGAACTCCATGCCAGCGGACATTCGTCGACGATCCAGAACCTAGGAGTTAGTAAGAATTTGAGGGAGAAGAGAAAGAAGAACATAAAAGAAGATGAAGCAAAAAGAGGCAAACAGGCGGTGCGTCGTCCCCTTACTTGGGCCTAGGCTTCCCAGTGAGCAAGATTTCCATACCCTAATATCTGGCCATATGGAGCGAGGCACGGGTCCATCAGGCCACTATGCCGGCTGACTGTTGAGAATATGAATTTCTATTCACATTCATGTCTGTTTGTTTCCTTGACAAGAACGACAGTTTATGCGCCCGTCCCTCGGCCTCCCGTCAAGCATATTAATGTAAGGAGGAGGTTCACTTCGATTTAACTAGGCTCTCTCTGGGTACATGACTACAACTGCATACGCATTTTGGAAGTATGTGGCTATTTTATGTTTCTCTTGTATTCTCACTTGATATCGCTATGATTTGACTGGTTATTCCGAGAGCAGTCAACACGGTTTAGACCGCGCAGTCCCAGTTTGCCACCCAGGTGAGCTTCAGAAGATGGCAGCTTGGGTTGAGATATCATAGATATCAAGCGAGCTAGCGACCAACATAGGGCATGCGGGCCACTTTGAGCTGGCAGATTGGGGCCTTATTGATGACATTCTGTGGATAATCCATTGGCTTTGTTTCCTTGCTTTCACGTACGGATCATAGCAGCTCCCACCTGCTTTCGTCGTGCTGCAAGTAATGAACATATAAGCCGTTACTGCCTCTAGATAATTGTTCAATTATGCTATTTCACTTCGACACTATGCTCCCAATAGCGTAAATGTTCTTGTCAAAAGGCCAGAGAAGTCGCTGAGCTGTTGAGATGTAGCACTCAAGATCATGAGACAAGAAGTGCGGTGTGTTTGTTAGTCGACATGCCAGAAAATTTTGCATTTTGACGTCTTGCCAGTCTTCATTTCGCCATTGATGAGTATGTATTGCAAGGGAGAGAAAATTCAGCTTTGGCCGAATTCGGTGTTCTTTCGCTCCTAAATATTGTATGGGTGACCTTCCTTATCAGGGATGCAGCCGCGAGGGCGAGGTGCAATACTACCCAATTGCCTGTTTTGGCAGTGATGACATCTACAGATGCAGCAAAGCGGGACACAAAAAAAGTGCTTGTTTGCACATCTACTATTCAGAGCCGCCCTATCGCCTTGCATTGTATGCAGCTTTCCCGATTTCTACTCAATTCACCTGCTGGGGGCCCAAGTTATAAATTTTTGTGTTCCCCGCTTCATTCGCCCACTTCATGACATCCCATCATACTCTTCTTGAGGCATTGTGACCATGAAAGCCATCATCTTTGCGCTTGGCCTTTTGGTCGCCGTAGTGAGGACTGGTCGTGTTACCAATGCTCCTCACGTTCCTCACATCAACGCCAGAGATGTTGGCGCTAACGGACGCCCAACCTCGTACCCCGTCAACTATTTTGACCAGCAGATTGATCACTTCCCCAATAGTGACAGATACTCCCCTCATACCAATGACACGTTCAAGCAGCGGTACTATTTTGACAGCACCTACTACAAGTCTGGTAAGGCAGCCGAAAAGAACAAGCCCCGAAACTAGAAGGTGATACTGATGGGGATGAAGGTGGTCCTGTCTTCCTCTACATTGGAGGCGAGACATCTGGTCCTAGCAGATGGTCGAACCTACAGACAGGAATAATTCAGATCCTCATGGAGGCATTCAATGGCTTGGGCGTAATCATCGAGAACCGTTACTACGGAGAGAGCTATCCCTACAACACGTCGACTACGGATGAGTTGGCATACCTGACCAACGAGCAGACAATTGCGGACTTCGCCAATTTCGCTCAACATGCTACCTTCCCCAATGTCACTGGAGACTTGACTGCACCTGGAACACCCTGGATCCTATACGGTGGTAGCCTAGCAGGTGCTGAGACGGCGTTCTCCATCAAGCAGCACGGCGATATTCTCTACGGTGGGATTGCTTCCAGCGCCCCCATCTGGCTATCTGTTGGCTACTCCAACTGGTACAATCCAATTTTGAAGTATGCACCTCAAGACTGCGTGACTCGTATCAGTCGAATTGTCGACAACTTCGATGCTGTGGTAGCGTCTGGTGACCGAAGCACCGTCAACAACTTCAAGGCGCTTTTCGGTTTGGAGTCGCTCACCGACGATCGTGATTTCGCCATGCTTATTGCCAACCCAATAGGGAACCCCGGTTTCTATCAGACAGCCACTTGGCAAGAGATTGGCTGGAAGAACGGCGCCAACGACTTCTTCGAGTTCTGTGGTAATGTGACGAATATTGACGCCCCAGAAACCATCACCCAAGTCGACTATGCTCTAGCCAACTACACAAAAGGCCAACCCTGGGCAGGCCTTGGCGGCTATGCGGACTACGTCAAGCGGGAAGTACTGCCCTTATGCCCGAACGGAGATTACAACAGCAATGACTGCTTTGGTACCCAGAATGCCAGCTGGTGGGCCGACACTTCCAACTCAGGCACGCGTTCCTACGTATACACCAGTTGCGTCGAACAGGGGGCTTACATCGACTCGCCCAAGTCAGGACCGGCGCTTCTCTCCCGGGTCATCAACACCACCTACGAGCAGCAATGGTGCAAGTGGGCTTTCCCAGACGGAAAGTTTAACAAGATCCCGGACTCACCTGCCGTCGAGGCTTATAATGCCTTCGGCGGCTTCGACTTCCAAGCAGATCGACTGGCTTTCATCGACGGAGATCAAGATGTGTGGAATGATCTCTGCTTCCACTCCGACTTTGCGCCGCAGCCGCGTCCCCAATCGACGGACCTGCATCCCCACTACTTGATCACAGGCGCTGGACATCACTGGGATAGCTCGGGCATACTTAACATCGAGGCCGAGCCGCAGTTTATCAGAGAGGCCCACAAGTGGGAAATCCGAACAGTGAAGAAGTGGCTTGACAAGTTTTCTGACTGGAGGGCTGCTTTTGCTCCAGCTAAAGGAGGTGCAGCTCAGTCAACCCGGCATTAATACATGCACTTGCATGAACGAGAAGACAGATGGACAGTGATATTCTTTACTACGTCTAATAAATGCGTAGATATAACTAAAGATAAAACGTTTCTGCTCTGAGAACTAGTTGTCTTGTGTGTTCAGTGTTGAGATAGATCTAGCATGATTATATTCCTTCCAGAATTCAAGTTACTGTTATAGGAAAGAGCCCTGTGTAACATCCAAACCTGCCAAACCTACATCACATCTCGAAGCAAGCGGCATATGCAATCTCACTTCCACTGCGGCGAGTTAAGTGCAGGCCTTGTCCAATTCCCGGCGCCGGGGATCCTCTGGATGAGTTTGTTGCCGAGATTCTCAATAGATGCATGAAATTCAGACCACGACCTTGCATTCCACTTGGCACCGTTGGCTCCCGGCACGGCATCGGGACCTGGAAAGGCAATGTAAAGAACGTCATTGGGCTCGTGGCCGTTGTTTCCGTTCATACTGTGACCAAAGCATGCGGTGGCCAGAGCAAGAGATGCCTCACCAATCATTTGTTTCCCGTGACGTTCGTCCTCATCGACACCGTATTCATCGCCCCAGACACCGTAGAACTGGTCAGTGGTCAGAATTTTCGTACGCACAACGTTAGGCACTCGGTTCGCGAATTTGACTTACCAGTTGATTGTTGCACACCACGGCAACGATGCTCAGCGGCAAGACGCCATACTGTTTGGGGTTGAACTTGGGCTTTCTGCCAACGTTTCCGAGGACCACCCAAGAGTGTCTAACTGAGTTGAGCTCCGTTATTCCTTTCTTGTAGCCCCTGATGATATCTTGGAAAGACGTCTCTGGCTCGCGTTCCTCAGCAGATTCGCAGCGTCTGTCGCCCGATGGGCTGTCATCGCCGTCGCAGTCAACATCCATGTCGGCGAGCGCGCCGTTAGTGCCTTGTAAGTAGATCACCTTGTAGTCGTCCAGATGGTCGCCGCAATAGGAGAAAGCTGTGAGGGCTTCGGTCAGCGCATAGCTATGTCTCGTACCGGGGAATGTATGCGTTCAAATATGGGAGGAGCTCACTGTTTCGGCTTCTTTCGGTGCTATAGAAGCCACTTGCGAGCTTATTTTGGCAAGTCTGATTGTTTACTATGCCGGTGTAAAAACTCTGTATGTTGCCTGGCACAGTACGTCCGTGGACGAGAGCTTGCATGAGAAGAGGCCCCATGGCCAGCAATTGGTAGAACTTCATTTTCGTGATTGAATGTCGAGGCAAATTGCGAAAACTTGAAGAGAGTGAAACAACATGAAATCAAATGACACTTAAGAGAGAGAAATGCAAAATAGTTGGCGATGGTACTTATAGGCAGAAGAATTGTTGCACTCACCAACACAACTATTATGGGACAATGTGTAGAGCGACGCGCCACGTTTTTGGTTGTACGCAGCGTTTTCACAGCATTTCCCATTGAGCTACTTAGTTGCGACATGTTTAATTCGTGATGAGGTACAAATCTCTTACATTACCTCTCACCATGAAGAATCAGTGTCACGCCTAGACTTAGCCCATAATTTCCTGTGATACTATCCCACTGGGGAAGGCAATCTAATAATTATTACCGAAAACTACGATGGGATAACTTTTCTAATGCATGCTCCCTCTGTATCATTGAAATAGATGAAGCTTTCCTAGATACAAAAGCTTTTCCGTCTTGATACAATGCACCGTGGCGTGGGGGGCTCGGCGAGCGCATAAGAAGGCGCCTCAGACGCAGTTATGGTGGAGCTCTGAGCGTGGATAAGCAAACATAGTCCTTTCAGAAAGTGTAGGAACAGAAATTATTGAAGAGAATAGATGTTGAATTATCCCCTACACAGCAGGGCCATGCTACCTTGAGGAGACGCAACGTTCCTCTCATGGCTTTCGACCGTAGGCCACATAGACCTCCATGTAACCATGAATATCTGTATTCTCAAGGTCCCTTAGGAGGCCTTCCATTAGTTTATCATATTGCTCTTTCGTCCAGCCTAGGATCTTCGTAAACACAGGCACCGACATATCTGGCAAGGCCAGTGCCCAGTCTCTTTGGCAAAGTAAACCGATTAACTTTTCCCTCTGTCCCTTTGCCCAAGGGTTGATCGGCATAAAGAAGTGCTGCTCAACTACATCCTTGAAGCCCTCTTCTCGCATATACCGACCCCAGTTCTTCGCATCCATCAGGTCACGGCTTGTCTGCGACAGCCCCTCACAGAGGAGATTCTGCCATTTGTCGAAGTTGGAGCCACGGAACGAGTCGTCATCACCGCGCCATGGCACAATGCCGTCTTGTATCTCAAGGTAACCGCCAGATTTCAGATGAGGGAACGCGTTCTTGATCACAGTACGATTGTCTGCAAAACAGGCAACGAGCGCGCGCCCGTGGATATAGTCGTACGTAGTGTCAAGTTGCCACGGCTTCTCCGCGTCTTGGATCTGAAACTTGTAGTTCGCCGGTGTTCTAGTTCGCTGTTGGTTACTACGGAACCTGGGACATCTTGTGGCAATCTTACGTAGCTGGCTGCAATCTGTCGCTAATATCTGTGCCCATCACATCGCAGCCGGGGTAGGCTTGTGCAAATTCGATGCTCCAGCGTGAGGTTCCGCAGCAAAAATCTAGAGCCGATCGAGGAGTTGACAGTGGTGCTAGGTGGAGCATTTCACCGAACAACAGTCCGAGAATCGCGTGTTGTAGATCTTCGATAATCAGCGGTTGTTCAAAGACACCAAGAGTTCGAATACTGTACCTAGACGTGACCTTTCTAGATCGTTATGAGGTAGCAGGTAATCTCCCGCCCATTAGTCTCGGCATTACAGTTGTCAATAATAATGTTCCATGGCCCTTACTCGTGTCTTGTAAAAACTCCTTTTCATCGAACTTTGAGGCAAGCCCTCCAACCTCTTTCAAGTATTCCGACGCTTTCCTAAAGGATACAGTAAGCACTCAGACCAACTAGTATATTACGAGCCACGTACGCGACGGCCGCAGAAAGGTCGTGTTCCTTGGACGTTGCTTAGCTATATCTCAAGACCAATCAAGAAGCCCATAGTTATCTTACACTTTCATCATCACCAGTATCTACTTCCAAGTTTGAGCGGAGTCTTACAGTTGAATGGATTGGAAGCATGGTCAATGAAGTATGAGGTCTGATGAAAGTTGCCTAATTTCTAAGCGTCGATGTTCCCTGGGTAATGACGGATGGTATCCCTAAGCACAGCAAACATTCATAATAAAGATACTGAATTAGATGGCTGCCTCGCTGGCCGTTTCAGATTATTTCCAGACGACTGAACACATTCCCTGCTCTTGCATTCCAGAGGCGCGGTCTTCGTGACCCCTCAAACGACAGGGATCAAAGTCCCCATTATTCCTGATAGAACGTATCCAGCTGCCAATTCGGTCGAGTTGTTTCTCTTGATTGCGCGTTGGCCGACAATCATACGAGTTACGGATCCATCTGGCGTACACGATAGCTGTCACGCGATGCCAACCACTTGTTTAAACCCCATTGCATTGACTATGGAAGAACTGTCGGCACCGACCAAAAGTGTACTGGGAACCGGTATGAAGACGAAAGGAACGAGGATTTCTACAGGATAATTAATTCGATTTTAACCTTGAACATGAAACCAACGGCAGCGACTTCTATAATTTATGCAGAGCTGTTGATGACTTCAGAGGTATCGAATGGCTCAGCGTTAGTCTCTTTCCCACCGTAGAGTTTGCTCGTCCCAAGCTTCTTCCATGGGGCAAATGCATTGTTGACACCGTTCAAGGCAGGGCGCAACTCGGGAAAGTGGCGACATAATACATCCACCATGGTGTTGTTCTGGACCCAGGCCAATCCCTCCTGCGTGTAGGTCTCGGTGTTCCACTGCCCCGCAATAAATCTGTCGCTCTTGAGGCGTCGACTAGCCATGAGGATGAAGACGCGGAAAGCTGTATCGCTGAAGCCAAACCCTTTCGGTAGCGGTTCGCAAAGGCAGCCGACAAGAAGGTCCACTAGTTCAATTTTACCGTCATATACCGCGCTGACTTGTTCTGCCAGCTTCTTATCGCCACCGGTGAGATCGAGGAAGTTCTTCGCCGGGGGCATGTGGAAAAGTCGTCTGAACTGGTTGTAGCGTGGCACGCCACGCTCGCGATCACGCAGGATGTCCACAGTGCCCATATCCAAGTGTCTGCCGTCAGGTAGGTGGAGATCCCGTAGAAACCCCGGGGTGTTGTGATGCGTGATCGCACCCGGGAAGTTGATGCCGAACGAGTAGAAGGCGTCTGCGAAGCTGATGTCGTCCTTCTCGAAAGGCGAACGGGCTTCGTCGAAGGCCACGCTCTTGATTGGTTTTGTAATAGCGTGCGCGCCACTCTGCACCTTAAAGAAGGCAATATCGTCTGGTATGAGTGGATGCAGCCTGTAAACGGAGACAAATTCCTCGGTGAGGGAATAAGGGGCACCATCTTGCTCTGGCCCTGAGCCTGGGATACCACTAATTACTTCACCATCCGCAATCCGCCCTAGGATTTTCCATAGCTTCTCGCCAACAAGTCCCCACCAGTTGGTGTTCATGGAGATCTTAAGCACTGGATGCTGAAGAATCGCAGGAGTCCATTCTACGGTATGTATTTTTGCCATCAGGGCACAGTTGATGAGACGAGCTGTGTCGAACAGCTGATCGCTGGTCCAGGTCGGATGCGTCAGTTGCAGCTGACTGCAGATAGAGTTGTGCTCCAAGGCGAAGAGTGTATGAAGCAGCTCCAGACCGATCCACCAGTTCTCATTAAATCCGGTAAGGGGGACCTTGTCCTTTCCACGAGGCAAAAACGTAGCACCGCCATCTCGTACATCAACTGTGATCTTGCCATCATGACACTTGGATCGCAGTTCCCGCGTCTTCTCTTCTGAAGAGCCATAGATCTGAGACCCATCCCACCAATGAGTGTTCTCATTTTTATACGCGGGATATTTACGGTCCTGGTCGCTCAGGGGTTCGTCCGCCTGTGTCTTGGAGATTTTCATGCCGTCACCTGACCACTTGTCACCTTCTGGAAGAGGCACGTCCCAGTTCTTGGAGCTTCGAAAGTGTTGTGCCCAATCATGAACCTGGAATTGAATCCATGCCGCGGCGAGGAGATTGACTATGGTAGCCGGCTTGAAGACGCCTTCCTCACGTGCAAGTAGCTTCTCGCTTATTATGCGAGGGTTAGGCGTGAGGAGTTCCTCCTGCGTTGGGGCGGTTGTGAATTCCCGTGGCACATTACGACCGAAACGCATGCACCGACCACCCATTTTCGGTCGCTCGAGATCGTTGAACTGGCCATCGGAGTTTCGCACCGATAGAAACTTGGTCTCGGGCATTTCAGGTGACGAAGCAGTACCCTGCTCGTCCCACTCAGGATAGGTATCGTGCAGGTTCTTGTCGCGAAGCTCATAGCGAAGAGCCAGTAGGTTGAGGACACCTATCCATTTTGGAAGCTTGTGCCATGGTACGAAGAGGTTCACCGCTTTGAAAGACCATATGAGCATTCGTTGCCCTACGGTTGCCGTCATGGTGAGATGCTTATCTCCCTAGGAGATGCCCTCAGAGTGAAGGCTTGGCCGAGGGGAGATTATGAGAAGTAGAAAGGAAAGGAAAGAGAAAGAGAATGCCCGAGGTTCTTAAGCAGTTTTGAGCAACGAGCCGTGGAAGGCTTGCTGCAGCGTCGTCCCCCACTGCCACACACAACCTCCTCAGACACGGCGCTGATGGGAAAGTGCGAATGAAGGAGTGCCAAACCTGGTGTGTCAGCTTCTGTGGTCAGACAACGTCTACGTGCGGATGCGAACTGCAAGGGAGAGTTGAATCCTTGCCAATCAAGGGCAGCAGAGAAGCTGGATCAGCCGTGGTAATCTGAGGCTCCAGCTAGCCACCGGGGTTGCATTCTAAGCTGAGTAATAGATGCCAAGATTGTTTGCATGCTTGCTTGCTTCTGGCATCTGACATGCTTTCGCGAGTTGTCCAATAGAACAAGTCGTGGAAATAGCCGATAGATGACTATTATGTGGGGGTTTGTAGTGGCACAAGCACAGAACGTCCCAGCCGTGTCCATTTTGGATGCTTGCTTGGTATAGCAGGTTTCCAGTGTTTCCCAGTGCTTATACAACTCAGTGCGAAGCGTTCAGTCACGCAGACAAGAAGTAGCAACTCTAGTAATCTCCCTTTTTTCACCTTTTGCGCCACTGGAAGTCACTTGAGCATAAGATGGTGCACGGGAAAAGCAAGTGAAACCCAGCCCCAAGTCAGGTGCTGCCTGTCGCAATCCGAACCTGGAGGTACAAGGTGGGGGCAGTCAGCCGTCTCACGTGCGATACTTGTACAACCATGAGATACCACTTATGGAGCGTCAGTAACTGTGTATCGATATGTGCCCATCTCACTAGATTGGTTGTTTCGACGTCGTAAGGATACAGCAGAGCGCACGAGAAGAATAAAGTAATACTTGATATTCTCAACATATCATATAGCTTTCCCAGACATTTTGCTAGTTGACGCGACGTTTATTTTGATTGATGAGCTCCTGAGCTCAGCCTCAATAACCAGGGAGCACTGGTCGTTCTCTCTAGAGAAGACCGTCCCTACGACAAAAGGCCGTCTAAGGGAATTGAGTCAATGCTAATGATGTTTGAGTAATACACAATAAGATCTAGTCTAGCTAGACGATGAAAACCATGCTCACCCGCCAAGAGCGGGAATGGAGCCAAATAGTCAAACCGACTTGGATTCTCCAGAGCTGACCGGCCATGACCAAGTGAATAAATCAACGATTGACTCGCAACGCAACACCTTTTTGGCTTAATGAGGATCATCAAGTCGTACCCAACGGCCGTTTCTTCAGGGCATATTCAGTTGCTCTCAAGCGCCGAGGAGTCCGGACAGAAGTCCGCCGAGGCCTCCAGCACCTCCAGCGCCTGCAGCATCTCCAGCTTGTGCGCCAGCGTTCGCGTTGTTTCCACCGCCGAGAGCACCCTGCAGCTGACCAAGCAGTGACTCAAGTCCGCTTCCCGCAGCGTTGCCTTGAGCAGCATCACCGGCAGCAGCGTCGCCCTTCTGAGCAGCGTCGCCGGCGGCAGCCTCGCCCTTCTGAGCAGCATCACCGGCGGCAGCCTCTCCCTTCTGAGCAGCGTCGCCGGCGGCAGCCTCTCCCTTCTGAGCAGCATCGCCGGCGGCAGCCTCTCCCTTCTGAGCAGCATCACCGGCAGCAGCCTCGCCCTTCTGAGCAGCGTTTCCTGCCTTGTTTCCTGCCTTGTTTCCTTGCTGTGCTTCTCCTAATAAACAGATTAGCATCCCAGTCAATCCTCACTAAAGGTCCGCAACTTACCAGCGGCTGGAGCAGTAGCGTTCGAGGCATTTCCAGTCGCACCCGCAGCAGCCTGCTGACCTGCCAGCTTCTGAGTGAGTTTGTCAACCTTGGCTTGTGCTTTCTCCTCGGCGGCGGCGTCGCCTGCGGCAGTCGCAGCATCTAGGTCAGCTTGAGCCTGAGTGAGCTTGTCCTGTGTCTTAGCAGCGTCTGAAGTCCGAGTTAGTATTGTGCTTCTTGCAGTGACGGCCACAGGGCACGAAAAGGGGTTTAACATACTCTGGGTTGCTTTATCGGCAGCTGCCGCATCGCCTGTTGCTGGGGCCGTTGCGTTACCCGCGGCTGCGTTGGCACCACCCTACAAAGGTCTTAGTCTGGTTCGCCACCAAGATAACAGAATTTGCATACCTTGTTCTTCTTGCGAGCAACGAGATGGGCATAGGCGTCACGAGGAATCATGTGACGAGCGGCCACGCCCGTGGCACCAGCATTTGCGGCGCCGGTGGCGGTTGCTGAATGTCGAAAATATGTCAGTCGTTCATCCGAGATACTCTCCAGAAGTGCTACCCAGTATACAACTCCAGGGCGAAGAAATACGAAGGGGAAGGTGATCACTTACCAGCAGCATCACCTGAGGCAGCAGCGGCTACAGTTCAACAAAGTCAGCTCCTGAATATGGTTCTTCATCATCGGAAATCTTGCTTGACATATGATGCCAAAACTGGTTCACCTAGGAATATGCGGTCCGGACGAAGCAATTGTTACAAAAGGATAGTACGAACCTGCTGAAGAGGCAGCGGGTGCAGCTAGAAACCATCAACGTTAGTATATCATGAAAAAGGGGCTTTGGAAAATCGATAGATGCGCATTGCCAAACCAAGCGTACCTAGAGGGCATTGGTATAGACAAAAAGCTTCTCTTATCTATAAGCGGAAAGGAAAGAGAACTGACCTGCAGAAGCCTTGGCCTTCTTGGCCTTCTTCGCTTTGCCACCTGCTCCGGCATTGGCATTGGCGTTACCTGCTCCGGCATTGGCGTTGCCTGCTCCGGCGTTGGCATTTCCAGCCGCGGCGGCGTTGTTGGCGTTACCTGCTCCGGCACCGTTGGCCTTACCACCTGCTGCAGCGTTGTTGGCGTTTCCACCTGCTGCCGCACTGCAAGGTACCATATCAGTATTTGCTCGCCAAGGCACATAAGCCCTTTGGGCTGGGCTTCATTGCGGCGTACGTATGGACACATTGAAGCTCTTCGACGCCGCGGCCCTGAGCCCCGGGCTTGCAAAGGGTTGTAGAGACAAGCTTGAAAACACTCACTTGTTACCATTGGCAGCGTTTGCCGCTCCATTGCCCTTGCCCCTGGCCGCCTTGCCCTTACCCTGGCCCTGTCCTTTGCCCTGGCCTTGTCGTGGAACCAGTCCTCGCCTTTCGTATGGGGCTGTTCTGGCATCAAGGTTCGAATAGTAAGGGGCACGCACGGCCAAGACGTCGCCCTGAGGCTGTGCCGGGAGTGAGACGACGTAGTTGGCAGAGCATGCCAACAACATCAAAGCGGTTCCAATGTTCTTCATCTTGACGACTTGATTCCAAACAACTTGCTGAAATGACTGGTTCGAATAATATTTCTAAAGAGAATGTATGTTGAAGAAGCGAAGAAGGAAACACGAGACCAGCTACTGGATGTTAGTCTTTGGACGGAATCATGACAACTATGATGGGGCACAATGACTTACCTCAACGCGTAGAATGAAAAAAGGCTAGTGTATACTCGAAGAGACGGTTGAGAATGAAGAAAAAGGTCGGCTAAAACGGCACCGGGGAGCATAGTATTTATGGCCATGAATGAGGCTCTGAGCTTCTATATCCATCGAGAAAATATTGGCGCCGATCGCTTGGCTCCAAGTCGAACAAACCATGTCATGCAACCTTCTCGAATATCAGGCCCAGCCAGCGTCCGAGCTATTGCAACATGAACCCAGGTTTGGAGGTGGTGCCGCCTTCAGAATCCCAGTATGACCTGGAGGAACAGCGCCATTGAGACGGCTGCGACTCTTGGATCAGCGGCCCTGTCTAGCAAAGGTTGCGGCTCCAAGAGAACTAGGCCAATAACGTTGTTTCGCATGAGTTCTCGAAACGCGGAAGATGTGGGATAAGATTTCCTGTAAAGAAGATCATACAAGCCATGCTCTACTGTGGGACAGCTCGGCATTCCCCAGCCAGCCTGGTTGAGTAATGACAATCAAGGAGATCTCAGGCGATCGCGGCGGTCGTGTTTCGCTGCCAAGACTGTGCGTGTCTTTTTTTAATCCTGCCAAGGTTGTTTTCTGGGGACCAGTTCTCGGGTGGCAGGCCTCTCTGACTGGAGATCAAACACGGGGGACCTCAGCATAAAACATCCCCATGGGCTGGCCGCCAAGGACCGCCAAGGGCCGTCAATACGACCCGCGCAGGTGACAGAAGCCGGCGCCTACAGAAGCACTGTCGAGACGGCCCAAGAGGGACGGTCAAGAATTGGAATTGCTTTTGGACATCGCGTGAGGTCATTGTTTCATGGAAACCAGACTTCCGGTTACAAGAACGCTCGCGAGCCACAGGCCCGATGTTGTGATCGTCTAAAGAGGATCTGTCGCTCCACTGAGCCCACTGCCGGGAGCAAGCAAGCTGAAGCGGCTCCTCTTAGTTGGTCTGATGTCGAGATGGCAGCACTTGGTTCAGGCCCGAGCATCGCGGTGCATCCAGGTGCCGGATCATGGTGGATAGATGACTGGAGCAACCAAAAATTGAAGCTTAAAGTCTTTCTTCGCGCTGGGATGACAGGGCCCAGACTGGTTTGTAGATCTCCTCTCCCATGTAGCAGAAGAATGTGGGAGAGATCCGCTGCCAAGCGCGCCGAAAGTACCAATTCGTGCCTGCAGCAATAGAAAGCAATCTCCATTCTAGACATGTGAAGCATTCGTATGTATAGATTGTCTAGCGGGCAGTGGGCATGCAGCAAGAGGCGGAAACCATGTGCATTAATAGTTTGAGCGAGACAACGCTCTCCTGTGCGAAGATTCAGATCACAGTAATCCGCCGCCAAAAGACATCGGGATAATCAAGGTGAATTGCAACCATGTGGTTCAGAGGCAATCCGCCGAATTCAGCTGGTTTGGTGTGTATTCCCACCTCATGGCCCACGTTACTATAAGCAGTGCAGCGCATTCGTATAGGGAGAAAGTTCATGTGCGTACCACCGGGCCTCTGCTGCGTGCATGTCGAAACTCTACCATAGTTTAAAATACTGTTGCCTCGTTACTTTATGTCGCCATAGCATGCTTGTGGTATAATGCCTCCCTTTACTACCTAGGTAGCGGGTGAGAGATGCGATTGGTGGTGGGCGTGCAATAGCCGATTAGCGCAGCTTAGCACGGTTTCATAAGGCAAAACTCGCGAGTCACTCTCCCGAGGTCTCGTTTGAAGGTGTTGACAGGTGCAAGGGTACAGCAATGCAAACTTGAACGATTGGATTTGTTTCGATCGAAAAGGGGTTTGTGTTGTCGTTCTGGACTCTTCTGATTTTGACTCATTGATAAAGCAAAGCACAATCTGCAATGATAATTGTATGACTGGAGCCAGTCAGACACGCGATAGCCACTACCTCTGTCTCTCGCTGTACCCCGTATTCACCTTCATTGGCAATGGCCACGAGGAGGGAGTCCTGAAAGATACTGTAGACACGCACCTATAACTAGTGTATAACTAGTGTACAACTACAGTATGTATTGTGAGTATGTATGCCCAGGTGTGAGTTGAGTTACTGTTAGTGGGTTCTCCCACTTTTGCTGCTTGTCACCCACTCTTTGCTAATGCCCACTGTCTGATAGGCCTGCCCACCGGGCCACCTTGAAAGCGTGGCCCGCTTATCAGCGGCGCCCTAGCCCGGCCCAGCGCGGGCACGAGGAAAACTTGGGGCCGACAGCCACGGCGAAAGAACCTCGGGACTTTCCGAGGTCGCAGTAGGATTTTTGATGTCATTGCCATCTGCATATGCTTGCCTCTGCGCAGAATAGGCTTCCGTAGTCGCCAATTGCGCCAGCCGACGTCTATCCAGAGACTGCCCATGGCATTGCAATCACCGTGACCTTGAATCCGAACCTCTGCCTCTGCCATCCGCCTCCGCTCCAATTGAAAGAGGCTATGCGAAGTGACTGAGCTGCGACGGAGCAGTCATTCCAACGCCGACCAGCTACAACCTTCAAGTCGCAGTCCACAGCCTGTGCGCTCTCGAAACAGAATGACCATGTCGACTTCGGCGCCCCTCCAGCGGTGCATCCGTCGCGGTGCCGTGCCTAGCAGGCCAGGCCTTGCCAGTCGGCTGAGCAGCTCTTCCAGAGCTTCCTCGACGATGCCGACACATTGGAGCCGGCAGAGAGCACCCTCCTCGGCCTCCGGCTTTCGTCACCTAGCCCCAGCCCGCCCTTTCAGCACCACCCGCTCCTTTCGCTTTGCCGATGTCGACGACAACTTTGACCCCAAGACAGTAGACCGGGAGAGCGACGAGGTAGACGTCTGCATCGTTGGTGGTGGTACGTATGCCTGGCGCATAGCTTAGTCCGTATTGTGGTCATTGTCTTTCTCATGCTGATAACGCCTCTCCGCCCCTACAGGTCCCGCTGGATTGAGCGCAGCCATCCGTCTGAAGCAACTAGCGAACGAGAGCGGAAACGAAGACTTTCGAGTCCTCCTGCTGGAGAAGGCAGGGGAAATTGGCGCGCATATCCTGTCCGGTGCTGTTATTCAACCTAGTGGTGTTGAGGAGCTATTTCCCGACTGGCTGGACGAGGCAAACGAGAGCCGCTTCGAACATGCCACCCCCGCGGCCAACGACAAGATGCGCTTCTTGACCAAGGGCAGCGCTATACCCTTGCCCACCCCTCCGCAAATGAACAATCACGGCAATTATATAGTTAGTCTGAACCAGTTCACAAAGTGGCTTGGCGAGCGGGCTGAGGAGGTTGGCGTCGAGGTGTACCCTGGATTCGCTGCGTCTGAAGTCCTCTACAAGTCTGATGGATCGGTCCAAGGTGTCGCCACTAACGACCTTGGCATTGCGCGGGATGGAAAGCCGAAGGATAGTTTCGAAAGAGGTATGGAGTTCCATGCCAAGGTGACCATGTTCGCCGAGGGCTGCCACGGGAGCTTGACCAAGCAGGTAATCAACAAGTTCGACCTCCGCAGAGACAGCCAGCATCAGACCTACGCACTGGGCGTAAAGGAGGTATGGGAGATCCAACCGGAAAAGTTCAACAAGGGTGAGATTACCCACTCCATGGGCTACCCGCTCCCTTCCGACACCTATGGAGGCGGCTGGATGTACCACTTTGGGGATAACCTCGTTAGCATTGGTCTCGTCGTGGCTCTGGACTACGCGAACCCCTGGCTGTCGCCATATGGCGAGTTCCAGAAGATGAAGCAGCACCCTCTTTACAAGAACGTGCTTGAAGGCGGCAAGTGTATTTCTTACGGAGCTCGCGCTCTCGTCGAAGGTGGCTTCCAGTCGATTCCCAAGGTGGCCTTTCCTGGAGGTGCCTTGATCGGAGATTCTGCTGGTTTCATCAACGTGCCCAAAGTCAAGGGCACGCACAATGCCATGAAGTCAGGCATACTTGCGGCTGAGGCTGCGTGGGGTGCAGTCAAGGATGGCGATTCTGGCTCTGTCTTTCTTTACGATTACGAGGATTCGCTCCGCAAGTCCAGCATATGGAAGGAACTCAAGGAGGTTCGCAATATGCGCCCATCGTTCCATAACCCCCTAGGGCTGTACGGCGGTCTTGTCTATTCCGGGCTTGAGGCCTACTTTCTCAAGGGACGGGTGCCATGGACATTGAAGCACAAAACCACTGATCATGGTGCAACAAAGACGGCGGACAAGTGCCAAAAGATCGAGTATCCCAAACCAGATGGCAAGATCAGCTTCGACATTCTCACCAGTGTTTCTCGAACGGGTACAAATCACGAGGAGGATCAGCCTGTGCATCTCCAAGTCAAGGATTGGGATGCGCACACCATGGAAACATGGCCAGGTTACAAGGGTCTGGAAAACCGTTTCTGCCCTGCTGGAGTATACGAATACGTGGAGGATGATACGAAACCTCTTGGCGTGAGGTTCCAAATCAACGCTCAGAAGTAAGTTCTACGGTGCTGCATGCATCCGTCTTATCCTGAATCAATAGCCACCCAAGCATGCTAACTTGCTCTCCTCAGCTGCATCCACTGCAAGACATGTGATATCAAAGCCCCTAATCAGGACATCAACTGGTCCGTACCTCAAGGTGGCGAAGGACCTAAATACTACATGACCTAGGTGGTCCAGCTCAACCGGCCACGGTAAGATCCTGCCGTGCTTAAAACAAACAGTAACATACTGCTGCTTGAGGGTCAGGTCACAGCCACTCCCGATGTGTCTTGGTGCATATGCTGGGATCTGTCGTGGCCTGCTCGGTCCTCGAATTGATGCTTTAATAACTGGAAGCAACCACAACTCTTGCCTGATGTAAATATTCAAGCCGATTTTATCTCTTTAAGAGCTCACGATGGGCATCTGCAAAGATGGCAACTGCATGGGATGTAATACCATAGTTTGAACAATGCATAGTGTAGTTCAAAACACTTCCTTCTAATATTTATTCGATGTTGATTGCGGCGGATCAATGGTGACCTTGATCCTAGACTGCAGCTTGACGCTCAGTATAGGGAGCCTAGAGCCAATACGGTTAGCCCCATCCACCCCCGTAACTTTTTCTAGCTTAGTCACAAATGCTTACTGCCCCGAACGCGAGAGTGCCCGGAGTTCCGGGCACGAGGGACCACGGAACTTTATAGCGAAGGCTTCCCTGCGTAATGCCACCGGAGGTCAAGCGCTATCTTCGTGTGGCCGGAGTCGGTGGCGCTCATTGGCACCACCCAGAACCGCCGTGTACTGCTTCCATGGCCTCGGAAAGCATGAGCGGCGACGTAGAGGCCCAGCACCTCTGTGGTGTTTGTAGGAAGAGCTTTCGGCAGAGTAAAATCCCCTTTTCCTTAAAGATCACGCTTGACACGCTTTGGACGGACAAGTCCGTGGAGCGAGTATACTCGTTCTTACCATACCTGATCCGGATTAGTCATTGACAGTTGAACAATGTTGACTGACAAGACGTGTCCCAGAATCGTCTCTCATAAGACACGCCAAGAAATGTACATTAGAGCCGAAAGCATCGGTACGGCAAAAGGCTTGTAAAGCTTGCACTGTTGCCAAGGCCCGCTGCGACCTGAAAAGACCAACGTGCACCCGGTGCGAGGCACGCGGAGCTAGTTGTGTATACATTCGTCCTGTGCAACCACCGCCAGCCTCGACATCTCAACCCGGGACCCCGGTGCCACATCATCATGTCAGCCATCTCAACTCTGTGGCGCGGGATGCCGCCGCCGCGTCGTATTTCCCGAGCAGCACATCTGCCTCGACTACCACGTTGGCCTTCCCGGACCTGGAGGCAGAAAGCACCGTCACGCCAGGCTTCTTTTCCAACAACTCGTCTGAGGATGGGTTGGATCTGTCGCTGCTTGAGCCCGGCCTTGGCACAGCGGGCCTCGAGCTCGTCCACAACCCGAACCCAGGCCCGCCGCCGCCAAGCCCCCAGGACTTGGACTCGTGGATGTTGTCTGTAGTCACAAGGCCGGTGGTCCCGGACCCAGAACAGCTCATAAAACACAGTAGTAAGTGTTCTCAGAACATTCAGTTTATTACACTCGTAGCAATAGTCTCTGCTGGAAGCCACCTGGTCTGAGGTCAACCTTCAGATCCGGCTTGGCTTTGATATAACCGCTGATATCCTGGAATGTGTTCCAGGATACAACACTGCCAAAAAATCTTGGGCTAACTTGCCTGTTATATAGTGCGGACAATATTCCGCGTCCTCCGCTCCTGGCCGCGTATGCTTGCCAAGGGCTTCCAACTACCACCTCTTATACATCCTCTACAATTTAAAGATGCCACGCCACAGCCAATGTCCAATTGTATGACATTATGCAAGATGTGGTCGGGTCAGTGTGACACCAGCACAGGACCAATTGTACATGATGCAGTGAGGAAAGAGATCGACAATATTCTCCTCAATGTTCGTCATACTTTGAATACAGATATCTCAATTCTGGTAGAGCCACACGCTGACCATACCTACAGTACCGCACATACGACCCGGCAGACCTGCTTGCTGCCATCCAATCCATAGTAATCTACCTGCTCCTTCTCATCTTCCCAACGCCCTCGCAGACGTCCCAGGCGCTGGTCTCCCCGTCCCTCTTCACGCAGATCCAGACCATGGGCTACTACGTGGCGTCGACGGGGCTGGTGCTGCAGGAGGAGTCGACACACGTGCGGCCGGCGTGGCAGATCTGGGCGCACATCGAGGCCAAGCGGCGGGCCATGTGCTCGCTGTACCTGGTGCACTGGGCCTATAGCGTCTACCACGGCGAGCCCAACTTCGACTGCCGCGACATCTCGCGCATGCCCGGGCCCGGGGCCAAGTTCCTGTGGGCCGCCGCCGACGAGCAGGCCTGGAACAGCCTGTACACCCGCTGGCTGGCCCAGTGGGACGGCCAGGACTTCCTCTTTGCCGAGTTCATGTGCGTCGACCCGGAGATCGTCATGAACCGCCGCGCCGAGATCTGGCTGGAGGACGCCGATGAGTTGGGCTTTTTGCTTTTGAGCCTGGGTGAGTACCCCCTTCCTTTGGCGAAACAGTCCTTAATCCTAGTTCTGACCCGTGGTAGTAAACGCAACCGAGAGGAATATGGTGGCGCCCCGTGTCATCACGGAACAATGATTAAGTTGTTGGCTGGCAGGCCGTGACGGCTAGCACGGTGTAGACTTAACGATATGGCTAATGATGGACGGAGTATGGTTCTGCTAAGTCACGGGAGATACCTCATGCCTTCTAGTCCAGCTAGGATAGGCATATTATATTAGTTCTTGCACTGTAGAAGGAAATAAAATTCATGCTAAAAATGGCCGGGCTGATTTAGCTTTTTGAAATTCTTTCAATAGATTGAGCAACAAGTATACAGGTCAAAACGAGATCGTTGATTTCCGGTTTCGAGCGCCGCCAGGCCTCGACCGAGATCATCCCAAGCCCCTTTCTCCTTCCAGTTGGTTCTCTACGCATATCAAGCCCGTAGCACATCATAAAACTCGAGTTTGGTACCTTTAGGCTCTTGTATCGCCCTGCATAATTGATGGTCGCGACACCGAGCGATGCCCTTAGACACAGCAACGAGCGTGTACTCGTTGCCATCCAAGTCAGCACGCGTGTTCCCCGGTGGCATTGGCATCATGCCTACGTGTCTTCGTTCATTCGCATCCGGGCTGAAGATATATATTGGTATCGGAGAGACCTGAGTATCCAAGCCCAAGTGTAGAGCCAAGGCCGTATGTCGTCCAGATAGAGCAGTATGAAGATTACCCGACGAGGAGTCTTCACTGATAGGCGGTCTCACCAACAGAGGCGAGACTGAAGGATAAGACATGAAAGAGTTTTCAAATGTGCCGCCATCCGGTGTACCATGAAGGTGATCTCGTCCTCCGTGCTCAGGGTTCTCGTCACCAGAAACATACTGTTCGAACTTATTCAAAGGTAAGTCGATATCCATGTATTCTACTCCCAGTTTACAGGGGAACTAGTTGCGAGGCAGCATATGCCCGTTGGCATCTATTCCGCCCGCTCCAACCCAATTTTGATGAACATGTGTCATTTCAACTCAGCCTCGTTTTGGCCCCCAAAGTCCAATACGTAGCACTCCAACAAAGACTGCTTTGATGCAAGGACGACGCCGGCTAATCCCCGACTTATACGATTCTTTGCAAAGCTGAGTTTTGCTGTTATAGCAGCCTGGCCACTGTGAAGTCTTAATAGCCCTTAAGTACGGTTGGGAGAGGTCAGCGATGGTGGAGCTGGCTCAGACGCGGAGCTCCGGACTCCATAAGTTAGGTAATTGTCGAGTATACCACTAAGGCTCATATCGGTGACTGATGATATAAGTCGCAAGATTGTCGAGTTCTTCAAAGGGGAATCTATCATTTGAATAAAAGACACTGCTCACACACTTGAAGACCAATCAAACTCGGTGAACAATGGGAACTATATCGCGAGAGTTTGACATCACCATCCTGGGCGCAACAGGTTGGACAGCAAGTATGTGCGCGGAGCACATTACGAAGACGTTCCCAACGACCCTGAAGTGGTGTATAGCTGGGCGTTCCGTGCCTAAACTCACCACACTGCAAGAGAGCCTTAAGGCGCTGAATCTGGACCGCCTCCCCCCATCTATCTGCAGCATTGCTGACTTGCAGAGCGACCACCTGTCGTTTCTTGTGCAGCGGAGCAAGGTCATTATCAATGGGATCGGGCCATACCACAGGTTCTCGACGCCGGTGGTGGAGGCATGCGCCAGACACGGGACGCACTACGTGGACTTCAGCACCGAGACTCTCTGGATCGCCGACATGATCGCAGCGTACGACGCAACGGCCCGGGCGAGCGGCGCGGTCATCATCCCGGCCATCTCCGGGGCCAGTTCGCCGTCCGACGTGGTGGCGTGGCTCCTCGCCACCGCTATCCGTCGCCACTATCCCCGCGAGTCCCGGATAAGCGAGGTTGTTTGTTCCGGGAAGCTGACAATGCTCGGGATGCAGGGTGGTTCCTTGGAGACCGTCCTGCAAGTTGCAGAGAAGTATGGCATCTCGTGGTTCTGGCGTGGGGACTCATGGGTATTATCAGATCGAGAAGAGCCACGGGCACCGTGTCAGCCGGTCAGCTGGACGAACAGCCTTTTCGGGTATCGTTTCGACAGCGTCCTGGGCCACCTGGCGACTTCATTCATTGCCAAAACAAATGAGTCCGTTGTCCATCGCTCGGCAGGGCTTGACCCCGACTGTTACGGACCAGACTTTGTGTATCACGAGTATACTCCAGCCCGAGGGGTTCTTAGCTCCATCCTCATACATCTTCTCACGAAACTGGGCATTCTGCTTCTCGGGCTATCATGGTCCAGGTGGTTTGCACGACGGCTTTCTTACCAGCCCGGAGATGGACCGCATCGTGGAAAGAGCCGCAGAGTGGAGCGGATGGACTTCAATGCCGTGGGATATATCGGCGGTCTTGCTCGTCCGGTAGCGGAGGCGAGTTTTGTGTACAAGGGAGCACTGGTGGACGTTAGTGCCATCTTTGCAGTAGAGGCGGCGGCCACACTGATGGAGAAGACGCCATTGGGCAGCGTCAGGACTGGTCTACAGACACCGTCGACGCTTGGGATGGAATTTGTTGAAAAACTTCGGCAAGCTGGTGTTGACGTTACTGTACAGATAGAACCAGTACGGTAGCGTGCACATGTAGCTTTTGTGCACAGAATGATGTCATCGTGGGTAATAGACGCTAGCATGTGGGAGCCACCGTGTTGGAACCAAGTAAAAAAGTCATCGTACATACAATCGGACCCAGGAACCAGACAGGTGATGGCCAGAGTCTGGAGAGGCTGCAGTAGAGTGGATAAGTTACGTGGTGATACTCAGATGTTTCGCTCTGTCTCGCTCTTGGCAGCACGTCAAGTAGCCAGCAAGTCTTCACCTACCACGCAGTAGTGGTCAGTTGGATGATATGCATCTGAGTCTAAAGGATGGCATATCGAGGAACGGATAGTTCGAGCGACCATCAGCAACATCATATACCATGCACTTGAAGCTCATGATTGTTGGCTTCTGATACTCATTGGACACCGTCATTGGAATCTCAGAGGCTTGTGGTTTGTCTACCTTCAGGACTGACTCGCGAAAAGGCCGGACACGAAGACAGTGCATGGCACTGGCTACATGCAGATACTTCCGTTCCAGGCCGCTCCCTTGCATCGTCAGCCCGCTTGCATTGATGGAGCAACCGGCGCTTGCCTAGGGTCAGTGCGCCATTCCTGTCGCGACGATATTGGGACCAACACGAAAAATTGCCAGTCCTGTGCGACATCAGGCAATAGCGTGATAGTCATCAATCAAGGTCGCAAAGCCTGTCGGTTGGCTCCTGGAGGCGACGTTGGCGCAAGTCGCTCGAGGAATGCCAGCAACCAGCAGGCGCATCAATATTGAAGTCTGATTGAGGATGCCCGGTGGCCTTCTCCTTCTCCGAGACGCCACGGTTGGATGCAACACAGAGAAGGCTGTGGACTGCGTTGCAACAGGTTTACGGAAATGAGTCATAAAGCGCGACACCTCGCGATGGGTGGCTGGACGAGGCTGGATGCCGACAGCAACCAGAATGTGTCGCAGGGGTGGGTTATCCAAGGGAAATGAGCTGATTGCCGGCATCATGAAACCTTGCTTACGGGTACCCACAAGAGACTTGTCGGCCATTCGAGACAACTGCACCGATGGAGCCCCACGAAGAGAGACTTCAAACAAGACCGTCTGCGTCCAGCAAAAACTATCGCCCTTCGAGGGTAAGCCTTTTTCTTGTTGACACCTGTCCGGATGTCATCCAAACTTCTGAGTCGAAGCCTGTTGCGTGTTGACACGAGCAGAGGCATTTGTCGTGCCATACCTCCGTCATGCGTCGTCACCTGGCTGTTTGCAGCCAACGCGCCTGCGCAGAAGTCTAGATGATGTACCTTGGAAATGATGGAGATAAGCCTCCCGGGGGTAACCATACACATGCACAGAAAAGGAGCGCCCATTCCTACCTTGAAGCGCGGCACAGTTTGCTCGATGCAAAAACGCACGTCCGCAGTCGCATCTCCGTCGCGTCGTATATTGCGACTGTTTATTTTTTACCCTTGACGGGTTGAAGATGGCAATGATGCTGCTGATGGCGTGGTGTTTGCGAACCTGACCGCCAAGCTCCGTCACGCAGCAGAAGAACACTTTGCATCAATAAAGGGAGGGGGCAAGTGTTTCAGTGGAAGGATGCGTGCGCGCGATCGCCCCGGTCTGCGCTTGGGGGTTGGCTCGTCCAAATCCATGCCACGATGGTTTACCTCGATGTGATTGGCCGGCGCTGGAATGGCCGGACTTGCCCTAACCACAGTGCGAGGCCAGAGGCTGACGGACGGCATCTCTCAAAAATGGTTCCGACTTCAACCTTCTTTCCCTCTTTTTCCTTCCACTTCAACAACCTAACGAGTCGTGATCCGGGAAAGGGGTGCAACCCAGCCTGGAGATTCTCGCGATGAGGTCGTTTGGCACGGCATGTACGGGAGGCTGCGCGATGGCGGCAAACACAGGCGGCCAAGGACGCTGGAGGTGAGTGCAAGCGGTGCGTCTGCTTGATTGACGGGGCGCGCGCGCGCGACCGTGTTTGAAGGGAGGCATTGATGCTTGCCCGCGCACGAGAGAGGGGAACATCGAGGGAACCAGGGAGTTGACGATGCAAGAAAAAATAAAATAAGGGGCAGATAGGGTTCTGTGATTGGGCGCTGGCGCACTAGCGCGTCCACTCAGGTGGCAGGAAGCAGGTGGAATTGTGGGCTCCCGCCACACGGGGGGGGCGTCGGTGCCTTAGAATTCGGAGGGGCGGGCCAGACGAGGCCCTTGCCTCAAAAATGATAAATACCCAGCCCTCCCCCTCATTTCTCGTTGTTTTGAAAGCTCTTGCGCGGAATCTGCGACTGACCCCAGCCTTACGTGTCGCCAGCTGTCAGCCTGTCCTTCACGTCTGGCCTCCATCTGCCACCCCCATTCTCCACTTTTTTTAATCTTCACCTCGCCTCACACCTCTCATCTTCTCGCCCCGTCTCGTGACCGCGAACGGACCGTTGCCGCTTTGTTGCACCCAACGCCGCAATCGTCAACTCACCCACGTCACGTCACGCCCTGCATTCATTTAATTGTTTCTGCCTCCGCGCCCGTCCCGCCGACTTCCTCTTCCGGCCAACCAGGCTCCCTTGTGTGTGGTTGCCGCTTCCCGACCATTTAGGCCTCGAGCTCCCTCCGCAGCCAAGAGATCGACTCTCATCCGCACCCAAACCTCACCAGCCTCGTCGCCGCACAGGTCACGGTGCAGTGTAGCCAGATCCCATACCCCCATAGACAAGAGAATTGAAAGAAGCAATTGAGGAGCATCGATTCGGCCGCCCGCCGTCTTCGTTGTCTACCCCATCCCGGCCCAGGAGGATTCGATTCGAGTCGCTGCCGCCGTCATTGTCGCATCGCATCTACCCGATACCTCGACGACATCGACAGCGCTCTTCTCGCATATCCGACCCTGCGCTCCGTATCACGATCCGCTTACGATTTCATTATCGCGAAACGATCGTTGACTACCTGAAGTCCCTTCGTGTGTGTACCCGCGTGGTCTTGATCCCTCTCGACCACTTCCACCTCTACCTGCCTACCAGGCCGAGCAGCATCTGCTGTGTTGGGGAGACATTAATTTGTTGATCTCCTACACGCCTCTTGGTAAGGCTTTCTTTCTTCTTTTCCTCTCCTCTCTTTGGCCACGTCCTCCTGCGAGACATCTCGCTCCAACTTCCAATTCTCCCCACCTGTAAATTTCAACACCTTCGGGGGACAATCTGGGCGTCGTCTCCTGGCTTCCCCGGCTTGGTCCCACAATAATCGTCCCCCCCAGATTGGGTTGCCCCGCGGTCCTTCACTTCACCCATCCACTTTACCAACAGCAAGCACCTTGGTTTGAATTCGTCGCGACGAGTTCTTGACAGCTTCATTACCCTCATTTCTCTTTGTTGCTTCATATCAGTTTGCGCTCCAGCATCTGGTCTCAGCATCAGTTTCCTACATCTCCATGCGTCTCTAGCATCCCGCGCGTTCAGTCGCCCTCCGCGGTCTCTGTAGTTCACGATGGCGTCTAACAGAGTCTCCAGTTCTGCTCACTCTCATCCTGACTCTGGATCGATCGGTTCATTGTTCACACCCAAAAACATGGAGGGTATTCAGACTCACCCCACTACCGCCGCGCAGGCCAAGGCCTTCACTGCTGCTGGCTCGCTGTCCTTCCCTGGCGGCGCACACGAGCTCACTCCTCCCGCCAGCGATGCTGACAAGCGGCCCGTGAATGGCCAGCCCAATGGTGCAACGAACGGTGCTGGGGTGACTCCCGCAACACCTGCCGCGACACCGGCTGCAACTACGCAAGGTGGTAGTGGTCTGACACCTACCCTTCAGTACGTATAGCCTGAATGACTCGTCGTTTTTGTCACATGTGCTCACATTCCTTCTCAAGGAATATCGTGGCAACTGTCAACTTGGACTGCCGCCTGGACCTGAAGACCATTGCCTTGCACGCACGTAACGCGGAGTACAACCCCAAGGTAAGGCATATTGATAGCCAGCACCTGCTACCCTAAAGCCATGCTCACTAGACTGACCTGTCTAGCGTTTCGCCGCTGTTATCATGCGTATTCGCGAGCCCAAGACCACCGCCCTCATCTTCGCTTCTGGCAAGATGGTGGTCACCGGTGCCAAGTCGGAGGATGACAGCAAGCTTGCCTCGCGCAAGTACGCCCGCATCATCCAGAAGCTTGGTTTCAACGCCAAGTTCACCGACTTCAAGATCCAGAACATCGTCGGTAGTTGCGATATCAAGTTCCCCATCCGGCTTGAGGGTTTGGCTTCGCGCCACCACAACTTTAGCTCCTACGAGCCTGAGCTGTTCCCTGGTCTCATCTACCGCATGATCAAGCCAAAGGTCGTGCTTCTCATTTTCGTCTCTGGCAAGATCGTGCTCACTGGTGCGAAGGTCCGAGAGGTTAGTCGACAGGGTCTTCTTCTCACAAGTACGCGCCTGCTAACAGATTGCTAGGAAATCTACCAAGCCTTCGAGATGATGTACCCTGTGCTGCAAGATTTCCGCAAGGTCTAATCATTGCCCCAAGCACACTTCCTGCGCTTTCCGCCCCCAAAAGCGCTTGTACGATCCAAACAGATCACGATCTTACGAACCTCCCCCTACCAGACACTCGTTCACAATCTGCCAAGCCGGTTACCCGTCTTGGTCCGTTTTCAGCGAGTTGTCTTTGTATCATTCATCTTTATTGCATTGCACCGGCGTTTTGTGATGGCATGGTTGGCCATCGGTTTGGACCAGGAAAATTCCTTTCGATACCTGGTCACCGGATCTACATAGATTGATTGCGTGGCATTCTTGACGGCGTTGCGCGCTGATCAGGGTGTCGTCTAATTCGACACGGAAGACGGTATAAACAGAAGACTCGCCACGGCGTGGGTGGTAGAAGTGGCATACACTCGATGAACAACTTTTGGAGAAGGAGTTGATGGGTGGAGCAGTCTGGCATGGAAACTTTGTGGTGAAACAGCCTCGTCAGTGCAAGCTAAGTGCCACGGGCAGCCAGGCTGAGATGCCTGGTCTGAAATGCGTCTTAAAGAGGTTGCCATTTTGGCAAATGAACCTCGACCCACTGGCGGGCCACATACTTCCCATCCAACTGACTCAGCGATACAAAGAATAATGACCGTCTCGTGAAGTAGCTCTTGAAGTAGAGAATACATGTCACTATCGGTCCAACTTTGACTTTCCTGGCAAGACGTGAAATTTTGAGCAATTTGTATAATGTGAATCGCTGCGCGGGAACTGTTATACGTCGGCTTTCCACCGCATGTGAAGAATCAATTGTGAATTTAAAACACTTGATAACTTGACAACCGTATGTGGGCGTCGGTGAAGACAGTGAGATTACAAGGAGACGTTTGTGATGTTTGACAGTGCCCCAACGCCGCATACCCGGCCTCTTCTGGTGAGAGGCGGTATCTCGATCCTGTCTTTGCTGGGTGATAGTACTGCCATCGAGCGAGAGGACTACTTCACGATTTAGAGTTTCCATGTATCTCGGATCTCCAAAGTCTAGTCCTGTCATCGTGGGCAGAGTAACAGGCAAAAAATGCGCTCTTTGAAAACTGCTCAGGATTTATTGGGTCTAGTCTCGGAGTGATACTGGTCTACAAGCCTATAAGCGAGAGCCGTTTTTTCGAAGCTCGTCCATCAATAAAAGCCCTACTTTGCCTCCTCTGCTGCCGTCTTCCGTCACAATCGCCTTTTCGATGTCCGTCACCTCCTTCCAACTCCACTTGTCCTGGAACTCTGCCGGGCCGTGCTTCTCAATGGTGTCGGCGATCTTGTCGCCGAGCACAGGCAGGAATTTGAAGCCGTGCCCACTACCACCCGTCGCGATGAAGAGACCCTCCCAGTGTGGGTGGTAGGTGATGACGAAGTCGCCTGTAGCCGTGTCCGTATACCAGCAGATACGGCTGTGCGTCCACGGCCGGTCCTTCAACTCCGGCCACGGGACCATGCTGCGCAGGCCTTGTCTTAGATCGCGCTCACCTTCAGCTGGCACCCACAGCTTGGCGTCATCTACATGAGTGTAGGGCTGCGAAACGACAATTTCCGGAAATTCCGAGTCCTTCTCATTTTTCGGTACAACCAGGGCGGTGGAGACCGTCTTGGGGTTTTGGTACCCGTATGCATGCCGCCCAATCTTGACCACGTTGTTGGATGGCGTGATCATGAAGTTTGAGTTTGTCATGTTCATGAGCACGGGAACGTTGGCCAACCTCGCTTGCTCCTCGTCAGAGATGCCCGTATAGGCGATGACCTGCCCTGTCGCTACAGCCTGGCCCCTGAGATCAACCAGGCTGGGAGTCCAGGCTCCGGCAGCCACCATTACCAACTCCGCGCTCAACGACGTCCCGTTCTGCAACCTGGCACCCGTGACCCTCTTGCCCTGGATCTCGAGCCGCTCCACGGCGGCTGCGACGAATTTCACACGGCCCGTGGTGACGACCCGGTCGTAAAGGAACTTCATGCTCTTCTCCGCGTTCGCCCACCCGCTGCGCTTGTTCAGGTACCCCCAGTCGCCGAACGGGGCGCCGGTGCCGCTGGCCTGCTTGATGGCCTCCCGGCCCCTGAGCTCCACCACGCTGCCCTCGGGCAGGCCCTCCTTCTCGGCCAGCTCCAGGGCGTTGACGTAGGCGCTCTTGGCGAAGCCCAGGCCGGTCCTCATGCCGTCGGGGCGGACCTCGGGGCCGGCGTCGGCGCAGATGACGAAGCCGGTCTCGGCGTAGCGGCCCTCGCCGCCCCAGGAGTCGGCGCCGGGCTTGCGCCACTCGTCCTGGGCGACGGCGGCCAGGTGGGCGTAGGCGCGGTCAGCGTAGTCGGCGCGCACGATGCGCGACGAGTCTATGCTGCTCGAGTCCTTGGCGGGGAACTCGCCCCCCGAGGACCGGTCCAGCAACGTGATGGCAGTCTGGGCCCATTCTGGGCGCCGGGTCAGGGCGTAGGCCGTGGACAGGCCGAAGACGCCGGAGCCGACGATGAGGATAGAGGACGGGGGCGTGAAGGGCTCTGCCATGGCTTCAGGTTAAACGTGATAGTGCCCCCAGTGGCCAGCCTTACGAACAGAGCAGTGTAAGAGATAAGGAATTATAGTCACTCTTGCAGCGAAGGGGTCTAGTGTCCAACGTCTACAGGATGAGAAGCAGTCGTGGATTCGAGATCAGGCTGTCACGGCACCGGGGAGGCAGATCTCCATAGGTATAGGAAGTTAGGAAAATATTTTAGCACCTATTCCATTACCTAGGCATACACACACACACACACACATACATACACTACTGGCGTCCCACCCCGCGCGTACAACATCCTGACTCGGCAGGGCGCATGGTGGGCTGGCCTGTCGTCTCTCAGGGCGCTGCTGCGACATTATCTACAAGGTCTTAACAAGCCGGTGGAGCGCGCGACGATATCGGCCTGGCCACTTTTGTCATCAAGGTTGAGCTCTGATTCGGCTATAGGCGGCCTGGGGCTCCCCTGGCTGCCTGGGCCTAGTTACCGCGGGCTGGGGTCCATAGCTTAACGTGTCGCCTGGTCCCCGGCTTGCCAGAGGTCCCAGAACCGCAAATCAGCAGGGGCCCCTCGGGGGAGCTTTGGCCATTTGTGCCTGCTTGACCACATCCATCCATGTCAGCTCACTGGACGACTTTCGTTCAATCGCGAACTTCTAGATCCAGTAATCAATCGCCAGATCAGTCCAACCACCTTGTCCAAGCTGCATCTTGGGTTGCGAGCGTAGGATCTATGCCACTCAACAACCCGGATGTCCCCTTCGGCCAGCTGCTGTCGCCGCTGAACTCTCTTTCTGAGGGCATACTGCTGTCCATTTGCCCATTTTAAGGTTCAACCCTCTCATAATTTGTCTCGATAAGCAGCGACCCAGCGACCCAGCGACACTTCATTCCCACGTTATACCGTTATACTGCCTCAAAAACGTTCTCGGCCTGCGCTGGATTGCGCGGCCCGCGGTGCAACCAGCCCCCCGAATCCGGACCACGCGTCATGACGGACGAAAGGGAGATTGCGACTGTTTCCACGAGAAGTTTGTCGCCGCTGTAGCCTTCCGAACGCGACACACTACATAAGACACACGCCATGTCGACCCCGTCCAAGAAAGGCGACCCGTTCCCGGACGTCGAGGCCAAGCTGCAGAAGGCCCACAAGCAGTCGGCGTTCGAGAAGGAGAAGGCCGAGCGAGAGGCCAAGCGCAAACGCGAGGCTGCCGAGACTGCCGCCGTCTACGAGAGTTTCGTCAAGAGCTTCGACCACGATGACGACGACGACGGCGACGAGATCAGCGCCATTGCGCGCGGCCACCAGCAGAGCACACCCTTTGGCCGCGGGGGCGGCAGAGGAGGCGGGTTCACTCCCGTGGGCGGAGGTGTTGGCAAGCGACACTTCGGGACCGGTTTGAAGAGTGGGCCGGGCAGCCTTGGTCCGGCGCCAACGGGCTATGCGAAGAGCGGACCGGGCAGTCTTGGGCCAAGCCCTGGCAGTTATGGACGGAAAAGAGGCTTTGACGGAGGCTATCAGAGGGACTTCGGGAGGCGCGACGACGACAGGGGCCGGCTTGGTGGCTACCAGGATGACGACAGGGACTATGGTACACCGACGACGAAGGGCCTATCCAAGGTCTTCAGTACTAGCGATGATGAGGCCGAGGGGAAGCCTGACAGGGCGGAGGAAAGGGCCATCGCCAAGCCAACCTTGCGGTTGGCGAACCTGCCGCCAGGTACTTCGCCTGCTGTCATCAAGGCTTTGGTGCCATCGAATCTCACAGTCGAGAATGTCAAGGTCATACCGCCGGCGGCTTCAGCGACAAACGAGAGGAAGTCCATGGCGGCCATCGTTATCCTGTCCCAGGAAACACCCGCCACAGACATTGATGCAGCGGTCAGCTCATTGCAAAATAGGTATTTAGGCTATGGGTTCTACTTGTCATTGCACAGACATCTATCGTCCGCAGTCGCAACGACGACGGCAGCCTCGCTGACTTCGGCCGCATCGTCTCATCCGTTCGGGGCTAAGCCTGTGGTACAAGTCGATGATCAGCGCCCAAATCACCAAACCCAGATGCATCGTGGATTTGCCCCGCCAACTTCATACGGACATCCGGGTGGCCCGATCAACAGGCAGGGTATTTTCCACGTTCCTATCCAGGCGCCGCAAGATATCAAACAACTGCAGCTCATCCACAAAGTGCTCGAATCTGTCCTGGAACACGGCCCAGAGTTTGAGGCGCTGCTCATGTCACGGCCTGACGTACAGAGGGAAGAGAAGTGGGCCTGGCTCTGGGACGCCCGGAGCCAAGGTGGAGTTTGGTACCGGTGGCGGTTATGGGAGATAGCTACAGGCTTACGAAAGAAGGATGGAAAGCAAGGCAAGTATGTGCCCCTTTTCGAGAGCAGCCATGCTTGGAAGGTCCCTGAGAAGCCACTGCAATATGAATATGCCACGAATATCAACGAGTTCGTGTCGGACTCAGACTACAACTCGTCTGATGAGGACGACTTCGAGGACGAAGGCAACAAGCCCACCGACGGCGGGCCGGGCGGTGATAGTGAGAACACATATCTCAATCCGCTGGACAAGGCCAAACTGGTACACCTGTTGGCCCGATTGCCAGCCACGCTCAGCCGGATCAGGAAGGGGGACATCGCAAGAGTGACGACCTTCGCCATCACACACGCAAGTCGTGGCGCCGATGAGATTGTCGACTTGATCGTCTCTAATGTTCGAAAGCCATTCGCCTTCACAGCGGCAAACTCCGAGCACAAGCCAGATTCCAAAGCCGATGGCAACGACGCTCCCAAAGGGGAATCTGATCCTTCGACACCGATCCCAGAGGAGAAGGATAAGCCGGCCTCGGCCGATCAGGTTGACACCAGTGCTGCAAGTCTGGTCGCCCTTTATATAGTCAGCGATATACTCTCGTCATCAGCTACCAGCGGAGTTCGGCACAGCTGGAGATTTCGTCAACTGTTTGAGACAGCGTTACGAGACCGCAAGGTCTTTGAGTACCTGGGTCAGACAGCGGAGCGCCTAAGCTGGGGAAGATTGAGGGCAGACAAATGGAAGCGCAGCGTGGGACTTGTATTAAGTCTCTGGGAGGGATGGTGCGTCTTCCCCGCCGAGACCCAGGAGCTGTTCGTGAAGAGCTTCGAAGCCCCGCCTAGCCTAGTGGCAAAGAAGGTCGAATCACAACAAGGAGACGGTGCTACTGCCGAGGAGATCGAAAAGAAGGCTGGCGGTAGCCGATGGAAGACGGTCGAGGCTGAAGGCACGGCAGAGACTGGGAAGGGATTCAAACCTGTTACTGCCGTCGACGTGGGAGCAAACTTTGACCCTTCGGCAGAACGCATGGATGTCGACGACGATCTCGATGGCGAGGCAATGGATGACGAAATTGATGAAGACGTGCTCATGGACAGCGACATAGACGGCAAGCCAATGTCTGAAGACGAGGATGACGCGCAGGGCGACCCCATGGATGAGGACACAACAGAAGTCCAACAAGCACAACCACCAAACCAAGCTCCTACGGACGAGGATAGGCCGAGAACCTCGGCAGATTCTGGCCCACCGGGGGAAAGCTCAACAAAAACAGAGAGGCCCACGAGGCGGAGGATACGAGCTGTAGACATGTTTGCAGATGACGACAAGTCCAGTGACGAGGGTGGCCGTAGGTAGACGGTCGCAAACCGTATCCTTCGTGTGGCGGGTTAGTGATCGATAGAATACGAGAAATTCAGCCACATTACGGTCTTCCAAATCGTCTGCACCGTTGTCTGTTCGCTTGCGTGATCGCCGTGATTGTGTTGCCTAGCCCCTATCTAACGATCCTCTCTTGCCCTTAGGGAAACATGTGAGGCCTTTCTTGCCCGGCGTGCTTTGGGTCGGGCACTTGGGTCGTGGCGTGTCGGTGTCTGCGCCTGGCGCCTGTGCTGTCCTAGCTTAGGGAGGTGAGGAAGCGCGTCGTCAGGCGCGGTTGTACGTACCTCTGTTTACTTGGTCCATCTGGCGCCAGTCGTGCCGCTGACTTGTGTTTCTGGGGACGGCTGCAAGTTAACTGTGTGGTAGAGCTACTGCCTCGAACAAAGTATCGACAGTCTGAGGTGGAAGCGCACACACACACACGCCGCTCCCCACTATGGTGCATAGCGGTGGGCTCGGTGAAGCGCGCTGGCAGCTCACCGGTCGGTCAGGGAGACCTTGCTGGCCAGGCTACGGAATACTTTTTTCGTAATTCGCAGCGCGGGTGGTTCCTTGACCCTTTTCTCCTTTTGAGATAGCCGCTGAGACGGTCCACAACCACACTACATTGCAGCACGGGCGCTGTTGACGAGAAAGAGGGGTGTCAACATAGGCTTCCCCATGGTTCGTTGGGCTAGATGGAGATTCCTCCGCGATTTTTTTTTTGGTTCACTGAGGTGGCCTTAGTCATCTACCGGACTGTGCAATGACCAGGGCTACAAGCATCCAATGGGAGAGGGCAAGGTCGGTCCAGTTGGGCAACTAATGGTCAAAGCTGTAAGTTTCGACATTTGCATGTGGCCTCTGGCAGAGTTCCTGATATGCGCTGTGGAGGAGTGGCCCCAACTCGAGGCTCAACTGTCACCAGATCTCGCCTTGTCTAGGGGTATGTTTAGTCATCCCATGTCAGTTGGTGTATGACATGCATCCGCAGTCGATCATGGGGTACTGCATGAAACGCTTGAACACCGAATGGGGCCCTTTGGCAATGAGGGGGCGAGGGCCAGCTGCGGCGTGACTTTCCTGAACTTCACTGCGCCATTTTTGCTTCAAGGACTGTGATCTGTCCTCACTATCGCAAATGGAAGATGCTAACATCCAGGCACAGCATTGGCGATCGTGGGTAGCAGGGTTGAGTTTGGTTGGAACTACAGACCAGCACCACATACGGTATGGATACCGAAGTCCTTGATTCAAGCTTTGGCATCGTGCTAGCTGCTCGATCACCAACAAGTATGGCGTGGGCAAGGACAGATCTCATGTCATGTGCGCAGTCTAATCTTCCCTGCTCGGTCGAGTACCAAAGTCATTCATTGTTCCGGTACTTGAGTGTCTTCTCAGCTCCACACGGAACAGCAGGATGAGGCTGACGATGGAACCATCATACTTTCAACCTGACCAGAGGATGGGCTGGCGCTCTGGTCTAGGTTGGTCCGATCAGCACGGCCTAGCCGACTGAAGGCCATTATCCCTCACCTTGGAAGGTGTAGGTGTGGAGATTAGCTAAGCTTTCGAGCCTTCGCTTGGACAGGAGACGCAAAAACTTTCCAGGCTGAGACGGTGCGCAGGTTACCTAATCATCTGACGATGCATCCCCGATCAGGTTGCAGTACCCTCGAGAGGTTGAACGATTTCTTGGACAGCGTGTACAGTCTAAGGAGAGCCTACGAGTTACCTAGGGGCTTTCAAGGGGCCACCTAAGCAGAGTGGGAGTTGGAGGTGCAGCAGCATTGGACAGCGTCTTTTGCCAAAGGGCAATGATGCTCCCATGGTTGCCTTACTGGCGAACCAGCTAACAAGACGCCAAGGGGGTTTCTGTTGGGGGACAGGAGATCCGCAGTCACAGCCGAGATCTGCTAACATGGGCTACCGATTCAATCTTGTTCGGAGGAGTCTCCGCGGCGGGTTTCCACGGTTCTCATCGGGGATGCGTCCACACGAGGCCAACTCAAGCGGAACACAGTCATGGTATCTAGGTCTTTCTTTCTGTACCATACAGACCTCATTACACTATCCTCGGTCTACAGGACTTGGACTGACACTGTGTTCCCCTGCATCTGTATCGATGTGTTTCTACTACAGCTTACAGTAGCCTTGTCTCGCCAATAATTAAATGCCTTGTATTTTGAACCTCACTTTCGGTTTTCTTAGAATGTGTATCATGGCACGGGAATAACAGCGAGGAGTTGGGATCGCTTGGCACCAGCTGGGCTCCGCCGTCAGAGGTTTAGCTCAAGCCACTGGGTAAGGGGAACTCGGTAGCGAAAGTCAAATGTGCCAGCTTGGTCTATTTAAGCTACAAGTGGCTCGCTGACGGAATCCGGCATGAAGCACAGTGTCTGGAGTGCTGCCTTGGTTTCCTCGGAGCGCGCTCCGGCTCTCTTCAAGGCACCCCATGCACTTGGGACACACCCTGTTCTCTCCGTGGAGCTCCAGACCGCATCTGCGGAATTGGAACCGACAGCACAAACTACGGTAGATTGCTTCAACAATTCATCAACTCGTAGATATTGATGTCGAAATATGCACATTGAGCGGGCACGATGGCAACGTTTCAACGGGGTACGCAGTGTGCTGACAACGGCCTACAGCGTCTTCTAGCCTGTTGCTGCTGAAGCAATGTCGGGGTTGCCGGGTCTTCGTCTAGCAGGCCGGACCCAACCTTCAGAATCACTTGGTGCCTGAAAGCAAGACAGACCACCCCGTGTGACAGCCATCGACGGGACCATGGATGAAGAGGGGCCGCTTCGTAGCAGGCATCGCCGCGCCACAATGTTGAGAGCCGGTAGATATCGGCGAGCTGTTGGGACGTTGTCAAGTATGTAGTTACTTACCGTTGGAGTTGACTGTCCTAACGTAGAATCAGAGCGAATGTTGCTACTGATATTACGTCGCAGTACTCGTGTCAACTGAGTGATTGAGGTATACCTGTCCAACATCTTCAAGGTCGTATTAGAGAGTGTTGCGCGTGTACAAGCAAGTGTCATTTATTCCCAATCCGTACATCCACAGTAGTGTATCTTAATAATTAGGTAAGCCTCCGGATTCGAATTTTCCTTGTTTCCTGGTTTCCCAAGGATTGTATGTTGGTTATTTGGGCCGACAGCCACCCTCCCCTACAGGTTTGAACCTACGGCTAGCACTTCTCGCTTTCAAGGAGTAGCTTAACCCCGTGAACAAGGTTTGACATTTATCTGGAAAGATCTTCCTCCGTGCAGGTACGCGAACTGACCGTGGCCTTCTGACGTATCCTCAAGCTGCCAGTGAGATCCCCGGTCAAATTGGTGATGCTGGATCGGCAGACCCCCAAGAAGTTATCTGGCGGTCAACCCTGTCAAAATCAGAAGCTGATGAACGCGGTCACAATGAAGTGTCAAAATAGAGCATCGAGGTTCTGGGCTTGTCTTGGAGAAGCTCTCTGGCATCTCGAAGTCGCACAGGATGCTGCCCGCCCGGCGGAGTGGATGCACCAAATTACATCGATTTTGGGGACACGTTGGCTGTCGGAATGCGTGATTTCTTGCTGTGTGCAGCCCCAAGGCTGCGGGTATTAGCCCTCGCAACTTGATTCCAACCTCCCCGACTGCGCGGCGGAGCGGACAGGGTCTACTAAACTTTGGAGATTCTGTCACGCGATGTCAAACTATCTACAGATCAAGCTGGAGTTATGCTCCTGCAGATCTCACCGAGATTCACCATAATCCAAAGCTCAATGGCTGAAGACCGTACGTCATATCTTGTTGCTACGCGGAGCGAGGCCTGTGATAGACATGCAAGTACTCGGAACACGTCAAGCGACCTGAAAGGGTTGCGCCATGATTGGTTGCCCTAGATTTCTTGCAGATGGCGTTCATAGTTTCGTCGCGAACCAGAGAAACAGGCATCAACATTGACAGCCGTTCGTGAGCCTAGCGCCTGAGTGGCGCAACGCCGCACCATAATGCACCGCTCCGAGTATTCCCGGATCCCAGCCATGAACTGCTACCTGTTCTTAAGGACTGCAAGCTTGGAGGGGCCCATCTGCAGCCGGTCGAGATTCCGTCTTGCGCCATTCTGTCAACCTTACGTAAGAGTCTTCCCCTTGACACAAAATCCCGAGCAGCACCACCACGTGCAAAACCCCAATTTCCTTTGAAAAGCTAGTAGCCCTCATGTGTCATTCCACGCGAATAGATGGCTCTGTCTCTTACCATAATACATCATTTGTCGACATGTATTCATATTTAGGAATGCAGAAATCTTGCAATGCTAATAAGAAAACATCGTTGAACATACTCTACTGCGGACTCGGTTGGCGCAGTGTGGATAGTACAGGCAAACTTTTGGGTCTAATGACCCCCTGTTAGTCAACTATACACACAAAGTTTCACTGACAATGGAGGGTTTCCAAGCTCCTACAAACTTTGGAAATGCAGCAAGTGGTTCTCGCAGGACTTGTTACGTCCTTTCTCACCAAGCGTCGGCGGGGATGTTGTCGGAGCACTAGTGTGTCTACATATACACTTGCAGCTTTCATAGTTCCGCCTGATTGGTCGACCCTGGCAAAGGCCTCCAACCTCCCCACAGGTCTACATGCAACCCTCCGGCTGCGTCTCAAAGACCTCGAATCCGATATAATACATTGAAAATGCCATCGCTCGACTGTCAAAACGGGGCCTCGCTGTTTGATATCCATGTAACTATGATCGTCGATGTTGTACCCCAGCACGCTATCAATTCATATTCATGTAGCGTCTGAGAGTCTTGTATAGGGGAATCCAGTTATCCGATACTGGAGTAGGCGTTATGTCGCCTGGAATTGCGGACTGTATTGTCGTTTGCCAGTGAATCGGGCAGCTGTAGACCAGCGCGCCTAGCCTACTTGCCCGGGTACCGAGGCACCTAGGCAGGTACTCACCTCTGCAAGTGCCTACCACAACAGGTGACACCTAAGCCATCACGGCTGACACTTGCCGTGCTTTGCAAACTCCTGCCTTGCCACCCCTTGATCATCGACCCGGAAATGTAAAGTTTGAGGCCATCCAGTAGCCAACCAAAAGTTCCTCGAATTTAAACGGCCGTGCCTGGCTTTCCAGGCCAACTAAGACCACCACCTGAGCGACTGATGAATAACGTTTGATATTTCCCTGGTCGACCGCCCAGATACATGTTCTTGTACACGTGCAGAACAGGTACCTAACCCCCCATTCACGGTCGCGCCGCCTGCTGCCAAGTGGTCCCAACAATCTAGGCTCTACCATGCGGCGTGTGGTGCAAGACGTAGCCTCAAACGAATGGAGCACTAGATCCAAGACACTAAGATGAAATATCATATGGATGGGAAAATATATATCGATCCCTAGGTGTCTGTTTTTTCTTCCTCCCATAGCACCTGCGGTGGCAAGCAAGAGTACCACCCACGTCCTTCCTAATAAAAAAAAAGAGTTTCACTGCAAGATCACAAGGAAACCTCAGTCGGATCTTGTTTTGAAGGCCCCTTAACATCATACAAAGCACGAGAGGTGAGCTGGACAGTCTGCTACCAGTTGCTATCATATTCCGCTCTAGCCCAGTGGCTCACATCATCACCATAATAGAATCGGATCGGATCAAGTCACCAACTGCTAACTCTGGATATTCAGCACCACAATATACATATTGTATATACCTGCACATCCTCCGATAACCAGGCTCATTCTCAAGCCGACGAAATCCTCTTTGGGCCCCGGTCTCTCGGCACTATTTCATTCAGCATCATTTGCATCGCTCCAAGTAGTGGCTGAGTCATTCGTCTCATCAACAATAACCCGCATTGTGCAGCTATATTTCGGGACTTGACCGTTGTACGACTATTCGCTCAGCCTCCTCGGCCTGTTATTCAAGATGAGCGCGTTACCGTCTGGAGCAGTTCCAGATGACAGAATCCATACTCTCGCCCGTGTGCAGGACGCGCATCTACTAGACAGAAGAAAGATAGCTTGGTAAGCCAATCATTTCTGAACGTGTTTCTGCATCGCCTGCGCACTTTGGAATACTTCAATGTGCTTCAACCTCTGCCGTTCCGCGCCACTCCTCCGAACACTAGGAAAAGATTTCCAAACTGATCATAGCCATGATCACCACCAAACATGGGGAAATGGCAAGCACCGTCAATAACTCTCACAGGGCTTGAAAACGGCTTTGTTCTACCCAATATCCCTCGCAGAGTTGTCTTTACTGGATCCAAGCTGCATTTGGGAAATGATAGCATTGCTGACTCATCCATAGCGGCCCATGTATCCGAGGCCACAGGTCCTCGAAATGTCCCCATGTCTGGGATCGCGAGATGATGTACGTAAGAAGTCCAGGGAGGCCCTTGAGGGAGTGCGTCCACCCGAACAGTGGCCCACGGCGATTGTGTGCTTGCAACAACAGACTGGTGTTCCAGGTCACCCATGTACGAACAGTCATTGGAGAGATAGGGGCCGTTGGATCTGTTTACGACGTTACCATTGCATACCTGGACGAGAGAGATTCACCACGGCACCCAAGAAGAACAAGACCGGCCACCCGCCGTCCTGCAGCACGCCGTTCCACAGTTGAAACCACCGCCTCATCCTCAGCACCATCTGCGGCATCATCCGCCGCAACACCTGCGGCACCACCTTCAGTAACATCTGCAGTAACATCCGCATCAGTTTCCTCGCCAGCACCTCCGACGATGTCGTGGGATTTTCTTCCCATGGGAAGCAGCTCACCTTTCCAGAGGCAGACGGAAGAAAACATGTTTCATCCGTACACCGTGCCAGGCCTTTCGAGCGGCAGTAATCCAATCGACTTCCAGCAAGGGCTGCCACCTGTGCCACCGCAAGCATTCGCCAGCGTCCCAGCACAAATCAACCCAGGGGTAGCAATTACCTCAATGCCCCCGAACGCTTTCATTTTGCCAAACTTTCAGATGGAGGCGCAAGCGTTCCTCGCCGGTGGTTTCAATGCAATGACTGGACTGTCATCCAATATGGTCAACATTGCACCTTTCCAGCCAGCTGCGACAGGAGCAGTCTCGCTTGACGCAACAACAACACCAGAGTCATCTGACTATTTTGACGACATCAAACTGGAAGACGATCAGGATCTCGAGGCTCTCGTTGAACAGAGCATGAACATTCATTCACACCAAATGATGCCCCATAGTCCAAGCTATTCGGGCACTGCATGGGAATCGGTACAACAAGCCCTGCCTCTACAAGAGAGACAAGCGCAGGACTCGCCTGGTATACTAGCTTTTCAGATCCTCTCCCAGTACCTTTCTGATTATTGTGGCAAGATTCCAGAGTCATGCGCATGTAGACCTGGCAACGGTCTGCTTGGCTGCGTGTTGCATCCCTACAATGAGACAGCGATCTCGAGAGTCAAAGCGTTTCTAGAAATGCAGGAGCAGCCCGAGGAACTAAGCAGCAGAGAATCATCAGTCGTATCTGATGAAGTTGAAGCTTTCGACTCTGCCCCGACCCCGACTTCAGACATTCAGCTTCCTGGATGGACCGACATCTATCAAGATGGCATTTTTGACGGCTACGTCGATGTGGGCGGCGACTTGGGCCACAACCTGGGCAACGACCTGGGCGGTAACCAACTGGATGATTGGTCGGACTTCGGTGATTTGACGATCCAGTAATCTTGTACTTGAAAGGGCTTGCTCAAAGAGGAATGTTGCGATCAAGCGTGAGGGCGTCGCTTCCGTCCTCATCGGGTAAAGATGGAAAGAACTCTGTGCCTTGAGCCTCATTATTGCGACACCAGCCCCCATTTCCCCCATCCAGAAGTTCTTTCCATACTGATAAAACTCAGAGAAGACGGCACGTGCCGTCACTAAAAATCTCCTTGCGATCGTCGTTGGGTGCGTGTTTAGAGACACTGCATCGCAAACACGTACGACTTGTCTCGTCTTCTTGTCTTTTTCTCTACCACATTTCATAAAGTTAGTGTCTAATCGAAGTTCGATTATCAAGATTTCCTTTACTGCAGGTGATAATTTGGTATCAGAATTGTCCTGTGATAATGTCTCAAACCCACCTGGACTTCAGCAGCGACGGAGGAGATGACGATTGCTCCACAGCCCGTAGCCCGTATCCCTTTACTCCCACGAATGCAAGCAGTCCTGGGACAGACTTCATAAGTCCGTTAATTACCAAGCAGCCCAACAACTCTATCAGCGACACTACCGCACATCAGTCCACCCCTCAGGTTGAGTCCGCCCCTCAAGAAACGATCGATGACGATGACGACGACGATGACGGAGATCCCTCAACGGCGGTATGGCACTCGACTTGTAGCATGAGAAGCGGCACTAAGATCCACCACTCCATCATCGCGACTGATGGTCGACCACTGCCGGACATTGACTGGAGTACCAACCTGTCAGGCATTGATTTGAGTCGACTTAGCCCTGAACTGAATATGGCAAGGGTGCTTGCTGGTCCACAGCTCATTGCCCATATTAATACACTTCCATTTCCTGAAAGAAAGAATTTCGTCAAGAACCAGCTCTCTAGCCATAAGCTGAATGAATTTGTGGCCACTTTCTCGCCACTCGAGGAACAAGGCTATCGACGGTTGGGCTTGATCCCGGGTGAGCTCCCTCAACGAGCAAACCCAAAGAGTGGATGGCCAATGCCACAGTGTTCGACTGGAGAACAAGGTCCCTCACTTCTGCAGCCCGGACAACTAGATGTCAAGGACCCGGTTGCTGCGTCACATCGAATCCTCGACGCGATGGACTCCTCGATTGCCACTTAGGATGAGCACGCAGAGTCTAGTGCTGGCTCAGAGACGCGTCAACTGCCTTCAAGCTCTGATAGCTCTGCCGAGAAACGGACGTTTGACGATAGCATCGAATCAGCAATGGAAGAGATGGCTGGCGGCGGGAGCGGAATAGGTAACAGCCGCGCTGTGCCTTCAAGGTCCGGCTCAACAGCGCAACTGCACAGGCCGAAGGAAAACCCGGGTCATTGTTTGACCAAGAAGCGAAAGACATGACTTACATCTTCAGTGAAATGAAATGAGCGCTTCACGCAGGGATGAACAGACTAGGTCAATTTCTGTCACAAAGCAGAGGTGGAACGAACGAGAGAGGTTCGCAATGAGGGTCTCGGGAGGTCTACGGAGAGATTGCCGGTTCGTACATTCGGTCCTGCACGTTGATTAAACTGTTGAAGTGAATGCCAGAGGGGGGATGTGACCGGAAGCGCCCGAGCTTCCCAGCTTTCAAGTGGGATGAAGCGCAAGACAGCGGGAATAATGGTTTTTGTATTGAAATTTACGGTGTCATTGGTAGTCAATAGATTCTACCCAAAACCTACCTCGAAGTTCATGACATATGATCTATCAACTATGTATGATGATTTTTGGAGTGATTTGCAATGTTGTCTTGTGTACTATCCTTCCATGCTCTCAAGTGTCCGTGAAGAACCAATTCTCCAATGACAGCAATAACAGTCGGCCACCAAGAAAAATGACCAATAGGATCCGTGTCCATCATCATAGTAGAAAAACTGCATCACGGAAAAGAAGCCCGTTCGCCCCTACGATGCCTGAAACAAGATGATCGTATTTGGTCCTGTGTGATGTTCATGCCATGACTTGCAAGACGAAGCTTCCCAGTTGTCGCTGCGTGTCCCGATTGGCCCATTCGCCACTGGGGCTCCGCTTGCGGCAAGCCTGAGGAACCCCCTGCCGTGGCACGTCGCAAACCGTTCATGTTCCAAGGGACTATCAGACCAATACACACCCTTTGCCGGCATACAACTAACTGACCTACCTGTGGCTTTACCCCGGGCCTGGACCTGGCCTTGATCAGGCGATTGTCAACTGTCAATACAGTAGCACCCCAGATCGTCTGAAGTTTTTCGTCCCGACTTAAACTTTCCCCACAACTGCACGTCACATCCATTGCTGCTCGACGAAGCTAGTCGGCGACGGCATCGAGACCTGGAAATTATGGGGAACGAAGACCCTGGTCACTACCGGCGCGAGGATGGTCAGCCAGCATCGAAGAGGCGACGCGAACGTTCGGCGTCGCCTGATCGCGATGCAAGGAAACGTCATGAGGACAGGCGTGACAGGGGAGGTCACGACCGCCGCCGCTCGAGGTCTCCGGGAACCGCGCGGCACAGATCTCATCACGAGCATGACCGCCGCCGGGAACGACGGTCTGCGGTAGATGGAGCAGGCAAGGGAGGAGTTCGGACCGCAGACCATTCACGCCGGGGTCGCGAGGCCAGGCGCTCTCGCTCTTCCTCTGCTTCGCAGCAGCAACACCCTCACAGGCGACGGAGGCGCTCTTCGACCCACTCCCTGTATTCTCCTGCTGAGCTGCCGTACTCGGCTCGTCAACTGTCGAAGGCCGACTATGATGCCTTCCGTCCACTGCTCGCGCGGTACCTGGAGGTGCAGAAGAACAAGTCCATGGCGGACATGGATGAGCGCGAGGTCAGGGGCCGTTGGAAGAGCTTCGTCAGCAAGTGGAACGAGGGCTCCCTGGCCGCGGGCTGGTACGACCCAGAACTGTTCGACGATACGAGGAAGCATGCCAACTGGGCAACGGCACAAGGGCGCCCAGCACAGAAGGTTGAGCCCTCCCCGTTGGGCGACCATGGGGTTGGTGGTAGGGCAGGAGATGGGTTAGCCGGCGACGTTGTCTCTGAGGAGGGCGAGGATGATGAAGACGGTTACGGACCTGCTCTGCCATCGAACCACCATGAAAGGGGCAGCAATACTAGAAGAGGGCCCAGCATACCTAGTCTTCAGGATCTAGAAGTCAGGCGCGAGATGACAGAGGAGGAACGCTTAGAACGTATCGATCAGTTGCGGCTCGAGCGCAAAGCAGACCGCGCAGAGCAGAAAGCTCGACTCGAGGACCTGGTCCCCCGAGCGGAGGCGGGGACCCGCGAGAGGAAGCTCGAGAAGAAGGAGGAGGTCAACGAGAAGATGAAGAGCTTCCGCGAGAGGTCGCCGGGCGCCGCGGAAGTCAACGACAGCGAGCTCATGGGTGGCGGCGACGGCGTCGACGAATACAAGCGGATGAAGGCAGCCAACGAGCGAAAGAAGACGGAGCGGGAAATTCGCCGGGAGGAGATCATGAGGGCAAAGAATGAAGAGAGGGAGGAGAGGTTACGGGAGTATAGAGAAAAGGAAGACAAGGCCATGATTGTTTTCAAAGAGCTGGCCAGGCAGCGATTTGGATGAGCACTGGACTGCACGATAGGATCTGAATTAATCTAATGTATTGTCACTCCGTAGTCTATACGATTGAAATGAAAGACTAGACGTACAGTGTGTCACAATGCTAGATTCACTGTAGGCGCACGCTAATTTTCACATTTCAACCCATCGAATTCAAATCCACAATTGGGCAGTCACCACAACTCTCAATCAAGCACCGGTAACATTGCGAACCGCCAAGATGGATGATGAGGACTTTGATACCGGGATCTTTCAGGAGCCGGCAGATTTCGCCCCTCCAAAGCCCCCGACGTTACAGAAGCATCTGCTGAAGTCGGGCGATGAAGTGCCCATCCACCTCGTTGGCTACAACTTGCGCGAGGGACACTACCTATGGAACGGAGCGCGGTGGATATCAACGTGGTTCGAGGAGAACCTCTCAGAGATCAAGGACCGAACTGTCTTTGAGCTGGGCGCAGGAGGCGGCCTGCCGAGCATTGTGGCCGCCATCCTGGGGGCAAAGAAGGTGGTGGTCACAGACTACCCGGACGAGGACCTGCTGGTTATGATCAGGAAGAACATCGGGGAGTCGGACGCCCTGATCCCTGAGCCAAAGGACCGCATCGTATGTGAGGGCTACGAATGGGGCGTGGACCCTAGCAACGTGCTTCAGCACGTCAAGTCCTCGGAGTCAGCCAAGGGGGCGGAAGGCTTCGATGTCTTGGTCCTGGCAGACCTCCTGTTCAAGCACCCACAGCACGAGAACATGGTCAAGACGATCGAGATGACTTTGAGCAGGAAGCGCGACAGTAAGGCTCTGGTCTTCTTTACGAGTTACCGCCCCTGGCTACAGCAGGCAGACCTGGCCTTCTTCGACCGTGCGAGGGACCACGGGTTCCTGGTGGAAAAGATCTTCGAGCAGAGGCTGGAGAAGCCCATGTTTGAGAACGACCCCGGCGACCTGGAGATCCAGAAGCTCTGCACCGGATGGAAGATCTGGTGGCCGGAGGACAAGTGCGTCGCCTAGAGCGCGTGGTCCTCTGGATCGGGGCATGAATCATGAGAAATGATATGGGACTCGAGAGCGTTCACCATCTGCTGGATGTCACGCATCAAGAACAGCTGGCCAAGGTAGGCCAGGGGAAGAGGGTAGACGTCAGTTGCGTCAGGGCAGTCCGGAGGCAACACAAGAAGTGACCACATGCTTGCCGAGAACTTTATTTTCCAGAGAGCCTCCCATATGCACTCGTGTGACAACCTTCTTTGCGATGTTTGGTTCTCGGGCGACGGGAATGGCTGTGGTTATGTATGTAAGAAGGGGGCGACCGGCTATCTATTGGCTGAGCAGGAATCCCTTCCAAGATAGAGTTGGCGTAGTCACATAGCCCAGGCCACTGTCTGCGACTCTTTGGCCTTTGAAGCCTGCATATGCTCTTGCACTTGGCGGGTACAGCCGTGGGAGAGTATAAGAAGCTTGACTGGTCCTATCAATAACCATATTCGGCGAACCAACCACATCACTCGGTCTGGTGGTTTCAAATGTTTCCGGCCCCCAAAGACTGCCGCTGTACCGGGAGTCAGATACCAGGTTACCATCATGACGAGTGCCGGCACAGTCCGACCACTTGCCGCGATCCCAATCAGAAGTTCCGATTCCAGTTTTCATCCCACCGTCTCCCATGGCTAGCGTGCCCGTTGTGCGCCTGAGTGGGTCTTCTACCACTGCTATGGGGCTGTGTTCTGCACGCTTTCTAGCGCTTCTGCAGGCCCGAAAGGCCCAACCTGCCAAAGGCAGCGAGCTGACTGGCGCTGACACCTCCGACACTGCCGATTACGCGGCCTGCAAGCCCACGATCAGCCAAAGCCCCAAGGGCGCGAGCAAAGTGTTGTCATCCCGGGGTAGCTCAAATGAGACTCGGTGTCAGCTAGCCAGGTGGACGCGAATAATGCCTCATTGGCTGGCGCCGGGCGAAAGAAGCCCTAGAGGCCTCTCGCGTCGAGCGGTCGGATTATGGTGTGTGCAAGTAAGTGTCAGTGGGATCACACATCCTGCGATTGCTGCGATGGGTAGCGTCAGTCTCGACTCTGTGATCTGCAACCGGTGCCGCCGGCTTGGAATGCTCAGAAAAATTGTCTAGTCAACATTCATTAGAATTTGCAAGGTTCCCACTTTAGGAGGAAAAGCCGGTAGGGCTTCGCCTTGTGCGCGCGCGGGTGTGTTGCCCAGGTTCACTTTCACGGCCGTGGGAGCACAGCAGAGGTGATCTTTCTCTTTTGGCCTCGTGTTGCTGCAGCTGAAGCACAGCCTCGCTCGTTCCTCTGAGCCTATCCCCCCCAAGCCGCATATGTACCCAGATTCGGACAGGGAAGTTCTCTCTTAGTTCGCGGGGAGACTCGTTCGCATCGCTCATTTTCTGTTTCTCGTTCCAACCTTGTTCCTTCGCTCCTCCTCTTTATGGGTTTTGCTTAAGTAAACCAAATTCTGTTGTCCACCACCCTCACTTGTAACCCAAAGCCGGCGAGATGGCAAAATGGGGAATATCAACATGGCTGGCCCTGATTAGGTCACTGCAGGTACTGGGGACCTTGGTCTCTGCGATCCTCAATGGATTCCTGCTAGTGTATATCAACACGAATAATATAGGCGTGTCGTCGACCATGACCGCGATGGAGATCATGGTGAGCAACGTGTCTTGGAGGTGCCGTGTCCTCGTTGTCGCTGACATTACCTCGTTAGACATGCGTAACATTAATATATACTGCCATTGTGTTACTGGTACAGCACAATGGCCGCCGCCGCCTTCAGTCCAAGGACACGATTACGACTGCCTTCATAATAGGAGACATCCTTTTCACTGGTCTCACGATTGGCTTGATTAGCATCATGGCGCGCTCCGGAGTCCCCTCACACTGCGGTGGGCTGACTCCCTATAAGCCTCCCTCTAGCGATCATGATAGTTGTCAGTGCTCTTGTGTACCAGGTATTGAGTTGACCAACAGCTGACCCTCACGCAGCCGACGAATATGACGATGACTTTGGTGTCCCACACTGGTACACCACAGAAGGTTTTAGCAGTGGGGGAAGTGAGAAAGGCAAGATGGATCATTTCTGCGCCCTCGAGCGAGGTTATTATTTCATTAGTATTGCTATCATGTAAGCACTGCCGGGTCATCGCCAACGCCTTTCCCTTCTAACATCGGTAGCTTCTCGTACATGGCGACTGTAACGATGGGTGTGCTCCGTATATTCGAGTCCATCTACCAGAAGAGACTAGACGATCAACTGGCCACGTCGAGCGAACTCATTCGACTCGAGTCCAAGGTCTCCAGAACGCAGCGCTCCTCCCTCGTCCGCCAGTCGTCGAATCCTCCCTCGCCACTGCAAGAGGGCGTCACCTCACCGTCGCCGAGGTCACCGAGGTCCTTCACGAGCCGGCACTCGTTCCGCGACCAGGTCGGACCGCGCCGATCGGCGATGCCCGTGTCACCACTTACTATATCGCCCGCCACCACCGTCGATCCCGCGAGGGAAGGCCTGCTGATCGACCAGCACGCTTCGGACAACGTGGAAAACGCGGCTGAAGCTGCCATGGTCACCGATGGTTACAGAAACCCTCGCCACGCGACCATGTCCGTACCGCCGCCCTACACCCCGGGCGAATCGTCGAGGTTTATGACAGGTCATACCGACGAGAGTAATGATATGAGATTAAGCGACTACGTGAAGGGTCAGACGAGAGCACAGAACATGAAGGATGCCGGGGTACAATGATAATATACGTCGTGGCTTTTTCAGTTTGGGGGGCTCTTGCATATGGGTTTGGGTCATGGAAATATCCCACGGATCGGGCGTTTGGCGTACCTAGTTCTTGCCCCCCACCAGGCGGGACGTAAACGTAATGAATGCGATACCAAGCGAAGTTGATGTTTGTATACGGAACACATCGAAAGGATATGAATGACGTTGACAGTTTGTGATTACAGAGCCATTGGTATGCGCGTGGGCGTGCCATTTCTCAACCCTGCAACGAATATCCAACATCGCCGCTTTCCTTGCCCAATTTGATCAGTCTCTCCCTCATTGCCTCAGCTCTGCTTCTCTGCTTGTCATCCAGGAAGCTGAAATCACAATGATCTACCCAAGCTCCTATCCCGTGCTGCAACACGTTCCGTGCTCTCAACTTGCTGCCGCCGGCATGGCCTACAGATCCATGAAGACTCATTCTCTCCTTGTGCGAAGAATACACTCCCCTATGGACGATGTTATTGTTATAGAAAGCCACATCTCCCGCCTCCAGGTGCACGACTAGCTGGCCAGGTAACTCCTTCTCGAATGGGTCGGCGTTCCTCTCCTTCTCCGTCCTTGCCCTCGCATGGGACCCCGGGACTACGACGAGGCTGTCGTCATCGTAGAGCGCGAGGTTCCACTGGGTGTGCCACTCCGGCTCGCTCAGCCGCTGCATCTCCTCCTCCGGCGTCGCCGTGGCGGGGATGTCGTCCCGGTGCCAGCGTAGCTCAAAGTCCCGTTCCGGGCGCACCAGCATGTTGAAGAGCTCCATGACGAGGTCCGCGTCCTCGCAGTCCATCAGCTCCTTCGCAATGTCCAGCACCGCATCGCTGAAGTAGCTCTCGGTGAACGCCCGGTGCGCGGGAAGCTGAGGGTTCAACAGGCCTTGCACGCCCCAGATTCCTTCGGCCCCCGGGGATGATGGCCACGGTGGGAACTGCTTGCCCACGGTGCGGATGTGTGGCCACTTCCCATCGCGAGCTAGGGTGGTGGTGCTGGATGCGGCTTCGCGGAGGGTATTGAGTTGGTCCTGCGATAGGATCTGGCGGATCACCACGAAGCCATCCTTGTGCAGGTTATCTCGGAGAGCTGAGGCTGTCATTTGTACTACCTATTTGCTGTATGCACGGTCCTGACGGTGTGGCGCTGAAGACGAATTTGAGATAATAATTACTACCTAGGCACCCGGGGATGTAAGTCACTTCAGTTGTTCAATACTACGAAGCGAGGGGTAGCTTATTGGATGCCCGGGCATGTTGGTTGGTCGGATCATTACTTTACCCCATTACGTCAAACCTTCGCGTGGGACAACGTTACAACGACCTTGATCGCGATGCAACATATGTAGTCGCGCGGCATACTATACTATGATAGGAGAAGACTTATACTTAGTACTCAAGACTCGCCCAGTTTCGTGCTGCGGAACACCTGCAAATTGAGGGGTGCGTTGACATGCATACAGGTATGTATTAGAGGCAGTTTTATCTTGAGCCTCACATCTCATAGCCATTTGACCCGCGGGAACTTCGACATCTAGTAGGTGAATGACCACCGTCAACTCAGCAAGAACCATTTCAAGAAGAGCTATGTATCCGGGGTCCGGGGGTTGTTATTGGCGTTTTGCTTCTGACATGGCCTAATTGGTCCAGTGCTGGTCGTAGCCTGGTGCAATGTTTCACGCAGCCACAGACCAATTGTGCAGAGCATAGATGAATAAGGATGGTGCATTAATTAGTATCATAGCAAACTGTTGAAGCCCACAAATGCCACTTCAATCATGACAAACAGTATGGAGCCAGATGAATGCAATGATTGGCTCTAAAGTGTTCTTTCGTGAACATTCTCAATGGTAATCAAATAGTTACGTACTCCAAGACTCACGGGAAATTGCGGTTTCCACTACTGCAGCTGCGGACAGCCCTGGCCGGCTGGGTGCGAGCGGCGGAGGTGGGCCTTGTAGCCCACCGCGGAACTTGGGACGCTGCTTATCCGTGCCACCGCTCTGGCAGGCGGCTGACCGCCCGGCAGAACGGCTGCGGCAGAATCTGTGGGACCCACCCGTAGGCAGTACAAAAGGACGCCGCCCTCGCCTGAGACGCAGTCTCTTTCTTTCTTCTTTTTTCCTTATGTCGACAATACTTCATAGAATCATTTCTATAGTAGTCGTCCCGCTCTCTATTTCCCAATAGAGCTGCAGAACCCAAGCCAGACGATGATTCAAATCCCCGCTACCCCAGAGTGAAAAATCTTTATGGAAGCTTCGGCTCCCGTTTGCTCTCGAACTGCCCGCAAGGGTGGCGGTCTTCGGACTGTATAGAGAGTGGTGATGATCTCAACCCCGATCCAACGGTCTTGCCTTCGGGCGCGTCGTCGGGGTGGGTAGTGGTGGAAGTCTGATGGCCTGTTTATTTTCTCTTTTTCGTTGCTATCCGGAGCTTGTCTCTGGGAGCGAGGAAGAAGCCTCGTGAATGTTCCAATGTCCGCTTGTAGTTGATCTTCCGGCAGTGCGAAGATACTCGCACAAGTCCGGACGTGTACCATTATTTTCGAACCTGGCCGTCAGATTGTCTGTATGGTAATACTTAACGTGATGAACTAACCTATCGATCGCTCTTGTCCTTCGCCCCGTGGCAACGGCAGAGATTTCACAACGGTCCACCTTTAGTACGGTCGCGTAGAACCACTTTGCCAGTGCCATGAGACATGGTGCACCTCCCTACTACTGGTGATGAGGGAACCCGTCTTCGTCTCGGCCAGACGACTCTATTCAGGTAACTATTATGTGATGGCGGTGACGCCTCATCACGCTCACGGTCTCGGCAAATGTTGGAACATGTGAACGTTTATTATGATGGTTTCTTATGGACAGACGAAGCAACCGCATCCAAGCAACGGCTACCTCTTCGGCTACTCTAGTCATAGACCAACCTCTACCCGCTCTTGAACACAGCAATATTTGCCGCAAATGTGTTGACATTATCACTCCAGCTCGCCAAGCTCGTTCCGTCTCGGTTGATCATGCTCAGGGACCCGATGGTGTTGAGGTTGTAGATGTTCACGTTGCTGATGGTGCCCTCGAGCGATACAATGCGCGACTGGCACGTCTCACCGGCCTCGACCGTGGAACAAGCTATAGAGACACGTTAGATACTACTAGCGTCGAACCGGGAGTCAAATATTCAGGACTTACTTGTCGAATACGAGCTGAAGAAGGAATAGTGCCCGGCCCCGTAGATCAGGATGTTGTTCGAGTTGACGATGCGCAGACCCCATGCCGCGGCGCAGTTACCGGCTACACCTGAGCAGGAAGTGCTGAAGTTGGGGTCCTGGAGTGCGGTGTTGACCGTGAAGGGGACCAGCGCGTTGGGCGTAGGCATGAAGTACGGCGTCTCCGTTTGAAGCTCGCTGGCAAAGATGTTCTTGGTATTGGCAAACTGGTAGTTATACAGGACGTGATGCTCCACCGCGGTGCCGACGAGCCAGACCGGTCCGTTTGTCGACTCGATGTACAAGCCCCTGCCGGCGTACAGCGTGATCTGCGTGTTGGCGGCGTCGTCGATGTCGTGGTCGGCGGTCCAGAGCCAGGTGTTCTCCATGTAGAGGTTCGACGCCTGCGCGGTGACGTGCATCGACATGTAGGCGGCGATGCAGCCCGAGTTTACGGCGCTCGACCCTGCGTTCTTGAGGCACTGGGCAACCTGTAGCTGGGAGCCGGTGAAGCCGCCGATTCTGGTGTGGACATCCCACATGCCACTCGGTGTTCCGCTGGATGCGAGGTTCCATTCGATCAGGACGGCACCCGGGGTCGAGCCTTGGGTGCCCACCACGAAGTCGGACAGCTCGACCGTGCCTACTTGACCCGAGGTCGACCCAACTTGAATCACGGGCTTGGGGTTCGAGATGTCTGACCAATAGCCCCCAGCAGCCATCAGCACGGGATAACCCTCGCCAACGATCTTGGAACCGGGAGGAATCACGATCGGCGATGTCAGTCTGTACAGACCAAAGTCGATGAAGACCACCTTGCCTGCCGATGCGGCGCTGTTGATGGCAGACTGGATCGCAGCGGTCTTATAATAGTTAGCCCAGATACCCTCTCACTTCACGTGAACTCGCCGAAACTCACATCGTCTGCTTGGGCATCGCCTCTGGCTCCAGCACTTCGGACACTGACGAAGTTGGACGCTGCCAGCGTCTCGTATTGGGGCTTCGACCGTTGGTAGTACCTGCCATTGCTACCCAGAAGCGCTGAAGGTCGGGAGTTGGGAGTAACTAGCGATGTATGTGAGTGAAAGTCCTAGCGGGGATGCACATTCTCTTTGTGAAATACGGGACCACTTACTCGCTCCTTGGGCGCTTTGAGGTCCTGAAGGTGTATATCTGTGCCCCTCGCTCCAAGCCGTGATCGTTGTCGTGCCACCGGAGAGGTATGTGCCACTTGGTCCCTGAACTGCGACCGGAACATTCTGAAGACTGACGTTCTCCAGGACTATACTTCCAGCGGTGGCTGGCGAGGAAGACGAGGTGTACGCCGTCACGATACCAACAGGCACGTTGACGAACGTACTGTCAATGACGGTCAAGGAGCCAACGTCCTGATCGGAAGAGCCGCCGGCAGAGATATCGATACCTTTGCCGCAGTTGTTGATCTGGAGGTTGATGTACGTCCATCCCCAGTTCCAGAGCTGTATGATGGCTACGAAATTTATGAGATCAAGTCTTATATGCTGAAAGGTTAACAAGAACCATACCTGTTCCACAGTTGTTGAAGACAAGGTTCCTCATGGTATACTGTTGGTTCCCCATAGAGGCACCAGTAGCACCTCCGTTGAAGGTGAGGTCGCTCATGAATCCACCAGAACCTGGACTGCGTCAGTAAGGTTCACCACACCAGCAGGACGTCACATACCGCTCTCGATAAACAGACCGACATGTACGACACCCGAGGTTGTTGGCATGTTGAAGACGATGTTCTGCAAGCTTGTTGCCTGTGAGGTTGGCCAGTGCATACCCGTCGCAGCCGTGCCGGGAGCGATGTTGGTGGTATCGATGACAAAGTTCCTCACTTGACGGTAGAAGACATTGACCGAGACCCAGTTGAGGTCTGATGTATAGTAGGGGTTTCCATCGATCAGGCCGAATCCTTGAAAGCCGGCAGTCGCCTTCAGAACTGGTCGAGAAGTTGGATCTCCTACAAGCTGGGTGAAGTAATAGGGGACGATTGAAGACGAAATCAAGTATGTCCCTGCTGGAAAGTACACAACGGCAGGTGTCTGGGTTGTCGATTCCTAGTAAGGGCTAGTTAGTTACCAGGCATAAGTGTAAGTTTCTGCTTTGCATTATGCTTACGCAACCCTTTCCGCAACGATTACCACCCGCCGTGATGGCGGCGTTGATTGCAGCAGTATCATCTGTAACACCATCACCTGCAACTACGGTTAGCGACTGGCCTTGTCCGTTATCGCTAATGGACGGTGAATTCTAGTGTGGTATGATAAAGTGCTACATTGGGTGGTGGCACAATTGTTCGTGTTGATAAGTCTCGTCCAATCACTGACCTCTGGCACCATAATCCTTTACGTTACGGAAGACAGCATATCCAGATCCTGCAAAAGGTGCGACACCTTGGTCTGATAATTCGTATTAGTGTAACTGATAAACCGTGTGGATGCCTCCATCTTTGCTTACGAGAAATCTGCTCGAGCCAGTAGGCATGAGCACCGACGATCAGGCTAAGTATAGCCACGAAAATGGTTTGAAAACGCATCTTTGACGAGCTCAAGGCGACGGAGCGTTGCAGTATGCCCCCCATGGCCAGGCTGGAATGGACCGGTCTTATAAGACGCGGGACAGCCCTTCCCAAAGGCGAGCGCTACTTGGCTACCACACGGCCCATCATGCTAAGACAACAAGACATTGGCCTGGCTGGCGTATAGGAGCTCACTACAGACTGACGAAGACATCAAAGTTAGGTCCATCTCGCGGCCTAGTGCCGGTCGAATCCACCTTGAGGTACGGCCGACTGTCACCATGTCAAGATCCGCACGTTCATGGGACCCTAGTGCAAGTCATAGGAGGTCACTAGGTCTGGACTTCTCTCTGACCAAGCAGACAAGCCTGGGCAGCCTGACGGCACGCAGCGCTCTCGAGCCCTTCACCGACGGGCATGTGACAGCATAGGGGACGACAGGACTTGGGGGCCAGGGTAACGTTCCTGAACCTATGACCCTGAACCAACCTAGCCTGGCAGCAAAAATGCAGATCAGGACTATGCGAGATCAGGCTAGTTGTGTTTCCGAAAGAGCGCGACGATGTTGGTCAAGCCGGGGTGATTGGTGTGGCCAGATTCGCGGAGGTAATTATTCCGCTGGGGAAGGAAATCTGGGGTTATGATGCTTAATGGTGATAGGCTCTGCATCGCAGCGCCAATTACACGCTGTCGGGCCGATCCAGCTCGCTAGGTGACCTTCGAGGAAGACAACCTTGTCCTGGGCCAGATGCAGCTTGAAATGAAGGGTTCTGTGATACCAGAGCCATAGGTTACCCTCCCACAGGGGAAATAGAGTGTAGCTGGCGGGTGCTGCCCGTGTTCTGGGAACCGACATATGCATCATTGACAGGTAGATCGTCGAGATGCATCAAATAGAGTCTGTATGTATCATGCGCTGCGAACCACTCGGGGCATCCCGAATGGGCCGCGTCGTACAATTGCCGTGAAAAAGAGATCTTAGATCCGGGACTAGTTCTGTATCTAGAGACATTATACGTCAGAACTGCAAGTGCCACTAGAAGACCAAGGCGGATTCTAGGCGAAAGCCTTTCTACTGGGTGCCGGAGGGCAGATGGCACCAACCCCGGTCTGCTTGGATTGGCATCATCAGAGACCTCCTGGGCGACATGTGCGTGTTCTGCAATCTCATTTGCCCTTCGTGGAGTGGTTGAGAAATGAGCACTCCAATAGCGTCTCCCCAGGTGTAGGAAGTTGTTCCCGAGGCACGCTACCACATGGCAGCAGAAAACATACACAGTGATTATATGGGTGCGAATCAGTCTTGGCACCGTATATGTTCTGCTTTTCTCCTTACGTCGTGGGTCATCGCTTGTCACTGTGGACCCCATGACTTGGAAAGACAACCATTATGCGCTGCGCTCTTCAAGACATTCTGCTACACTCTCCTGCACACCACTCTTGATGGCTGTTTGGCTCAACTGACATCTGCTGCCTGTGGTAATTCGCTCGATCAGTGAAGCCCGACTGTCAGATGGCATTCACTCCCAACCCTTTCCGCTCTGTCAGTGCCGCACCCCCGGACGCTCAGACACCCACCCTTATGTTCCACCCGTGACCTCAGGGCCCTAAGCATGCGGTGCTCGCGTTGTTCAAAGTCTTGGCGTCCGGCGGGCGAATTCATCCATACTTCTCACTCCGCATTTCCCGTTTCTTTCAGGGCAAGGTCTGGTCGACCCCTTGTGCGAAGCGAGTGAGCCGTTTATTGACCTCGAGCTATCGTGACTACGCGTTATATTGGCCCGCTCCGCTACAAACACCGCCGAGTACGTGCCTGCCCGATCCAGGTTCGAAGGTCGAGTGACAGTGGGGCCAACTATAGAGAGCAATATCGACACGCATGCCGAGTCGCGCCCTGGGCACACGGAAAGCTTATGTATTGCCAAGGGTGAGCAGCGCGACGAGTATATCGTATTTAACCGCTGGGTACCCAGGTGCAGGTTGCGGGACTATGCTCATGCTGGCGAGATGCGTGTGTAGTGTCGGCGAAGCCATTGGGAGGTTCTGTGGAGAGTGAGGGCATCAAGCCTCTCGAGTCTCAATCAGAAACACACAACGCAGCAAAACTAGAACCGCGAACCGAGCGTGAGTGGTCTCAGAGCTGATGCTGTCATAATTGCACTGCATGAAGTTCAGCATGGTGCAATGCATTCCTTTTCCGTTGCTCCCCACTTGAGTGTCTCTGCATATTCATGGCATGCTCATGACTACAAATTTGATGCCGACTTGCTGTGCTGTTTCCCCTTGTCTTGTGTGAGCTGCCAATAGTACACCGGGAGGTGCAAAGGCTGAAAATCGGGCGCTGCCGCATTGGGCCAAGGATCAGCAGAGCATGCATTACTTCGCATCGCGTGTAAGTGCGGTGAGCCGCGGGTGACACCTGGCTTCAAGCGTACACAGGAGGAGGCCGACTGCTTCGCCCACATACAGGGAACACCTCTGGAAGGTCAAGGCCGGAGACCAACTTTCGGAGCTGTGTAGGAGCACACGATGGCCGGGCTCCTGGTCAGGTAACTAACTATCTGCCATCAACGAGTGTTGAGAAGGTGGAAAAGGGTTACATAGCCCGTAGGCAGTCCGTGCCCCCCAGTCTGAGCAGATCCCGCCCCCGCACGCCTGCACCCCAGGGACGCTTCTCCAACTCGGCCGTCTCCACAGGCACACGACATCTCGTCGGAACATTTACGCCTGCTGGCGTCTCCAGTCCGCGAGGCCGACCGCACGAGCTTCCGTCACATTGTTACCTTTTCCCATTTCGGCCACGGCACATGCGCTGCGTTCTGGAAACGAAAACCTGGTCCTACTCCGATTACCTTTCGTCTGTGGTCCTGCTCATGTAGGTTGCCATCAGCACTTTAGAGCTCTGTCGTCCAGCTGCGCCGAGGCAAGTCCAGCTCCGGGGTCGAGCGAATCGCTCGGCGTCATTGGCCTGCCTGGGGGTGGAATCTGGGATAGTTGATCATCCTAGAACAGCACCAAGGTACTGAGCAGCACCCGCCCAGCAGGGAAGATCCAGGGCCAGGTCTGCAACATTGGGGACGGTCGGAAATCTTTGCCTATAGGGTAGATTGACAATGAGGGGTTCAATTGCCGCGGAACTGGGCTGCACCAGGATGGGTAAGCCGCTACATGATTTGGACGAAGTTATGCATATGACAAGCAGCCTGGCAGCTACGAATTCTTCAACGGTCCGCCTTGGGCAACAGGTAAGGAGGCTTCAATTGCGTTTATTGCGTCAGCCAAAAGAAGAGCCACATGTGGTAGTGGCCGGGGACTGGACCCGAGAGCCTTCCTTGTGGGCTCTTCCTTGCCGACTAGCCCTCGCCCAGTGATATGTCGACTGTGATGAGGGGACTGGCATCGATCATAGGGTAGCCAGCAATTGTGTAACATCTCCAAGTCTGATGATGAATACTCCGAGAGCTTGCGAGGAGCGATGACCCGTGTTGCTACTGGTACTCCGCACGGACTGGCAAGAATTGTTTCAACACGTTTGTACAAACTTTAGATGGGGGCCGAGTGGCCAGGATACAAGCACGCAAGGGAAGTGCGGGTAGCATACTGAAATCCCCAACTGCAACACCCGAATAAGGGAGCAAGATTTGATCGAGAAGCAATCCCAAGAAAAGAGGCTGAAGTGGAATGCATCTGTTGGACTTGGCTCGCTCCATGTGCTGTGCCATGTCTGTCCATTTCTCTGAATGAAGAGAACAACACCGGGAACCTTGGAGAGCAGCTACTGCAACACAACTTAGCAGTCTCGGCTACCGGAGGTATGTACTGGAGTCGGTGCAATTTACTGGCAGACTGGGGCCCTGGCGGGCCTAGCGTCTATCCCACATGCGCTGTAGCGCGGTGATCTCCTTTCCCCGCGCCCCCACATTCTACCCCCAATGCGGAGAGCATGCCCAGAGACTCAGCTAAGCAGTTGGCGGCTTAGGCGACTTGTTGCTACCCCAGCCGACCCCAGCCCGGCCCCCGTCATCCATGAGACGGGCTTGATGGGGGAGGCCCTGGGCCACTCACGGCCGTGGCATTTCGAGCTGTCCATTCCTCCAACGATCTCCGCTTCCAAGTTACCTACTCCTCACCCCATTTCGCCCTCAATTTCTCTCTACCCCGATTCCGTGGTGTGTTTCGCCCTGGGAATCTGGACAAAGTTGCATCGCTCTTCCGCACTGGCTTTGGCCGCAGTTCTGACGCCTATACGTCACGTTACGCCGTGCCTCTACTGCTGCTGCTACGGCGCTCTTGAGCCGATTCAAGCTTGGGACTGGACTGGCTTGGGCTGCGAGTGCGTCCTCGCGTGCTGCTGCCCGCGTCAACATACACCATCAATCAGACACGCCTCCTGTGACTGATCGTTGACCTCGGGACCAGACGTACTGGCAGATAGGCGCATCACGCGAGAGTCCCTTCCGGCCTGGGCTCTCCCCCCAAAAAAATACCTACCCGACGCTGTCTGGCCTGCCTCTTCCCGCCAGCCCAGTGCTCGCCCACGACACAGCTGCCGGACACGGCGTGGGAGGTTTCTCAACTGCTGGCAACCCTCCCTATCCGGGGAATATGCGAGAGCGCAGGTGCCGATATCTCAGAACCCAGGCCGACTGATGCCATTTCCTGGATCCTTGAATTCATCCACAAATCGTTCACCCCGCAAGTCATTGCTTCTTCCGGCTTACCACTCGGCCCCTTGACCGACGCTGTCTCCCCCTTCCCCCACTTCAATTGTTCAGCGTGACCTCTCTGCCTACATTACACCCATAGTTCATACAGGGAGCCTGCCCGTATCCCATTCTTTCTCTCTTATCACGTCAATAATGCAGTCGATCCAGTCCATAGAGGGCCCGGGTCTTCCTGGTACCACGGACGAGAACGTGGAGGGCCGGCAGCAGAAGCCCAAGACCCTGCCCTGCAAGTACTGCAGTAAGCGATTCAGGTAAGAGACCAAGAACGGACCCGGGTCCTTGTCTTGCCTCCGGCCACAATTTAGCTTACATGTACTTTTTTCCTTTAGGCGCGTGGAGCACGTTCAACGACATGAGAGGACCCATACTAAAGAGAAGCCCTTTGCTTGCGGGTGGGCGCGGTGCGGCAAGACCTTTGGGCGCAGGTGAGTAGCTATATTCTTTCTCTATACCCCTACGCCTCGCCATGTTCTGCTTGCCCGAAGCCTACCAAACCATCCACCACTTACATCATCTGCACACGCAACCCACCCCAGTGCCTCATAACCCGCGCCATTTCCGAGCGCTTCTCCTTCCTTCCACATACATGGTCGGCTGCTATCCAGAACCAACAAAGACTCGACCCAGAGTAAATATGCTTATATGGACATCAGGGATCTTCTTGTCCGACACGAGAAACTCGTCCATCTCAATGAAGGGTCGAACAAGGACAATAGCCGGCCGCGGAAGCCGTCCACGGCCGGCGCTGTCCAGCACATATCCCCCGAAGCTCATGTCGACGCCGAAATGATGGGCATGCCTCGTGCACACCCTCAGCATTACAGCAATGAGCCTATGAATTCCGTTCCGGTGCACTCGCTGGCTCCAGATCCTCGCATGCCTGCCAGAGCGGCTGCCTGCAACCTGGATCTGCTATCTGACGCCGCAACGCAGATCGCATCGGCCAACGAGGTGAACTCCATGCAACCCATGATGACAGATATGGGACAGCCCGCCGGGCCCATGTCTCGCATGAAACCCTATGAGGATGCCATGGCGTATGGGGACCGGGGCCGAGAGCAGGAGGCCAATGCTATGACAGTCCCCTTTCCTGGACAAGCGGTACCGCCTGCCTTTGACGACTACAATTTATTCCTAGATGAATTCGCAACTACGTCGCACTTCCTACCCCAGGTATTTGAGACGGACCAGAACTTCGGAATCTGGCCAAACATGCAGAGAGGTGGTCAGTCGAAACCCGCCTCGCAATTTCCGTCCCGTTTTCCGTCTGTTCAACCGGATCCGAGAGACCCAGCTGATGCTGGTGGCAGGGGCCATGACGACTCGAACAGAACTTTACCCTTAAGGGTCTCTGCGATGGACCACACTGTCATCAAGAACCGTCTCGACGAGTTCTCGTCGGTGCTACCGAACGATTTTGTATTCCCATCTCGTCATACACTTACGAGATTCCTTGAGGGATACGTCGGTGGTTTCCACGACCATCTACCCGTTCTACATCTCCCAACTTTGACGCCAGCCGACCTCTCCCCAGAACTGTTGCTAGCAATACTCGCTGTTGGTGCTCAACATCGATTCGAGAGCCACAGAAGTAACGCCCTGTGGTATGCAGCAAAGGCTGTGGCTCTGGAACAGATACGGCGGAGACACAGTCATGAAGTTCACGGTCTATTACCAACGCCCGCAGCCTACAGCCCACATTCTACTCGACCTTCTCCAAGTCATGGATTCCGACACTCGTTCAGCTCTGTACAACAAGACCGGCCGATGACCCAAGATACACACCGAGAGCCGTAGTAAGTCCAGCTTCCATAGCTATCAACTGCATCACTCTGTGGATGATGAATGAATGCTAAGACTTGCTGTAGCTCGCCTAATACTCCACAATCCCGTTTGGAGACAATCCAAGCTCTCCTCTTGCTCTTCGCAGTAGGCCTATGGGGAGCCAAGGCTATTCTGCACGAAGCCTTATCTCTCCAAAGTCTCCTAGCCATGCTCATTCGTGAAGAGGGGCTGCTGTCAGAGTCCACACAGACTGCCGACTGGGAAGCATGGATACGGATCGAAGGGATGAATCGTACGAAGCTTATCACATACTGCTTTTTCAACCTCTGCAGCATTGCTTACAATATGCCACCCCTGCTGCTCACATCTGAACTCAACATATTCCTACCTCATTCATCCAAGCTCTGGCGAGCCGAAACTGCGTGGCAGTGGCAAGAGGCACGACACACTTTCCCGAGTATGGACATCTCTTTTCAGGATGCATTCTCAAGACTGTTCAGCCGGCCACCGCAAGGACCTCCCGCATACCTGTCATCGCTGGGCAACTATGGGTTGATTCACGCGCTCATACAGCACATCTTCTTACTCAAACAGACGTGCTTTACGTCAGCCCCTTATGAAGCCCCTCGCGGTCTAAGGCCCGATGATGTCGAAGAGGTCTGGCAGGCGTTGAGGATATGGCAGATGAGTTTTGAGCAGCACCAAGCTCGTGCGGCTGAGACAGGCCAGCCCATGACCAGTGATTCTTTTCCCGGTGGGCCCGTTGCCTACAACTCGACTGCTCTATTGCGACTGGCCTCTATCCGCCTGTTCACCGACTTGAGTCCTAGCAGGACTCTCGAGACACGCGATGCAGGTCAGATTGCTACTTCTTTCGGCGATGCGCCGTATCTGATTCGAAGTACGCGTCTGAATCGGGCGATCATGCAAGCTATTCATGCCCTGTCTATGCTGGTGAAGCTTGGTGTCAATTATGTTGCGAGAAGGAAATCTACCGAATGGAGCATGCAGCACTCCCGTAAGTACCGCCCACTACACTTCACGTTTTGAGCTTGGCGACTGATCTATTCCCATGATAGTATGCAATCTGGAGTGTGCTATCTTGCTTTCCAAATGGTTGATGACTCTCGCTTCTATAGGCCCGACAGATCCTCCGCCATCCTCAGATGAGCGCAATCTGCTAGAAATGCTGCGGAGAATGTTGGATGAGACGGAATTCGCAGTCCCCATTGACCCTTCGCTTTCGGGAGGGCCAGGACACCCATCTAACATGGATATGGCTATCAACGACAGTGCTAAGCTGCGTCAGCTCGCTGCCGCCGTGATTCGAGTTTGGGCTGAGACCTTCAAGGGCTCTCACATATTCGAAATTGTGAAGGTCATTGGAAACGGCCTCGAAGGATATGCGGATCTGATCGAGAAGCCGCGGGATAGGACGCCGCTCGGCAGATTAGCACCAAACACGGGATTGGGCTGAGCGTTGGTTAGAGATTCGTGATGAACCATGATTTCAAACGTACTGAAAGGTAATCTTGTTGGAAAAAGGCGACAAGTTGACGGGGAGAAGCTCATTATGAATCTTGCGCTGCCGACAGATAGCCCAGGTTCGCTGCTGAACCCCAGGGAGAGGACGAAATACCCAGGTGATTGTAATTAAGCTGGCGTCACCCCAGCACTCAGGGATAAGAAGGTTTGATAGTCGAAGTACTCGACATCGAAGTTGAGTTTGGCGGCCTTGCTGCTATCGTGCTAGTGTATTAATGGGGCTTCTAGTCCTATATCCTACATTTTACGCCTAGTGTATCTTCAGTGTCTGGGATCGCTCTCTTGTGCCGCTGATGGCTTCACTCTACGGGATTCTAGACTTTTGTATTACACCCTACCCGTGTTGCCTGTTTTCTAATGCTTCCCCATGTTTGCGAGACTCTGCCCAAGTATTCACATAAGGCTGCTAGTGCTATTAGTTGTTCCTGAAATGGCCCCAAGTACAGGTGACAGCACATTGCTATTGTCTAGGACATATCGAGCATGCCTTTGACAACCCGATATCATTTCAACTGCTAAGTTGCCGTTCAACTGAAATTTCACACAACTGCGCTCATGAAATGCACACTCATGGTAGGTATCAACACTCGGTAGCCTAGTACATGTCAGTAGTTTGACAGATCTCTTTTGAGGTCGACACTCCGACCAGTGCTTGCCGCCTTCCTTGGACAGACCTCCCTGAACAAAGCATCTCGGAAAACTCCAGGGTGAGATGCGGCCTCTGAGTAGATTCCCCCGTCGCCCCCATGCAGCTGGTGAGTCATCGTGAGAGCTCTAGTTGGGCGGTTCCCGGAATGCGAGTGTGGAGGTGTGCTTTTACCTTCAAGATAAGCAGACTGATTGCTACTATTGCTGCCGTGACGTACATTGCAGAGCTGAACAACATTGATGGGTATATAGTGTGCGATTGTGAACAAGTGACTCGTGTTCAGTTGTGTCATGAAACAATCTGAATCTCTTGGAAGCTTCTTTCTAAGATTCAGTATGGTCTATGGTCCCGATATCCATATATTCGTAGTCCATTGACTAGGTGAAAGCGTCCCTCTTCGTCTTCTCCTTCCTCCCCGTCTTCTTCTATATTTCCAAAGCCAAGACAGAAGCTGGTAGCACAAGCAACACACACACACACACACACACACACACCCAAGACGCCGCGCTTCCCACGACCCTCGCTGCGGCTGCTGCGACAAGGCACGACGCACGCCTCGCCTACAGCTTGGCGCCGCCAGCGCCGTTGGCGGCGCCGCCCTTCCGCCTCTCGGGCGGCTTGCCCAGCCTCTTCATCCACTCGTCGTCCATGGTGCTCTTCTCGCGGAGGGTCTTTTGGGCGGCCCAGTCGTCGTACTCGGCCTGCTCGCGGCGCCAGCGCGCCATCTCGGCGCCGATCCAGGCGGCGGCGTGGCCCGCGCTCTCGCCGGGCACCTCCATGGGGAACAGGTGGCCGCGGCCCTCCATGAGCACCTCGGCGACGCGGCCGGCGCGGGCACCCCCGCTGCCGTCGGGCCCCGTGCCGCACGTCTCGAGGCGCAGCCGGCGCTTCTCGGGCGTGCTGAGGTCGCTGGTGCCGCCGGCGACGAAGAGCACCGAGGGCCGGACCTCGGGCAGCTTGCGCAGGATGCGCGGGCCCTCGGCCCGGTAGAAGGGGAAGGCGGCCTTGGGGTTGAAGTCCTCGTGGGCGCTGGGGTCGAAGTCGGGCACCTGGAGCAGGTCGACGGACCCGTCCGGCTTGGTGAACAGGTACAGCGGCCGGAAGAAGGTGAAGAGCTCCTGGTGCTTGGTCGTCCGCAGCGTCACGGTGCCCTCCTTCTCGTTGGGGAACAGCGCCGTGGGGACCGGCCGGATCCCGTGCTTGATCCACGCCTCCAGCACCCTCGGGTCCCAGGACTTGTAGAACGGGGAGCGCCGGAACGACTCGGCGGCTTCGGCCGCCGAGGGCCAGGTCTCTCGGCGGAAGGCGGAGCCCTTCGCCGGGGAGATGCCGGGACCGGCAGTCTTGAACCCGAAATTCGTGATGGTGGCGTCAAAGAGCACCAGAGTCGTCAGCAACCGCGGGTGTAGTAGCGACAGATGAGTGAGACAGTTGGCTCCGAAGGAGTGTCCGACGCCTATGAGGGGGCGCGGCATCTCCTTGCGGAAGACGTTGGTCATGTGCAGCAGATCGCGGCCATGATCGGTCCAGCTTGGGTCATTGCCAAGCGTCAGCTCGTTGGCCTGGCCGCTGTACCCCTGGTTGACAACGTCGGCGATCCATATGGCACGGATACGGAAGCCCTGGGCCTTGGAGGCGGCGAGCAGCTCCTCCCACAGCGGCTCGTAGAGCTCCTTGGGGAAGCCGTTGGCATGGGCACCGATGATGGTCACGTCGCCAGGCTGTGGAGACGGGTTGTCCTTCGGGGTGTACTGCTTGATGGCTAGATAATGGACATCTTCCTGCGAATGCGCCGTGGCTCGGGCGTACTCTCGGACGTGCTGGGTTGGGATGAGGTGCTCCTTGATGTGGAAGGGGAAGTCCATCTTGGAAGTACTGCGGCCCGATGATCACGGCAGCTTGCTTTGCGTCGTGGCCCAGAAAGGCCCGTCTACCAGCAGCTCGCCTTAACCCCCCGTGCACTTTGCGTTGCCGGAGCTTCGTGAAACCCCCAACAATGGCAAATAGCGAGCCTGTTTGGTTTTGTGCGGGTGTGCTTAGTTGAGCAGGAGGCACCGTCAATCAAGTCGTTCGCAGATAGTCCCGAGCACGGCAATTGCCAATGAGAACCACACTGGCGAGCCTGGAATCCCCTTCGAGAAAGAGCGAAAAAGGCCGCGATTATATATCTTGAACAAACAAAGTGACGAGGTTTGCCCGCAGCCTTCAGTTTGCAAATACAAGCCGCCTAATGCTGTTCACAGCCGTACCCGTGGACAAGGGCTTGTGGTGACAGTTTCTCGCTTTACACCAGTTCCGTGTCTAACAACCGAAGACTTGCTCCCTGGGAGATGCAAAGGGGGAAAAGACCAACAAAAGAAGCAACGATGGCGTTGCCTGTTTTCCGAGACACTGCTCAAATATGGACCAGACGTGTGCACCTAGGCTCAGGTGAATAGTTCCTCAGGTTGAATGTCTGAGGTGGTTGATGACGAACCGTTGCTAACAGCCGGGGTGGGTTGGCGGGACCATCCAGGAGCCTCGGCAAGATGAAATCCGGGCACAGTGCTGATTGGCCGGCTTGCCCTCAGGCGTACAGCGTTAGTCGTTGCGGCAAGTCTTAGCGTCCTGGCACTTGACTTGTAATACCCCCATAGGTAAAACCAACCTACTGCCTCCTAACTTGACGATCTCCCTAGGCCTCATTCAGTAAGTTAGCCCACTCCACCACCACTACCGAACGTCCTTGCTCCAAGTTCACCAAGTCAAGGCAGCGACTGGCTTGCATAAGTCATCCCATAGGCCGGGCATAGTGGACTCACGTGTTCTTGCAGTAATCTGTTCGCATTCATCGGGGGGAAACGTATGTTTGTCAAATTGACCAGTCTATCTACCGTGATTCCTAAGAAAAAGAGCATTCCCTCCTGGTGGGCGGCCATGGAACCAAATAAAGCAATTACTGAACCAGCCACATGCCGCATGCTGTCCGGGGAAGTCGTGAATGCCGAAATGTCCTGACGCCAGAACAACCTTCCATGCAGCACATGCTATAGCCGATCCGTTCCCTTCGTTTCGTTTTTCTTATATTCCTTCATGACAGATCATAATCATCATTGCTTGAGAGGGGCCAGAGGACGCCCCGGCTCGGCCCGGCATGAGTCCTCCTATAGCCACGAGCTGCTTGACGATTCGCAACGAGACCTGCTGTGAAGGGACGCTGCCTTAAAAATCAATACTAGAGTGTAAACATCGCTGGTGGTCGACGTTTGTAGCCATAATCCATTTTCGCCACCACACTAAAGTCGACTACGATCCACTATGACAGGTGGAAGGCACCTTGGCCCTCACGTATGGCAGTAAACAACTGCTTCCTCATGTTCTCGATGCTCGTGTAGTCCGGCAGTTTGAGGTAGTTCACGCACGTCATGACACTGGGCAGGTAGTCATCGGCCGTGTAAGGGGGCTCACTGGGCTTGCAGACCACAGTGAACATTGGGGTAAGACTCTTGAATCCTGGAAGCACGCATGTTGGTCAACAGATTGCTCAAAGTTCAAGGCATGGGCGTGAACGTGGACTTACCACCAATGGGGAGCTTCGGACTGCCGGTTGTGAATTGCAAGAAGTCTCGGCGCTGAGCTGCTGTCAGCTCGCTCATGGTCTGGAGCAGGTTCTTGACGCTCCGGCTATCCATATTATAGCCGTGGTCGGCTTTGATCGAGTCCATCAGAGCTATCGAAACGTTAGCGCCTTGTGGCCATGATGCAACATCAACAAACTTACTCTCCAGGGACCAGTCTTCGTCGACACGACCAAACAGGGAAACGAGCTCGTCGGGGGTGAATGCACTCAGTGCAGAGTATGGGAATACCTGGGAGAACCCGGCACGGAAAGCATCGATCTGACGCTTGACGCCGCTGCCCAGCGTCATATCGACGACACTGTCGAGATAGGACTCCACATTCTCGATGGTGACTTGCGTGTGAGCACCTCCAGGAGCGAGCTCAATCTCAGGATGACCTGGAAGAGTGAAGTCAAGAGCAAGATCTTCAACCGAGATGCCGTCGACGACAATCTTCTCGGTATCTGCCACCTTCTGAGCGGGCGTGCGGTCTGGATCCTCATCGATGGCCCTCCTCGCAGAAACAAATTTCTTGATAAGCTTCAGCGAGTTGGCCAGGCCACGGTCGACGATTTTGACTGCACCGAGCGAGGGCTTGACACCTGTGCTGCCATCGCCGATTCTGAAGAAGATTGGGTTGAAGTTCAGGTCGATGATACGGGAATCAATCATCGAGCGCGCCACGAACTTGCCTAGCATCTTGAACAAGAACAGGATGCGATCGGCGTTGGCAACGTCGTCGCCAGCCAGGGGCCGCGGGAACAAGCCCTGCGGGCCAGAGATGAATTCCTCGGAATCATTCGAATCCATCTCACGCCACAGCTTAATCTTTTTCTTGGAGAATTCCTTGGAGACGTTTGAGTAGAACTCTAGTGTAGGACCCAAGCCAGTACCGACTTCCTCAAAGTATTCCACCTCGAGAATGCTGCGGGACTCCCCATAGAGTTCCATCACCTTAAGCGCAGACTCTAAGATCTTTGATCGTGAGATGCGAACCTTCTGGCGCTGGAGACGGCCCAGGAAAGGTCGCTCATCCCGGCGATCTCGACGACTGGTGTCCTCTTGTTGAGCATTCTGCCATCGACTCATAGATCGGGCATAACCGAACGAAGTCGACTGGAGGAACAAATGTCGGGTCTCAAAGGGGAAGATGAAGGGATATATGCGAGCAAGGTCTTCACTCCATCCAGGCAGGCAGTTGCTGGCTACAATGAGGGGCTCTTCGAGTTGGCGGTTGAGCTTCGCGGTCAACTTGGTGTTGACAAACTGGGACAAGGGCTCCCTATTGAGCTTCAATGTGTCCTTGTTTTCGACCAAGACGTCGTCGAGATTGGCATTGAGGTCGTGAAGAATTCTCAAAAGTCGCAAGATTGAGGACGTTGTAGGATAGTTGGCTAGTGATGCAGGGCTCCCATCCGCCTCGGTGCTTGTCTCAAACGATGGGTTAAACCCGATGGACTCCACAGGAGGCGGTCCAGGTACCCGGCGGAACTTGATTGAGTGGACCGCGGACCAGATGCTTCGGCTCAAATGCTCGTCGGCGTTGGAAGAGGCGCTGTGGACGGCCCGATAAATTGTTGTCTCGTTGGGAATGACTCGGGTATCGACGCTGAACTCGATATGCCAGTCCTGAGGAACGGCCTGCACCGCAGCAGCATATGAGAATGGTCGCGAGGGTGCTGCTGCTGGCGTGGGCGTGGCTTGCTGAGCGGGAGCGGAGGGTGTCTGAGCAACATTGCGGTTCGGAACACTGCCCACACCACCCTGAGCGGGTGTTGGCACGCGGGTCCCGTCCTCCTTTCTAGCAGTGATCTTTCCACCAACAGCAACCTCCAAATTCACCGCCGAGGGGTCAGGTCGAGGTGCATCTTCCATGTCTTCATCAAGGTCATCGATCAGAGCGTTCAATGCACTACTGTCTGGGATGTCCTCTTCGTTCTCGTCCTCATCAGACATTGGCTTCTCGTCCGCGCACTCCAGAGCATCCCGCAGGTCGTCGTCTTCTTCGGGAGGAGGGGGCGGTGCAGGTGTCTCGGTGGCAGGAGCGGGGTTACGGCGGGAGGATCTTCTCAAGCTTGTCTGTTCCCGTCCAGCCGCAGGCTGATTTGGTGTTGAAGGAGTATCCGCCAGCGCTGACACTTTGCTTTTGGACCTTCTTGCGGGCCTAGAGCTCGATGCTTGTGTCGGAACCGGAGGCGGAGGTGCAGGGCTAGAAGAGTAGCCCGAACGCTCAGAAAGACGGTCTGATGGCAATCCAGCCAACGAGGCGAGCGCTCTCGAGATGCCATCTCGAGGCCGTGTAGTACGCGGTCTCTCATGGAGGCTGATTCGTGGGCGCAAGTAGTCGTCCAAGGCCTTGAACGTGGCAATGGCATGGATTGATACCATGATGTTACGATACGACTTGGGGATGTCTGAGTCCTCATCTGCCACCAGTTTCAGCCTGATCTGCTTAGCAAGCATGGATGCAGCACTGCTCCGGTTTCCGTCAAAGGTGTTCTGATGAACAGTCAAGACTTCGAAATGCTCTGACCGACTCAGCAGGTCTTGCAGTTTGTGAATCATCACACTGAGCGGGGTCGCAGGCGAGTCGGCACTCGCAGTTTTCGGTTTCGACTTGATAGATCGACCCATGAAAACTTCCAGGAAGGCGCCTCTAGCAGCATTTGCAAGGGCTTCATCAGGGTTGCTGAATACCTCTTCGAGAACGCGGACCAAGCCAGACGCCAACAGCTCTGCGCTGGTCACGTTTTCTAAGACATCAGAGTCAAAGTAGAGTGCCAGTGTTTCAAACAGTGCAATGCCCTTCTCAGGAGCCAGGTTTTTAGCTGTACGGTTAAGGTAGAAGGCTTCGATGTCAGAAGCCAAGGCCTGAAGGTCACTGAGAATCTTTGTAGCCTTCTTCTTCAGAGCCTTGCCGTGCTTTTCCGTCTCGTGGGCTTCCAAAAACTTCTTGGCGACCTCAGCAATTTTCGATTTCATTGATGGAAGGTCAGCAACGAAGAGGTGAGGGGGGCCGTCGATAGACATCGTAGAACCATCGGAGCTAACAGGAGAACCAGACATGTCGTCGTCTTCAGGATGGTCGTTCTCTTCATCATTGTCTTCATCGTTGTCCTCATCGTCGTGTTCTTCGTCCTCATCATGATCCTCGTCTTCATCCTCGTCCGAGTCGTTGTGAATCTCCACTCGGTCGCCCTCGTTCTCTGCGGAGCCCGCGACTGGTTCTGATATTGTCTGCGGGGTCTCTGCCGCTTTCTGCTCAGGCCCATGATCCTCTGCGAGCTTAGAGATCTCGTTGATCACACCTTCGCGGTATATCTGGTACCGGTAGATGTCATCTAAACGAGTAAGGAGAAGCTCGGTTGCCTGGATGGCTGAAAGAACCAAGGACGGATGGTCACGCTGAGAGAGGATCGCAGCCAAGAAGGAGGCGTACGGGACGGACTTGAGAGCATCGACGAGGATATCCTTATCAAAATTCGAAAGCATCTTGAGCTGCGCCGTGAGAACCTTCTGTCTGACACTGAGGTTGACCGTGCTAGAGAAAGCATCCGTGAGAGTCGGAAATAGGATGAGTGCAAACCGTCTGACCTGATCCTTGCAGTCTTCCAGTAACTCGAGTCGCCTTTCGAAGGAAGTCTTCTTTCTGGACCCTCCAACAGACGACGGAGTGATTGGTTCCACGACGTCTGGCGCACCAGACACCTGAGAACTAGACAGCTCATTCCATTTCAAGCCCGGAAGCAACTCGCAGACAACGTTAAGGGTCTCGATGATCTGTTCACGGGGCCGGTGGATGAGGGCTTGCATGATCACCACGCTGTCCAGCTTTGAGGCAACATCTTCCGTCTCATCCGGGGGGGATACACCGGTGAGTATCTGGTACAAGGTCTCGACTACATTCAACTTGAACAACTCTGCCGACAGCCTTGGGCTCGCCCGAGCAGTTATGGCCAAGACGCGTAGGAATTGAGTGTGAATGCTGGCGCCGATCAAATTGGTAGTTCCAGGGACCAATAGACGCAGGATAGCCCTTAGCAGGTCAACACTGACGAGGTCCTCCAACTTCGATGATTGGTACTTGAAACTCTCAATGATTCGAGTGACGCAGAGAGAGGCCTGCTCCACGACCCTTTGGTCGCTACTTCCAAGCACATTGAGAAGGATGGGCATCACATCTTTTATGACGGGAAAAGAATCCTCGGGAATGTTCCTGCAGCAGTTGGCGGCGGTGGTCACAGCAGTCCGCTGGGTACTTGTAGCGAAGAAATCCAAGTAGGACAGACAGGCGGTCAACCCCCCTTCGCGGACGATACTGGTTGGATAGTCGACGGAGATCTTCTCGAGGGTGCTCAGTGACTGTTCCGCGAGGTCGATGTACTGTATCTCGAGTAGCTTTGCACACAGGACGGGAACGGCGCCGCCATAGACAACGTTGGCAGTGCTCGCGGGGAGCGCTTCCATCAGGTTGGCGAGAGACCTGCAGGCTAGCAGCATCATATCGGGGTTCTCTTCGCCGGTGATTTCATTTGGCTGCATCAAGGCCACAAGCTCCTTGACAAACGAGTCTGGCGAAAAATGGCCGGCTAGGTTGTCCTCATTTGATACGAGGAGGATCTCTGACAGCTCCTGCAGGGCAATCATCTGCATGGAAGGGTCCTCTTTCATTCGTAGGTTGCTGAGGATCTCCCGTAGCCTAGAGGGCATGCCCGACATCATACCTGTCAGGGCCCTGAGGGTACTCGACAACCCGGAACCTGCAAGTCCGCCGAATCCACCGAACGGATCATCATCGTAATGGCGATGGGGATCGTCTTCGTCGTCGTCATCTTCTTCGTCGTCATCCTCGTCGTGCTCGTCACTGTCTTCCTCGGGATCATGTGCCGGGGGAGGCGGAGGCGGCGGCGGCGGCGGCTCTACATCTCTTTCGTTGTCATCTGTTCCTGTCATGGAAACATCTTGATCCGCCAGCGGTGCATTGTTGCTTGATGTCCGTTTCGATCGACGGCTTGGCCCGGAAGCTAGGGATGAGTCTACTCGGGTCAGATTAGCACCAGCTTGATGGCTAGCTGCTTCGGAGCGGTCGTTACCCTGGGCCGACTGGTTGCCTCTCTTGTTACGGCTGGATTTTCTACTAGAAGAAGCAGACGCACTGCTGGATGCCTTCTCCTGCATGGCTGGGTGTGGCCCCGATCTATAAAGGCTATCAGCAGGACGATTCGAAGATCGAAGGTGGTCTTCCACCCAACAGCGGGCTGCTTACTGGTCGGGACTCGACATGGTCGCTGGTGCCTTGCCCTTTCTCTTGTGTACGGTAGGTCTGGACTCGGCGGGTTGTGGCTCGAGTGCAGCTGGCTCCTGGACCTTCTGCCTCTTGGACCGACGGGTGGAGGAAGCCGGCTGCTCGATCTCGGTCTGGGGTTGGGGTTGGGGGTGAGACTGCTGCGATGGACTGGGCTCGCTATTCCGAGCTTTCCGTTTTTTCGATGGAGCGCGGGCTGAACGTGAACCGGCGGTGCTCGGGGTTTGTGTCGATGTGGATGAGGGGACAGCAGGCGAAGGGCCCGCAGAAGCTGCACCTGCACCGGAAGGCTGATCGGCTGGCGAGGCAGCTTGGATCGCAGCGTGGCGGGCTGACGAACGGGTGATTCTGGGAGACATGAGTACGTGATCGGTGCGACCTGCACAGCACACAAACGATGGGCAGACGAGGTGGCCGATTGCCAGAAAGAAGAGAGTGGAATGGATGCAGAAAGACAAGGTGCAAGGGAGCTGTAGCAACAGACAATGTGGGATGGGGGAGCAGCAGGCGTGGGCGTGCGCCGTCTGCCTAAGCTGCCTCAGGTAGCGTCTCGACTTCTACGACGGACGGAGTCGAGATTCAGAAGGAGTGCACCGAGACACCTCATGAGGAGGATGTTCTGGTGCGTGCCTGGGGAAATTTGTCTCTTTGTGGTTTTTGTGTTGTGTTGGATTTGGCTTTCGAGGCCTGAAGCAATGAGAAGCTTGCTCTGGCAGCTTGGAGCACCCCACGTCCGCTGACACGGCAGGGCACAAGTGGACCGTGGACCGTGGACCGCGGATCCTGCGCCCGTCGACGCACTCGTGAGTTGACACGGGGGCGTGGTGAAAATGCGGCCGGGGGACAAAGGATGAATAGAAGGACACCGCAGAGTTGAATCACACAAGGCTGAGGTGAGGACGAAGTCGTTGCTCGCGTTGTGGCTGTATGTGGGCTGCAGGACGGACTATCCCTGTGGTATGGCACGAGATCTAGCTGCGAACGAATGGACAACCCCGCCAGCGTCGAGCGGCTGCGGGTGCAGAGTTGGGATGGAAGGGTGGCAGAGAAAACACGAATCCCCGCGCGGCTGATGCAACGATGCAGAAAGAATGCGGACTATCATACCTGGGCGATAGGGGCGCGGCCGGAGACGAGGCAGAGGCAGAGGCAGAGGCAGAGGCAGAGGCCGACACAGACGCAGACGCTGGCTCAGGGACGGGACCCGAGGCAGAGGCAGGGGCAGGGGCGACGGATCGCAGGTTGGGCGGCTTCGACCTGGCGGGCGGAAGGCGCGAGGAGGGTTCGTGTTCGGCTGCCGATCGTGGTCGCGGGTTCGCTGATGGACTGCTTGATGCCATTTATCACGCCATGAGGCTCCTGGCACGGCTTCGGCGGTTTCGCTGGACGGGAGGTGTCGCTTCGGGCCTGCGCGGTGGGCAGCACCAGCACATCAGAAGGTCGAGTGCGGTCAACGATCGGGGGTGGGCAGACACCGGCGCTACTCCAGTTGCTCGGGCCGTTCTTCGCTCTCAGTCGGCGATGGCTGGGCCTACCTACGGTTCGATGCCAGCTCGGCGTGCGCGGATGGGATCGAGGAGCTGTAGTTGCACGTCAAGCACTTATGTCGTGCTTCAGAGTCACACAGGGCGGCTTTTGGGGGGAAGAGGCAGGCCGGACTACGTTTGAGTTTCTTCGCTGTCGTGCTTTCGATGCCCGCAGCCCAGTGCCAGTGCCAGTCCAGTCCAGTCCAGTCAGCCCAGCCCAGCCCAGCCCAGCCAGGAGTGGGCTGAACCATCCGAAGTGAGGAGCGCCCGCGCCAAGGTACCAATCCGCGGCCGGAGCTTATCAGGTGTACATGCCCGACGGGCGCCCCACACTGTATCATCATCCCACCACCAGCGCCGATATTCAAGCGGCTCTTTCGAGCTTCAAAGGTTCCCTCTTCCCGACACTGGCCGGGCTGTCACTTTGCTTGGCCTCCGTCAATATCACCATCATTATTATCACCACCGGTAGCAATTTCCGGCGGGTCAACCCATGTGACTGACATGTCCCTGTGGGTTGGCGATGACAGCTTCTCTAGCGTAGCCCCAAATCTAAGCTCACCGAGCTGATTAAGCTCATCCAGCTCGTTCACCATGGCCATGACTCGCGGCTTGCAGCACGTTCGACTGGCCAGTACTGTAATCTATAGTTCTCCCGAGCCTAGTAAGACGTTTGGTATAGAGATGAATTCAGTTCGTACCGCCCCTCAAGTCGAGAAGGACTGAATTCCATCCATATCTCATACCTACAGAACTTATATACATTTGAAGCGGCTCCGCTATGGTTGAAGTTGGCGGGAGAAAGCAGCAACAAACCTATACCATATATGTTCCGATATGGATGCCGTTTCGGGGCAGATTTATCAAGAATGATTAAAGCAGCCCGTCCCACATCAATCAACTAGATACGACGGCCCAGGTCTTCTTGCAGAGAAGACTTACTGTGTATACCATCCGGCACTATATCTCGGCCCGACAGAATGGTCCGAGACCTAGGGAGCTCGGCCCCACCCATAGTGTCAGGACTGGACGTCTAGACCAGGAGATTTGCATGAAGACTCGTGAGCCAGGATACCTTTAATACCATGGATGAAAAGAAGCATCGGAAATTTTTCTTGTTGTGAAACAGACCATCGCACATCATACGGGAGTCACGGAACGAGTACCATGATGGCGTGCCCTCATAGATATTCTCGTTTCAGCGTTGAAACCTTGTAGAGCACTAGGGGCAGCCAGATTGAGCCCAATACGAGATAGCATCGTCATCATGCACAATCATGTATACGAATAGTAGAAGAACCAGTGTGAGTGTATTGTTCCTTGCAATAGTCTATTTCTCTTGTCTGGGTGAGAAACCAAAGTCCAACCATGCAGGTATCATTGTGCTTGATCATATCCAGGCAGCTCCTTTGCTACCAAAACTCCGTTCGGCCGATACATGCAGTGAACTCTCACGAGTAAACGGGAATACAAGAAAGCAAAACGGTCTTATCCTACATCGTACATGGATGGGTTTAGTTGGGATGGGGAAGGGGGGCGAGTTCGTAGATCAGAACGTATCGGTGAGGAAACAATGGGGGATGCCATGGGAGACATCAACATCCTTCGTCCAATAGCCTCCTCGGCCAGATCTCGCATTTCCTTTGGTTCTCTGAGCGGATCCTCTGTGTCTGACTGTCGTGATGGCGATGCTCTCGACCTAGTCGGTGGCCGCTCTCTCAAGATTCACATGGAATCATCACTCTCGATGATTGGCGAACGCGGAAAGGCACGAGCTTTCCCCTTGCCCTTACTATCAGCGGCATTTGTCGGCTACAGAAATCTCATTAGTGATTAGCAATGATAACGAAATATGAAATGGAGCTTCACGTACCGGTATGTGCTCAGTTCCACTGCCAGCTCCCGAATCAAACACGGCCGGGGCTGTGCTGTCTGTCTGAGAAGCTTCGACCATATTGTTGTCTCGAATTACAACCTCTTGAGCTGCGATTCGTCGCATCAGGTCGACAAAGTTGGACTTGCGGAATTTTTCTGACTCGTCAGAGGAGACAGACTCGACGAGCTGCTGGGCAACTCGAGCCAGCTCGTTGTCACCCAGCGGTCCCTCCTGAGGTTCCGCGGCTTGCTCACTGGCCTCAGTCGAATCAGTAACTGGCTCCTCAGTCGCCTGTTGTGCCATCCACTCGGCCATCGCCTTGTCGAAGTCCGCCTCATGAGCAGCGCGGATCTCCTCGTGCGTCGTGTGCTCCATGCCTGTGCAGGAATATCAGTCATATTGGAATTCAGCCTACAACAGACTGGGTGCTGAAGTAATCGACTTTCTTCATGAGAGAGTAATAACGTGGAGAGGGGAGAATGATGGAAATTATGAATATGATGACGATGATAATAACAGACTGGTGGCGGTGGCGGTGGCGGTGGTAGTGAAGTGAAAAGTGAAGAAGGACAAAGTGGTGTGATTTGAAATGCAGGGGTTTACATCGTCAAAGTGATTCAAGTAAGGATTGTCACTCACTCTGGCCAAGATCTTGGGACAATGCATGGGGTTGTTGCTGAAGTGCTGCCGGCTGCCATGGCATTGTGTTGAATTGTCGAGTATCGTGACCCCAGAGTTGAGGCTGTCCGGGCGGGGCAGGCTGAAACTGATGTGCGCCGAAGGCCGGTACAGCATGAGCTTGAGACACATTAGGGAGCGTCGAGGGCTGGACCACACTGCTCATCGGAGCCTGATTGATGTTGCTTGACTGAGCTCCAAGAGCGAACGGATCACGTGCGGCTGTATGCTATAGTATTTGCTTATTAGCATACTGTTGGCCATGTTGCAGGTTGGCGTCTATTTAGCGAACTCTCCCAATCGTCTGCACCGTTTGTAGAGGGCCGAATATTGGGACGCTTTTTGGCATACGTACCATAGCCGGAGGAACACCGGTGTGCTGAGGCTCATGGTGTCTGATACGAGCATCATGGAGAAGAGGATGATCACCAGGGCCGTTCAAGAGCGATGGGATAGGAGAAACACTGCCTCGAGACGCGCTCTCAAGATCCAATCGTCCCATCTGGTGCTGTAGAAATTCGGCATTGGCCTGATTGCTGTTCTGCCAGGCAGACGCAAAACGCTTTGTGGATGTCAGCAAATCTGAAGTGGCATGCATGTTGTTTGAATGGTAGCATACCTGGTCGTTGGATCGTGAAGGGCCATGAAGCCGGTCATGTTGAGCCGCAGGGTGCGAGTCAAAGTGTCGCTGGAAGGCTCTTGCGGCGCTGTTCTCGCCAGCCTTTGAACCCTCGGCCATCCTGGAGCGGTGGATGGTGATTATGGGGTGAAATCAGATAAGGGAGCTTGAGTGACAAGGACGGCTCCTATTACTGAAGTTCACAAGAGTATTCCGCGTCCGAGGTGTCCCCAGGACAACTGCTTTGGGGGCTGCCAATCACAACCAGTCGACAGGCCAAAATGTGGGCGTGGTTGGATGGCCAGACCAGGTATCGCTCCTTATAGTAGTATACCACTGCAGATCTTTTCAAAGCCTCAGGGTGGTTGGTAAATGTTGGCCCGGGAAAGAGGCTCTGTCCAAACCGAGTGTCCGATGGTGAAAGGTTGGACAAAACTGGACTCACGTCTGTTGGTAGAGTGACAAACTCAGCGCCAATTCACTAGTCACTAGTATTGCTGTCGGGGTGACAAGCATCAGCAGTTTGCCCTGGGATACGCTGTGAGTATACTCAGAAGAGTACGGCTGATTTGGAGGTAACATGAAGTTGACTTACACAGTCCAGATGCCGAAAATGGTCAGTCGGTAGTTAGGACAGTGTTCTCCAAACGTTAAAGGCTTGCCGCGGGGCCGAGAGCGATCACATGCGGGGAATGCTGTACCGAGCCTGGGGATATGGCGTGGATCTAGCACGAACTTGGTACCTTGGTTGGCCTTGCCGGGGGTCGACGGGTCGTGCAGATTCTGCCGGATTTATTCTAGAAAGCGGTGTCGCTTCCGTTACCGCCTTTCGGCTCAGCTTCGGCCACCAGGTCCGCCAACAGTTCAGTCAGCAACAGGCTCCACGATGAAGGTCGATAACGATAAGACAAGCTCCATATCCTCCTGCTCTGGTATGAGCTTTACAACAAATCGCGAGGGTGACTTGTCTCTGGTGCGCATGGTGCGTACTAATAGATTTCGTGATGGCCAGACCTTAGAAGTCAGCTTTTGGCTTGCTTACTTTTTCCCGATAACATTGAACAAGTCTACTATGGACATACCCGACTGACATATAAACTGGTAGGTCCCCACCACTTCGCAAGCCACAACTTGCAGCCACCGTGGCTGAGGAATCGACATGGGGGCCCAAAAGCTCCCCCCCTGTGGCCCGCCCCCTGTGGCAGCCCACTGAGCATCCATCTGAACGGCGTGTCTTGAACGCAGTGAACAGGTATACACGACGACGCTCAGATCAGCAATTCTGCAAACAACAACACGACGCGCTTTCGAATTGCACGCTCTCCCTCTATATTTTTGTATTGAAGAAGTCGGTCGCCACATATTACTGCACCACCTGTACGCAATATGGTATGTCCCACCCCGCGAAGGTGCCTGGCACTGCTTGGGTACTGTTCCTGGGCGCAATTGCTGATCCCGACTGCAGGCGCAAGTCATATCGAACTCCGGACACGATGACATGATTGTATGTACCACGGCCCAGATGTTTCCCTTCCACAGCCGAGCAGTCATCCGCCTGGAGCACTGCTCGCGAACGATAGGAGGAATGCACGCGCGGGCACGTCGCTAACATCGCAACCCCTAGCATGACGCAGTCCTCGACTACTACGGTCGCCGGCTCGCCACCTGCTCATCCGACAAGACGATCAAGATCTTCGAGATCGAGGGCGAATCGCAACGCTTGACCGAGACCCTGAAGGGCCACGAGGGCGCCGTATGGTGCGTGTCGTGGGCGCATCCCAAGTACGGCAACATCCTGGCCTCCGCGGGCTACGACGGCAAGGTCTTCATCTGGCGCGAGCAGTCGAACCAATGGCAGAAGATCTTTGACTTTGCCCTGCACAAGGCCTCCGTTAACATGGTCTCGTGGTCGCCGCACGAGTCGGGCTGCCTGCTTGCCTGTGCCTCGTCTGACGGCCACGTTTCGGTTCTCGAGTTCAAGGACAACAACTTCCAGCACGTCACATTCCCTGCCCATGGCCTCGGAGTCAACTCGGTTTCTTGGGCGCCCGCGACTACCCCTGGCAGTATCGTCTCCTCTGCCCCGCCGAACCAGGCTGCCCTCAGCCAACGCCGCTTTGTAACGGGTGGCTGCGATAATGTTCTGAAGCTGTGGACGTACGACCCCGCGACGCAAGGATACAAGCAGGAGAGCGAGCCGCTGCAGGGACACACCGACTGGGTACGAGATGTTGCGTGGAGCCCCACTGTTCTCCAGAAGAGCTACATCGCATCCGCCTCCCAAGATAAGACCGTGCGGATCTGGACAAGTGACAGCGCAAGCCAGGGTCAGTGGTCTTGCAAGGTCCTGAACTTCGAAGCCGTAGTCTGGCGCGTCAGCTGGAGCTTGAGCGGCAACGTGCTGGCCGTTAGTGGCGGCGACAACAAGGTCTCGCTCTGGAAGGAGAACCTGCGTGGCGAATGGGAGTGCGTCAAGACGATGGAGGAATAGAGTGGTCGGACTGTCTTGCCGACTACTACGGGATACTGCGAGTCTGCGGACGCTGAAAGCGGTAGCCAGCAGCTTTGATCAGGGGCGTTTAGCGTTATGAATGGAGGCAAAGAATAGAACTTTGCAATTTCCTGTACATGGGAGAAACACACCTCCCACTGATTGTGTACAGTTTTGCAGCGGCATAAAAAGTCATGAGGCATCAAGGGAGAAGAAGACAAGACCAAATAAACTTGAATCACGTTTCAACCGGTGACAACGCACGTCTTGATGGATTCATTGAGCTGACGTCCCTGCATGATTCTGATATCCACGGACAGGTATAAGGGTAGCTCATTATGGCATAATATCTTGCGCGTCAACTGCGCAAGGTCGCTGGCAGTCAGCCAACACGGCTGGGCAAAAACGGGTTACACTCATGATTACACTTGGGAAACGCGCTGTTATTTTGCCAGTAATTTGTATCAGGCACAAACGCTCTGAATAACCTCGATAACAGGTAGACCCCATAAGACTGCCAAAGAAAAGGCAAAAATCAAACGTTTGACATGCTGCCATGTTTCCATGCAGCCCAGGTGCTCATGCTGTTGGCAAGCCCAACCAGAAACCAAAACCAGTCATCAAGCAAGCTACCAACGTCACAGCCAGCCCCCATCCGCCGCCATTGCCGGCGTATCGCCTCGCCGCCAATGCGCCGCCGTAGCCTCCAGCATTCCCGCTCCCGGTCGCCGAAGGCGAGACCAGCGTGCCGCTTGCTGATGGGTCCGAGCCTCCCGTGGCAGACATCTCGGCCTTGGCCAGCACGTATATCTCGCCCGTCGTGTCCGAGCTCATGAAGAGGCGGTTTTGCGAGTCCAGGGCGAGACCGACCGGTCGGAAACACTCATCTGGGCACTTGCTATTGTCCGGGTTCGAGAGGATATTCCTCAGCGACGTGGTCGAGGTGGCGCTCTCGACGGGCTGGCCGTTGGAGAAGGCGACGCTAGCGAGCATGTAGCCAGTCGGGTTCTCACGATTCCCTGTCCTGAATTAGTAAACGGGCAGACAAAGCAACGAGTGCAAACTAGGCGGAGTCTTACAGCTACCATGGAACGAGACGTAGGCCTCCGAGCCATCAGGGTGGAATTTGATATCCAGTGGCGCCGTGTGAGCTTGCCAGGTCAAGCGAGGAGAGACTCTGTCTTCATTGCAAGTTGTGTCATTCAGGGAGTCGGACTGGTTCTGCGGGAACTGGCTGCCGACCACCATTTGGCCCACATCGGGTATGTTGGTATCCCAAAGGGCGTAGCAGTCGGGGTATCCATAGTTGCCGCCCTGATTTTCGGTCGAGCCATTGAGGAAGCCATGGAAGTTCATCTCCTCTCCCGGATTGTCTTGGTGGATATCAGTTCCGTCTCTCTTGATCTGGTCTACCGAGTTCTCAACACTGAAGATACCCCCAGTTTTGGGCTCTTCAGCAATGCCAACTGAGTTCCGGAGACCCCAGCCAAGCCTTGTTCCGGTGGAAGCGTAGTCGTATGGCGTGCTGGGTAGACGTTCCATGTCAAAAGCTCGAATCTGTGAGACGCCAGTGGACTGTTCTGTCGCGCGCTCGTCGATGTTCTCCCCACTGCCCTTGGAAACCAGGAGCTTGTTGTTTGAAGTCATGAGCAGAGTCCGGCTGACATGGCCAGTACCACCCATATTCTGCACCACCGTACGTTGCTCCCCGCTGATTGTACCAGAACTGCTATCATAGTCCCATGCGTAAACGTTCTCTGAAGTAGACGCAAACAAGGTTCGCCCATCATTCGAAAATGCAATGCCATGGTTAAGCTGTTGGTGTTAGCTGAGAATTCTGTGTAAATCGCTTGCTTGGATCACTGACCTCAGAATCCTTGACTATAGTTGTCGAGTCTCTGACGCTTAGGCACGTCGTACCGTTGTCGTTAAATGTCAGCCGCTGAATACCGTTTTTTTCTTGAACAACAAGCAAACTTCCGTTGCTGTCAAAGATAATGCCGCGGGGATCCGTCAGTCCAGTAGCAACCAGTTGAGCGATCCAGCCAGAGCCAACTACAGGTGATGAATATGATGGTTTTAATACATTGCTGCAAGAATCCTGGGCGACTGCTCCTGCGGCATAGAGTAATGCTGCCGAAGCAGCTCTCACGCGACAATTCGACTTCATGGCGCGAGAAGTAACTTGGCTAAAGAAGGTTCTCAATCGCCGAATCTTGATCCGGACTTCTTGGTGCGACGGGTTTCCCTGCTGCTTGGCTTTCGCAATTGGCTTGGGCAGTCGCGACTTGCCCTAGGGTACTGACAGTGCACAATGATAGAGCAAATGATGTTGCGCTGGGAGACGGTTAGGCTGAACAACGCCAGTTGCCTTGTGGTGAATCTTCATCAATCTACAATCACCTTGAATGGTCATGAATAGTCATCGCGGACGCAGTTGTAGTTAAGTCCGGGTACTGACGTCTTCCAACCCTTCTCCGCACATCGCATTCGCGGAGGATGAGCCGCCACGGCTTGGCATCTCGGGTTTCGGCTGGGCGCGTGCCTCAATCTGCTCTTCTGAAACGCAGCAGTCAAGGCGCGCACCAATTGTGGTGATCTATCTCTACTGGATGATCGCAGGGCGGCATTGCCGTGCCTTGCTAATGATAACCCCGCGACGCTGGCACATAAGCCGACGACGATGCTGCTTCTCAGCTGAAGTATATACGAAGGTGCAGCACGCCAATGACATCATCGTGCCCCGAGTGTCTGTCACTTTCCGGTCGAGACCCAATTACCATTGAAATGAGCTCTAAGTGCTGCATCCCCTTGACACCCTGTGTGTTTGGAAACTTGGAGGGCATAAACAGTTGATTGGAGTGCTTGAAGCCGTATCCGTTGATAGATGTCAAAGTTCAACTCTATAATACGCACAAGATGGGCTTTCTAACTCTTGGCTTGGCTGCGTTACCTTGGGTGGTAGGACCAAAGCTATGAATGCAGATAAGGCATTGCTGGTGCACTGCACTGGTTAACATGATTGTTCTAACTGAGCTGGGATTCACACAAGATGATGTGGTAAAACGGCACAGTCCAATGACTGATACAATGCAATCGTGTTCGGATTGCTGCCCAAACAAGACCTTACATAGATCCGACACGCAAGCAGGAGAGATAACATCACATGTAAATGAAACTCAGGAGCCACATAGTGATAAGGCAGCAAGTTGCTTCCATTCCATGTTGAGAAGGCTGAAGAGTCTCACTCTCCTTGCTGATCCCATAAAGTTGCTGAGGTTGCGGTGAAGTAGCTTGGCGTTCTGCCGGGCCAACAATTCCAGCCACAACGTGCGAGAAAGCAACAAAGAGAAGCTGATCGTGAAAGTTTCATTTACCGTGGCTTTCACTTCCCGCTCGAAACATCCCCTATAGGGGCCACTGCATGCGTCACGGCTGGTTTCCTGTCGAGGACCCGGATGGCCGAGGCCGCCAAGCTTGCGTATGGCGATTTGCGGGCCAGAATGCGCAAAGGTCACCCTAAGCCCTACCCACCACATCGTACCACATCACGCCCAGGTGAACACATCGTTCTTGTGGGCCGCTCGTACAGATAAACTTGCAGCTTTCAACTGCAGGTACTGGGGCCTGTCGGTGGGTCGCGGAGTGTTACGAACGAGTACGCGTGCTTACCGGTTTATGTGCAACCGGGACCCAATTAGAATGATGTGCATCCCTGGCGAAAGTCAGGAATATTGCAGGATATATTCACCGCTGTACGACGACGGTCAGACCCACGTCGAGGGCTGGGCGCAATTATTAGAGCAAGGAGAGGCCTAGACAATGGATTTGCGGTGTAGCATCTTTATATACAGCTGAGCTCCCAGGCTCGGAGAGCTGCCCCGGCCCACATTCTGCACATTGGGGAACCAGGACCACAACGGAGACAGCGCCAACCCATAACCTGGAGAAGTGATCCGGTGATAAAGGAATTCCCCAGGCCGGGGTTATCGTAGTACGATACAGAAAGCAGACGTCAGTGATTATTTGAGCATCCTTGAGGTCCGAAGGGATCCACCAGAACCTAGGGGTTCTTGGCCTCCGAACCGGAGCTGCTCTCGTCCGTCATTCGATATCAACGTTGTGTTACGGCAACTGCATCTTGTCTTTTACACCTTTCTTTTTCCCAACGTCAATTGGTATTAAGAATTTGCGGCAGGCCGAGTAATCGGTCCGCCCCCGAGAACCTAAATTCAGGGACGGCAAACTCTTGATTCAGATTGCCCGCTTACGAGTGTTTCTGTCCAACCTATCCTCACTTCGAGTCCCAACCTCACATAGGTGATTTCACCTTCATTCCTCACACCAGTACTTCCCACCTTCGTTCATCAACTGAACATCACTATATTGAGACAACCCACCCATACGCAACCCAAAATTCACATCATGGCACCCGGTATATTCCCAGTCGCCAACGCCACGGTCCCTTTCTGGCGGACCGAGCTCCATGAAATAGACGAACATCGCAGCACCCCGGAGCTACCTGCAGAGCAGGATATCGTCATCATCGGAGCCGGTTTCGCTGGGACTACCTGCGCCTACTACTTGACACAGGACGAGTTTACCGTTCCCAGCATCACCGTCCTCGAAGCTCGAGAGGCCTGTTCGGGCGCCACAGGACGCAATGGTGAGTGCACAGACGATCCCCTCCTCGATCCGACTCATCCGAAGGCACTGCTGACCATTTGATGGCAGGTGGTCATTGCAGACCGGACTTGCACGTTGGGTTTGAAAACCGCAAGAACGTGAAGGGTCTGGATGCGGCCAACGAGGTCGCATGCTTCGAAGTGGCCAACCTGCAAGCGGTCAAGCAGCTCATCCGGCAGGAACGGATAGAGTGTGAACTTGAGGAAGTCACATCTTCGAACGTCTACTTGGACGAGAAGCAAGCCCTCGGAGCTAAAGATAATCTTGAGGAAATGCTCGATCTGGGGTGCCCGACTGCAATGATGGTCAACTACTACGGACCAGATGAGGCTGAGAAGGTCTCGGGAGTCAAAGGCGCGAAGGCCGCCACGACATTCCCCGCTGCAACTCTGTGGTAAGTTTCCATTCTGCAGGAAGAAATCAAAGTAAATACTCACAGCACAAAAGGCCCTACAAGTTCATCACTCAACTGCTCTCCATTGTCGTGGACAGGGGAGTCAATCTTCAGACCAACACTCCAGTCACCATGGTTTCATCCACAGCGGACGACGAGGGGTTCTGGACAGTTACGACTCCCAGAGGAAACATCAGAGCTAAGAAGGTCGTGTTTGCCACCAACGGTTACACTTCTGGAGTGTTACCCGAGTACAAGGCCATCCATCCTGTGCGAGGCACCTGCAGTCGCATTATAGCAGGGAACCCGCCGGCGGAGCGCTCCAGGATTGGATCCTTGGTCCCTTACTACGCTCCAAAGTTGGCCGACTACCAAGCCAACAGGTCGGATGGAAGCTTTGTAGTTGGAGGTGCCTGGACGACTTGCCGATTCAAGCACACGAACCAATGGCGGGACGTGGTGGACGACTCGCAGTTGGTGCCTGCTGCGGAGGGCTACTTTAATGGTTACATTGAAAGAACCTTCAATGGCTGGGAGCAAGCTGAGACCACTGTCGACCAGGTCTGGACTGGCATCATGGGTGTAAGTGGTTTCATCTCCAGCCGACACAGACGGTCATTGCTCACCATCAAACAGTACACCGAAGACGGCGAGCCACACATCGGTAAGGTGCCTTCCAAGGAAGGACTATACATCTGTGCCGGTTTCAACGGCCACGGAATGCCTCTTGTACTGCTCTGCGCCAAGGGACTCGTCAAGATGATGAGCGACGACTGCGACTTTTCGCAGACTGGCATCCCGAGCCTCTACGAGACGACACCCGAGCGGCTGCAGGCCACAGCCGTTATTTGAGAGTTTTTGCGATTAGATCCATTTTCCCCTAAAGTAGACACTGTACGATAGAAGATTCCTAGAAGCAGCGCAAGCTCCCCTTCGGTAGTTCTGGGCGTAAAGGTTGCGGGGGTTCCGGCACACGACGAGAAATAGTTATATATCGTTGTACTTCACCAACATCGCTATTGCAATACATCATTCACACGGACTTGCTCAGGGTCGTACTTCTCGGGACTGTGCACGTGAGAATCAGCGCAGCAGCGCTCAAAGCCGTCGGGAAACTCAACCCGGTCACGGAAGGTCCCCTCGGAGGGCCCGTACTGCCACGTAGCGAAGTACCGCGCACTCAGATCCAGGGGAACGTAGCCACTCCCGTCGTCACAGCCGAGCGGGCGCCCGTCCGCCGACCGCGGCACCCCGCCGCCCCGGAACAGGTCGCAGCGCAGCCGCTGCAGGATGGCCGCGACGCCCTTGGCGCCGCGGTCGACCCGCGCGCAGTCGGACAGGATGCCCGGGCCGCCACCGCCACCGCTCCCAGCCCGGCCGACCTCGACGCGCCGGAGCTGGCACCGCCGCACGGGGATCCCGAGCCCGGTGCCCGCGCGCATCGGCTGGCCGTCGGGCCGCCGCAGCACCAGCGACAGCGACCGCAGGCGCGGGAACGTCACCAGGACGAACGCGGCCATGGGCTGGGTCCAGAAGCCGAGGGCCAGGTGGCGGACGAGGGGCAGCGGCGGGGAGTCCTCCCCTCCCTCGTCCTCTGCTTCCTGGTGGAGGCTCTGCCCGGGCGGCGGTGCTGCCCGGCCGTAGAGCAGGGCGTCCATGCCCGGGACGCAGAGGATGTCGAGCTCCGGGCGGAAGCGGCGGAAGGGGGTGCGGATGCGCGCGGCGGGCGAGAAGCGGAACCGGGTGCGGGCGGCCGCGGAGGCGCGGGACTCGCGGCACACGTGCATGAGCACCGGGAAGGCGGTGTCGACGGTCAGCGGGGCGAGGACCCGGCGCTGGTCGTGGTCCGCGAGGAGGATGCAGACCTCCTGGATGTCCTCCTGCTCGACCCGGTTCCAGATCATGGCCCGGAGCTCGCAGGGGAGATACATGAGCTGTCGAGGGCACTCATCCTTCGGTAATACGGACATGACGACTAGAACTGTAATTCTGAATACAGGTGCTTTGCAGGATTCGGAACGGGAATGAGTCCCTCTCACAAGGCATTATCATGACCTCACTGAGACGAGGATGTAAGTTAACTTGAGTGCGGAGAGTTGCTAGTGAAGTAAGTAGTTGGGTGTGGGGAACGACTCCAGCTGCTCTCACTATCTGTGTTCCAATAGCTTCCCGGTTCCTAGACGCCGTACATAGAGATAGGATACAGTAGCTGATAAGAGCTTCTGCACCACCTTGGCACTGTTCTGGCAGGGGTAGGTGGATTTCGACTGGTTTGTATTGCGCTTGTATTATGTAGACCAATACAATTATACAGTGATCTAGTCATGCAATGCCGCAGAAAGTTGGAAGAGGTTCCGACCTCGTAGCGAACTCATTATAAACAATCACGAAACTAACGTTCGCCATGTATTCCCAAGAAAGGAGAAACGTTAAGCAGAAACAAGTTGGGGAATCCCGAAAACCCGGCCTCTTCAAGTCGGCTGGCCAAAACGTGACGCTGGAAAAACGAACTGCATCACCGCACCTTTTCGTCAAGATCGCGTCCCCCCCAGTATCGCATCAGCGGAGTCCAATGACGCTCATCTCCAGTGTCCAAACCCTCCGAATCCACACCTTCAGAGGGCCGTCAACTCCTTCGACATCCGTCAAGTCAACACCTTCCCACCAGCATCGACGGGCTGGCTTCCTCCAGAAGAGCAGGAGCTTCTGCGCCATACCCACAGCATTGTTGCCCATGTCGTTACCACGGATGTCACTGCGTAATCTGGCAAGGGCAAGACTGCATACGACAGCTTTGTTGGGTTCTCCTGCTCGATGGCCCCAGTGATCATCGTGATTGAAACCGCTGAAGGGCATGTTAGTATCTTTGCTCATCAGAGACAGTCCGGCGGTAAAACTTACCCAGCCGTGAGCATCTCAATCAGGTGAGCCTCAGTAGTGCCTGGCTCATCGCTCCTCTTAAGTCCTGAGAAGATGCCACCTTGTCTCAGCAAGGCCCGGGCAGCGGCACGTTTGACCTCGATCATTTCCTTTTGGTCAATCTCTGGCCGAGGCGGGATGACGTAGAAATCGAGATCCTCTCGGAGGACAATGATGCCCGCACGCTTACTGCCATCGTCTCTTCCGCCGAGAGAATCGATTGGCATCACACCACCGTCAGGAGAAGCATTGGGGGATGATTCACTGGGGATGGTTTGCGCAACATTGCGAAAGAAGTCTAGCATATACTGTAGAGAGGCAGGGTCATACTGGGATGTGAGGTCAGTGAAATGCATATCTATGTTTGAGAGGAGATTGCGGGTGGTGGAAGAGCGTGGGAGGCCAATCGCAAAGCTCGGTACCAGTTGAGCTGTAGATGAAAGGGCAGGTGGCTGGGTAATGGGACTACTGCGTTGGGTACTGACATCGACTTGCACGGCATCGCCTTCGGCGAAACCGCCCATATGGCCTTCTGGGAACAGTCCATTGGGGAATAGTGACAGGAGCACAAATTCCGGTAGGGTTAGAAGCTCATCTCTTGACAGGACAAAGCGGGTGCCCCTATCATAACATCATCAGCGGAGAAGGCGTGTGTCATGACTGCCAAACTCACCGCAAGTCCATAGTAATGGTTTCATCAGCGCCGACATCTATGGAATTCTATTAGCGCCTGTGCTGACATACGCTCGGGTGTATAGTCTCACCTCCGATAGCGTTGATAGGAGGCCCTCCTTGTTGAACTTGAGTAATGATACTCGCAGCGCCCCCGGCGGCAGCCATTAGATAAGAGAAAGAGAGTAGCGGGCTATCTCCTTCTGAGTAGGCGGGAGGCGGTTCGCTTGAGTCGTCGGGTTTCTGGCCCGAAGATTCGGCTTTGGTGTCTTGCGGGAGGGCTCGTTTAGTCTCGGCGACGACGTGGGGGAGAGCACAAGACGCAGAGGAGCCTTCCTGAGCAGAGGAGCCCGAAGCGGTCGGCGCGTAGGCGGGAGCAGCTGTGGCGGACGAGGCTGCTACTTCTGAAGCGGCGCGGCTTGAAGCTGGAGGTGGGAGCGCGAAGTGGTCGTCGGCAAGGTCTTCGGCGGAGGCGTACTCGTAGAGACTGGAAAAGGGCGGAGGAGCGGGTCGCAGGCCGATGAGGGAGAAGGCTGTCGACGCAGAGGCTTCAGAGGCCGAGTAGGGATACCGTGGAGGAGGTGAGCGGCCGCGGCTGGGGTCGTGATTGTCGACGTCGCCGTCAAGGTCCACTCGGGCCTTGTCGTTGAACTCTAGACCGTCAGATGGGAGGTCGGCTGGGTGCAGGCCGGTCTGTCCTTCGTTCGGCTCGGGCGAGTCTCGCGACGGGGCGGCTGAATCGCTTGTTGAAGCCGTGGTCGAGGTGGGTGTGTAGTCTGACCTACAGGGGCGGTATGGTAATGGTATGGTATGGTATGGCAGGTAATGTAAGGAGCACGGAGATTGAGCAGGGCGGCGCTTCTACCGGCTGATTGCTCCGAGAAGGTCGCAACGGGTTGGTCGCCAAGGCTTAGTTTGGGCGTCGCTGTCGGATGGAGCTTAGGTAGACCCTTGACATGCCACTCGATCGAATGGATATACAAGTAGTTAATGACTAGGTAGACGTCGCTGTGCTCTGTTGACTTGTAGATTTGCTTTCTTTGTTAGATGAAGGCCCGCTGTCAATTGGAGAGCGGATGTTGTTGCTTTCCAGTTGCCAGTGTCTCTGTGCCCCAGATTGTTGTCAAATTGGGCAGGCTTAATTTAGCACTAGCCATCCCTCTGTGTACCTACAGGTACCGCTCCAGCATTTTCCAGTGCGAATGGTACCTCCACGTCCCCAAAGAGGGTCAATGGCCAGCGACGATTGCGCCGCTAGATCGAAAGCTCGGGCTCCAGTCGCAGGGAATCTGGCGGCGCTACTGGCTGGCTAGCCGCCAACTGCGGTTTCAGGGGCACTGCAGTTCTAGGTAATTGGTTACGCCTTGCTCTACAGTTCGCAGTCCATCACATATGCTGCCATGCTTAAGACCCCAATGTAGGAAGCTCTGTGTCGTCTGCATACACTAGGATGTACTTGCCGCCACCTCTATGTCTAGTCTCTCAAGAACTCGCTGGCTAGTATTCCAACCCTGAAGACCTTACTTTGGGCGTACTCGAAGACTTCGCAGGGGATGAGGCGGTGGTAGATCCGGAAGACCAACACTGTTTAAGCTGTAGTTTGGGCCCGGGATCGGCTACTTGAGTGGCCGTCTTTCAAGAAAACTACACACAGTATGTGGTGTGCCCTTTCCTGAGTATAATTTTTTTTTTTAAAAAA